TGCAGGGGCCGTGCGGGCTATCGATAGCGTGCGGCAAGATCCCTGCCATGTCAAAAAGTTTCGAGGCCGAAAATGTGAAATGTTGCAGCGCAGCGCAGGCGAAGACTCCAACACCGCCCAAGTTGCCCGTCATGTCGCTCGAGGAGAGACTGACCAAGATCCGGGACAGCCCGAAGCTGCAGGGCCAGCAGCACGTATGTCGCCATTTCTCTTTCCTGCGCCGTTGTAGCCTAACCATTCCAGACGCATGTGCTGCTCTCGGCCATTGAAGACACGCTCCGCCAGCAGAAGTCAGAATTCACCCCGACGGCCTACTTTGCCGCGTTGCTGTCGCTGCTGGGCCGCCAGATTACTGAGCAGGGCATCGCCAACAAAGACACGGCGACTGCCACCATCTACCTCCTCGACCTCGTCACGCCCAACGTCCCCGCCCCGCTGCTGCGAAGCAAGTTCACCGACATCCTCAGCAACCTCGCGCCCGCCCTCACAGCCCAGGACGCCGATGCGCCGCTGATCCGGTCTTCGATAGGATGTCTAGAGTCGTTGCTGGTCGTGCAGGATGCGCGCGCCTGGGAGCTGCCGCAGACGACCATCAGCCCGCGGAGAGCGGTCGCGGGCCTGCTGCAGATCTCCGTTGACCACAGGCCGAAAGTGAGGAAGAGGGCGCAGGAGGCCCTGAAGAAGGTGTTGGCGAACCCACCGCCGAGCCCTGCGCTGGATCATCCGGCAGCCGACATGTGCGCTGAGACAGCCCAGAAGATGCTCAAGGACATCGCAGCAGAGGCGGCAGCCAAGGCCCGGAAACACAAGGGAAAGAAGGACGTGGACAACAAGGATCCCGACCTGATCCACGCGCTGCAGCTCATCAAGACCATTGCGACTTCGTCTGGTGGCTGGCCGAGCAGCAAGATCGACGTGCTGTGCGAGCTTTTGCTGAACATTTCCAAATCGACAAACGAGTTTTTGACCATGGCCGCTTTCGAGATATTCGAGGTCATCTTCGCCGGTATGGCCGACGAACTGGCTTCTGCTAAGCTTCCCAGACTCCTTGAAGTCATCTCCGAGCTACAACCCTCCAAGAACGACTCACAGCTGCTTCCCCCGTGGATAGCAGTCATCTCGCGCGGATACGAAGTCTCGGCGCAAATCGAGCCAGAAGATACATTCATGAAGCTGCCCGACCTGTTTACCATGATCGCCGAGTTCCTCACGTCTTCATCGCACAACATCCGCATTTCCGCCTCCGAGTGCCTCATCTCCTTCCTCGTAAATCTCGTCCCCGACAGCGTTGTCCTCGAGCCCTCCGTATACGACGAGAAGACACTTGAGAAGGTGGCCAAGATTGCGCAAGATCTGTTGAGCGTCAAATACCAGGCGGCATGGATGGAGGTCTTCAGCGTGTTATCTGCCATGTTCGAAACTCTCAGGTGGCGCTCAGATCCCATTCTGAAGCCTGTGTTGAAGGTGGTCGGAGATCTGAGGGGTAATGACAGCTTTGCAGGCAAGAAGGAGGCGGATTCAGTCATCTCAAGGGCCATTAGCGCAATGGGCCCTGATGTTGTATTGGACATTCTTCCTTTGAACCTGCCGCGCCCTCCCCCAGGACAGACCGGAAGGGTTTGGATGTTGCCGCTTCTCCGCGATTCAGTTCACAACACTAAGCTGGCACATTTCAGGACCGAGATGGTGCCGTTGAGTGAGGAGTTGTACCAGAAGGTTATTGATCACGGCGAGAAAGAGAAGACAATGGAGATCAAAGTGTTTGAGACAGTTGTACAGCAAATTTGGTCGATTCTTCCCGGGTACTGCGACCTACCTTTAGACCTGGTTGAGGCTTTCGACCAGAGCTTCTGCGAAATGCTAGCAAACTTGCTCTATGGTCAGGCTGATCTACGAACGGACGTCTGCCGGGCTCTCCAGAACTTGGTCGATAGCAACAAGGCGATCGTAGAGCTGGAGTCTGACGATGATCTACTTGCGCAAGCTCGGATATCAAAGGCTGACGCAAAGAAGAACCTTGAGCATCTAGCCGGTTTCGCCAGCAACATGCTTGCCGTTCTGTTCAACGTCTACAGCCAGACTCTGCCACAATATCGCGGCACTATTCTTAGGACCATTAACGCTTACTTGAGCATCATTCCTGAGCGCGAGCTCATGGAGACCTTTGAACGGGTTGCGTCTAACCTTGAATCCTCGTTGCCTGAGCCAGGCTCGCAAACGCAAGCTGCTAAGCAGAAGCAAGAAACGGGCCCCAACAAGATGCCGCCAATGAGCCATACCTTGATGGACCTCATCATCACGATCGCCCTGTACCTCCCACGCGATAGTTACCGCTCACTCTTCCGCATGGCTGAGATCATGATCAACAGAGAGAACGAGCCCCAGCTGCAGAAGAAGGCGTACAAGCTCATTCCTCGTCTCGCGGAGTCCGAGATGGGCAAGGAAGCCTTGAAGGAGCGCAACGGCGAGCTGCAACAGCTGTTGATAGGAAGCGCAGAGAAGGCTTCCGCCCCCGCGCGACGCGACAGGCTGAACGCGCTCTTCCAGGTCATCGAATCCCTCCCTCAGAGCGATTTACATTTCATCCCCGCCATTCTTTCCGAGGTAGTCATCTCTGCTAAGGAGACGAACGAGAAGGCGCGAGAGGCAGCCTACAACCTGCTTGTCGCCATGGGTGAGAAGATGGCCGAAGGAGGTCAGGTTGTGCAAGCCAAGGTACCCAACATGCCTGCCGATGCGCCAACTGTCGAAGCCTCGCTTGAGGAGTACTTCACCATGGTGTCGGCTGGTCTAGCTGCTACCACACCTCACATGATCTCTGCATCTATCACCGCCGTCACTCGCATCCTGTACCAGTTCCATGCTCAGATTTCCAAGGAGACCATAACAAACCTCTGCGACCTCATGGACATTTTCCTTCAGAACCCCAACCGCGAGATCGTACGCAGTGTGCTCGGCTTCGTCAAGGTCGAGGTTATCTCGCTACCAGAATCGCTTGTACGACCACGTCTCAACACTTTGCTAAAGAACCTTATGGTCTGGAGTCACGAACACAAGGCGCACTTTAAGGCCAAGGTCAAGCATATCGTCGAGCGAATGGTACGGAAGTTTGGCGTAGAAGAAGTCGAGCGCGCCACACCTGCTGAAGACCGCAAGCTCATCACCAACATCCGTAAAACACGCGAACAGCGTAAGAAGAAGAAGCAACAAGCTACAGAAGATGGTGAAGAGGTTACCGAAAAGCGAAAGGGCAAGTTTGAGAGCGAGTACGACCAAGCTGTCTACGGTAGTGAAAGCGAGGAGAGCGACGGCGACTCTGAAGACGAATTTGTCAAGAGTCAGAGCAAGCAACAGCGGGGAGGTGCTAAGGGTGGCAACACATACATCATCGAGGACGAAGATGAGCCGCTTGATCTCCTTTCCAAGCGCGCTCTTGGTAACATCTCCTCGACGAAACCCCTGCGCCAACGCAAACAGCCCCAGAAGATAAACGCCCGCACAAACGAGGATGGCAAGCTCATCCTCGGCGACTCAGACGAGGAAGTCTCGACGAAGGGCAAGAAGTCCAAGAAGCAAGAAGTAGCCGACGAAGACGTCCTCATGGACATCGACGACCAAAACACATCCCTCGAAGCCGGCATCAACGCCTACGTAGACGCCATCCGCGGTCGCGACGCAGCCCAGACCGGTCTGAAAGGTCGCCTCAAGTTTAGCAACAAGCGCACGCACGAAGACGACGAAATGGACATGGACGACGACGGCGGCGAAGCTGATTGGCAAGAAGTGCGAAAAGCAAAATCCGGCTCTGGAATGGGTAGGGGTGGTGTGAAGAGTGGTGGCGCCGGCCAGAAAAGCCAGCGGCGTGGCCTAGGTCAGGAACGCACAAGGGGCGGTAATGTCAGTGGTGGAGAAGGCAGGGGAGGCAAGGGCAGAGTCGAGAAGATGAGGAGTCCACGCGGTAGGGGCGGTGCTCGTGGTGGTGGTGGGTTTAGAGGAAGGGGGAATGGGCCTAGTGGGAAGTGGAGTGGACCGAAGTAGGTGGGATAAGAAGATGCATTTACGGTAGTAGTATGATAAAAAGGGAGAGGCGTTGAGGTGCAGCCACATTGTTTTATGTAGTCTTGATATCCGAATGAATGTAGATATCCATTTCGCTGCTTCATCTACTTCAGGAATCGACATGAACGCGTCCGGCACATCTTGCGGACGCACACAGACTCGGTCATCGGTGATATCGGAGTGCGAACTGATCATCTTCCCGACATGAGTGCGGCAGATCGAAACATGACCCAGCGACACCGATTGTGGTTCACGTAAAACATCGCATCTCGCTGTGTGTGGTGTCGGCGGATCTTGTTGTGTTGCCGACTCGCAATAAAGTTGGGGCGGGACAGGGTATATCATCGGTTTCCTACTCCACTTGCCGAACTGCAAGGCGCTACCGCGGGGTCAGCCCTGCAATTATGATGGAAGCCAGCTCCGTGTTGCTTCATTCGTGTTGTCTCAGCGGAGGTATATTGACTTTTTGTTGATCATGGGGCGCGTATTGTGGAGAAGAGAGTTCGTGAGTTTGACGTGGTAGGCGGATGTGGAGTGTTCTGTCACGTTTCGATGCGATCAGTCAACATTTACTAGGATGCATGAAGTGAGCTTCTTGTATGCATACTGCGATACGATTGGGAAGTTTAGGGACACTTAGGGACCTATCGGCATATGTTGTTGTGGAGAACATACGTATGGTCGATCACACAATGGTTTGGCTATACTGGAATGGGATATGGAGATAGGTATGGAGGGATAGAGACTTACGCATGGATAAAAGTTTACCTGGTAGTTATATAAAGGTCAATGTATCAGTCTGGATTGAAAATCCCCCTGGCGTCCAACTTACCCGTCTACCGTTGTCCTTCGTACATAGTTCCTACCAACCCACAAACCTTTCAATCTCATCTACAATGGCAACCACAACCAGCCCATCCCTCTCCCGCAACGACTCCATCATGCCGCCACCCTCTCCTCCTCCCAAATTAGCAACCCACAGCACTAAACTGCCCCGCGTCTCCCTCCCCATCGGCAAACCAACACCCTACCTCCTCCCCTCCCACACCGGCGAACACCTAACCATCCCCGGCACAAAATCCGTCTTCCGCATCCTCTGCTCCGCCGCTGAAACCGCCAACGCCATGAGCGTCTTCGGCCAAGACGGCGTCCTGGCTGACCCCCCAGGCTTCCACTACCACAATCACGCCCACGACGTCTTCATGTGCACAAAAGGGCGATTGAAGATCTGGGCTGGCGATAAATGCCGTATACTCTACCCGGGAGACTTTGCGTATGTACCACCGGGTGTGGTGCATCAACCACAATTACTGGATCAAGGGCCTAATGAATCGATGGGTCTTGTGACGCCGGGGGATTGGGTTGATTTCTTCCGGTTTGTAGGGGAAGACTATAAAGGTGTGCTTTGTGATGAGTTTGATTATAGGAACACAGGTGCTGTGTTTGGACCTAAGATACGCGAGATCAAAGAACGTTTTGACGTTGTTTTTCAACCGCAGTTCCAAGGCGCAGAGGTAGCGGACTTTGAAAAGGGAGAGTGCGTATTACCGGAGGGTCAGGAAGCGTATTTCCTAAAAGCAAACACTGGGCCGTGTTTCCTACTCGAGGGTGTGCTGTCAAGGCCGTTCATCACCATGAAGCAGAGTAGAGGACCGTCGGGTAACTTTGCCATTACGAGTATTGAGTCTGGAAGCGAGTTGGAGAATTCAGTACTCAGTAAAGGATTCGTCTTCGAGAAGGTACATCAGGTCTATTATGTACTTGATGGAGCGATTTCGCTTACAGTAGACGGCGAGGCGGGACATTTGGTTCGGGCGGGCGAAACGGCGTTTTTACCAGCGGGGACTCAGACCGCGGTAGAGTTTGTGGATCGGTATGTGAGGTTCTGGTCGTATGCTAGCGGAGATGGACTAGAAACATTGATCGCGGAAGCTGGAGGTGCTTTCGAAGGGAAGGTGGTTCCGGATCAAACCACGAGAGTGGATGTGGGTAAGGTGCGGGAAGTTGCCATGAAGCTGAACATGAGGATCAGCATATAGCTTATACGACCGTATCTTTACCTTGTATCCCTGTTCAATACCATGTGTTGCTCTGAACAATGGGTGCTCGATGGCGTAGTTTAGGGAGCGACGCGGAAGACGCGACGAAAGCGATTGGCGCGCCGAGGCCCACAACACGCGCTGCGTCCTCGTTACCCGCGTCATCCTCTGCAGGAAGGAACCAGCCATTGTATACCACAGCCGAGCCAACACCCTTACGAAGAGCAACTGCAAGTATACCGACGCATTTACTCGAGAGATACGGAATGTTGAGGCAAGAAGTGCGACCCACTCTTGGGCAGGAACGAGCGTTTGAGAGTCTCACCGCCCGAGCCGTGTTGGCATCGAGCGACAACGACGATGATTTTCTCTAAACCTCCTCGTTTTCGCGCATAACACACGTCAATATCCTTCTACAGGTCCACAATGCCTTCGCGATCGCTGTGGATTACTGTAACAGCTATCGTCGTGGCCGTAGCATCGATCACGAAGGGCACCTACCTGAACTCGCTTCTCTCTGGGCTCGGCCTAACTACATGCCCTTCATCGTGTCGATCAAACATCGCGAAATCGCGATCCAACTATCTTGGCGATGACTGCGTCGACAAGCCCTACGGTTCGAGCTGGGATAGTTGGTTTCATCCTCACCGAAGCGATGGCGCGGAGACCGACCACGGCCTCGGTGCCGGAGCTGTAACAAAAGCTTGGAACATCTTGTACCATCTCGGCGGGAACGGGCCATGGGTGGAAAAGATCATCGATATCGTTGACGGAGGTGTTGCTCCGCCAGAGGGGTGCGACGTGGTGCAAGTTCATATGATGTCCAGGCATGCTGAGCGGTATCCTACCAAGAAAGCGGGTAGAAAGCAGAAAGCAGTCGTTCAGCGCATGAAAGACAGTAACAAGACTTTCGAGGGCAATCTGGCGTTCTTCCTTGATTGGGAGCTCTTCTGGTCTTCAGACGATACCCAGCTGGAGCAGTTGACAACTACTGGGCCTTTCGCGGGTATACTTTCCTCTTTCACCACCGGCGTTCGTCTGCGCACGCGTTACCAGCCTCTTCTGGAACAAGCCACTTTCACCCCCTCAAACAAGCCTACTACATTCTGGGCCAGCGACTCCAATCGAGTCATCGACACGGCTAAGCACTTCGCTGCAGGCTTCTTCGGCATCGACTACAATACTACCAACACAGCTGACCTCCAGGTGATATCTGAACATTTTTCGGTTGGTGCAGATACGTTGACGCCTGGACGAACATGCCTGGCCAACAAGAAAGACAGGATGGAAGGTCAACAGAAAGGCTATCGTCTGATGCATGAGTATCGGGCCACGTACATGCCGTCCATTCGCGAACGATTACTAAATCAGACGGGTATGACGTTTGACAATCACGAGATTTACGCAATGCAGGAGATGTGCGGTTTCGAGACGACAGTACGCGGTCGCAGCGACTGGTGTGATGTTTTCACTCGAGAGGAGTTCCTCTGCTTCGAGTATGCACGAGATATCCTGCATTATTATCGCGCAGGACCAGGCCAAAAGTATGCGACAAGTATGGGTTGGCTGTGGCTCAATGCTACGACGAATTTGCTTCTTGAGGGTCCGGGCGCTGGCCCTTTGTTCTTCAGCTTGTGAGTTTTTCCTCGAACCCAGGAGGTTACAGACCATGAAGGCTAGCAACTCTAACTCAACACAAGTGTCCATGACGGTGATATCGCCCCCATGATCACTAGCCTTGATGTTATCAATGACCGTGAACACCTCCCGATCACTCACATCGCCCACGATCGGAAGTGGCGAAAGTCTCAGGTGTCACCCATGGGCGGACGAATTATCCTCGAACTACTGTCTTGCAACACAGAATTTCCATCGTCACCAGAAAAATTCGTCAGACTCAACATCAACGATGGCATTACCGCTATACCGGGCTGCGACAGTGGTCCCGGGAAGAGTTGTCCATTGGCAGATTTCGCTGCGAGAACAAAGAAGAAGGGAGAGGAAGCCGGGAACTTCAACGAGTTGTGTGGGCTGGACGATGGGGCTGCGCAATACATCACTTTCTTGCATCAATGACATGCGAAGCGTAGTGCGACATAGCATCCTTAGTGCTGTACAAGCAGTTGTGAAACATGAACCTGTTCTTTAATACTACTGATCATCTGAACTAAGCGTACACGTAGCAGAACGGCCCAGCAATCGTGCTCATAGCATCTTTGATGGTTATATTCGGTTGACCCACATACCCCACGCTCAGCACGTCGTCGAGAGTAGCATTGCGGCTTGGCGGGTTGTTCAGAAAAGTCATAGTACCCGCGACACTGTTCTGTCTGCTTTCCAAGTCGAGATTCTGCCACGTCCACCAGACGCGATCAATCATGCCGTGGTGGAAGTAGAAGGCTGGGTCTGCTGGCGAGTTGAACCTGCGATTTAGTCAGTATAAACCTTATGCTACCGATGATGGTCAGGCAGAGTGAAGCATACATATCCATTCCAGAGTCACCACCGATCGTGTAATGTCCTCCGTTATGAACGCCCATTACCCCAAGAGTGAAGTTCTGCATCTTGTTCTGGAAGCTGAGAATATCAGGGTAGTTCTTGATAAGATTTACGACCATTTCATCTCTAGTCTCGTTGGAAGCCTGGGTATTGATATCGCGACTCAGGCAGCGAGGATTGTAGCCGAGGCCATCGGCTTGCGGGTTCGGTGGGGCGTCTTTCACCGTCGTTTGGATAGGACCTAAGTTGATCTTCCAACTGCTTCGATTAGCCCAAATGTCGATCTGGTCCATGTTTGATTAACGTACTCTTTGAACGGTCCAGACTTGATGCAGCCTCCGCCATTTGCTGAATGGAAAGTAACCATGCAGCGCGCTTCGCTGGGAATGCACCATGACCCTCGTCCAGCAACATATTCGCCGTCGCCTGAGATACTTGTCTCACTGCCATCAAAGAGAGGGGAAGAGAGCGGATCCTTCGCCCATTTCGACCAATTATTGTACGGAAGATAGCCTTTATAGCCACACTCGTCGCGAAGAGCTTGTTCGTAGACCCAGATGTAGTAGCGATGCCAGCTGAGGAAATTCCCCTGGAGCGCATTAGTCAACCTCATATGGTATTCTCTCGTTCACATACTGTTCCATGGATGCTCATCGTTTGTTGAATGTGGGTGACGATGAAGTCGTCGAATCGGCTCTTCGCACCTGATGCTATCGCTGTTGGGGTCTTCGCTGGCTTCTTGCCCAGGCATTTGACCGCATCAATGTAGTTGAGTTTCTGAATCTCCGATAAAGTCGACCTGAAATTGTATAAGTCGGGCTATAGCGAAAGATCTGTGCCTTTCACTTGCCATTCTTGTCGGACGGCAACATTGTCTAATGTACATTTTTGTGCGTCTGGGTAGTCATTTTGAGCCACGTTAGACCTAAGTTTTGCGAGTGCTTCAGCAGCCAAGGCATCATTTTCTGTAAGGCGGGCCCCAACGCTGCCACAGAATATTGCCGTTGCCAAGGTCGAGACCTTCATGTTGACGGGAGGGAACAGAAATGTGTACTATCATGAATATGTTCTGATGGTATATACTTATACGTGCGTGTCGTGCCGTTTCCGCTATCTGTAGTTCGACATCTTGCATGCAGCTATCACCATGGAGGCTACTTCCATGCAGATAGTTCGTACTTTAGCCGTTAGCTACTACGAAGGATGAGCCAAGGAGCAATATACGACCACTCTCGGCGGCGATCCCAGTACTTTGGTGGCGTTTTCTCGTGAACTATTTGAGGATGATAGCGTCTGCGGGTAATCGGGTACAGGGGACGTCCCGTCGGTTGGCGTTACGGGAGAGCAATGTACAAATACGAGTTTCCATCGTCGTAATACTTTCCAGACTCATTTTCGTGGATACCTTCTAAGCTAGTACCTAAACCACACCCTTACTGCGCATGTCATGATCGCACCAGAATCAGTCTGCTGCGCCGCAAGCACGCAGGATGCAAGCCAAGACCAATTGCAGAAAGGGGCGCTAATCTGCAGGGGACGTGGCAAATTCCAATTACCGGTAGGAAGCGAGGACCGCCGTCAGTGTAGGCATCACGCTCTCAGAATGCATCTTTCGAAGACATCATAACAGATGTAGTATGGAATGAGGACCATATACAAAGGTGCGGCAGTTCATCGTCTAGGTCGACATGTAGTGGAGAGGAGAACGCGATGATCTCAAAGCGCTATTGAGGTCTTGGCGTCATGTGATAGACCCCGTCATTGGAATCCGACTTCTCGTATTCGACACAGACACAACCGTCACTGCCCAAGATCGAGATGCAAAAGTGTTCATATAAAATTCGATTGCTGCCAGCAGCTATGTACTGATTTGACAGCTATTCTCTACCTGACAAAAGCGCCGCCTCCACTCGCGCCCAGCTGGTTACCCGTCATCCAGCCACTCTCAGGCAGGCACGCGATACCGACAATACCGGCGACTTCCTCGAGCGTACCGGGCCTGCCGCCAATCTCGCCTGCCAATCTCAACATCTCCTCGCTATCTACACCAGGTCTCTCCTTTGCCAACGGGATCAACGCATTGTACATCTTCAGCGCCTCTCTCGGCGCCTCAGGCAATCCGTTTAGGAGACCGGTGTCCATGGGACCAGGGCTCACGCTGTTGACCGTTGCGCGCTCAGCAAGTTCACGCGCCCACACACGCGTCATGGCCTCGATGGCGCCCTTGGTGCCAGCATAGGATGTCTGCTGGATCAGGCCCCACGTCGTGGTCGCAGATGAGATGTTGACGATCCTACCAGATCTGTCATGAGGAAGGTAGGGGAACGCGGCTTTGATGAGCAGCGCAGGAGCCTTGCAGTTGATGTTGAACGTCTGGTCCCAGAGCTCTGGATCGAGCTCCTGGATGGGCTGCGCATTCACGACAGCGGCATTGTTGATCAGGATATCGATCTGGAACGAAGGTGTGGCCGCTGGGTTGGTGAAGTGAGCCTTTGCCGCATTGACAATGGTTTGCGGGGCGGAAGGGTCAAGAAGATCGGCGCGTACGGGGAGCGCGTTGATCTTGTAGGTCGTGGAGAGATGGTTTGCTAAATCGGTCGCGATCTTATCGGAAGCCGATGTTGCGTAGTTGATCACAACATTAGCTCCGCGCGAGGCGAAGTATGTGGCAAGTGTGGCGCCGAAGCCTAGTTGCACGTAAGTTACTAATCAAATGATACGTAGTTACATCGCCATGATCGAAGACTATGAGCTTGTGGCAGAACATACTTCGCGAAGAACCGGTAATAATGGCAAGTTTGCCTTCAAAGACTCTGGATGTTGTCATTTTGGAAATTGCTATGTGCTGAGCAATGTTGAAAACTGGGTAAGAGACCTGTACATGTATCTATGGAAGTAGTCGTGACAACGCCCGCCGCTTGCACGGCAGAGGCGTCGCGGGGAACCCTTGACTATGTAAAACATCCAGGATTCGTAGAGGAATGTCTGGCGGTGGAGACCGTTATTTCGTGCTGTGGGTCTCGACAGAAATTCCCCGAAGTAGTTCCATCTTGTGCCGACGCATACACCGAGCATTGACAGACCGTATCCCTCAGGCCATGTTATGAGGATAGTCATAACTGGCACACATATAGTCGATATCCCCCTTTCTCTCCTTATACTAAATTTCCAAGTTCTGAGTTGATATCTAGGTATTTTGGGATCACCTCATCTCTGGTCGAGATCCGAATGTATGGATTCAATACGCAGCCTCCTGCATGCTCCACGCCCCCGCACGCACAGTACGCGGCGATGTGCCAATCCTTGTGCAGAAGAAGGTCTTGAAACAGGATTCGCGCGCAGACGTAGCAGATTATACCGCTCCACCGCTTTGCACAAGACAGAGAGTCTGGACTCGAGCTTGGAGATACATCGGCGCTTGTGAAGGTGATACGTAAGACTGTGTACCATCTCTGCAACTATACCGAAAGGCACAATAGTTAACGCGGCGGTAGTCTAGGTAGGCTCGCCTCAACAACGCTTGAGCGAACAGGCCTTCTGAAGCGGACATCAGCATTAACAGAGCACGCGATCACTCCGAACGGTTGTCGTCCCGCGCATCAACAGCTTCCAAGAGCATCGGGCATATATCGAACCGGGAACTACTGTAGACGGGTGACAGTGCCGGCACTAAGAGCCTGTGCCGCTTCGCATCCCGTTACCGTTGTTAATCCTAAACTCGTACGGCTTCATCCGGGCGAACCCTAGATGGTTGGCGCCGAGAGTTTTTGTGGCCTACGGATCGAGCTGGGACGGAAAGAAAGCTCGTGGACGAGTGCCATACTGTTGGGATCGTGGCGCTCCTTTTTTACCAGCCTTTCGTTGCGTATTCTTATTTTCTTGCATGCCCGGTGCTTGCAATGCGTGGATTGGTGAACTCTATTGTTACTTCTTGTCTTCTTCGTTGGATTTGACTGTTGCGCCTGCGTATATACAGAATAGACTCGTCGAAAGTCTGATTGACGCCATGGCGCCACCCACTTCTTACCATATGGCCCTATCGGTCTTGATCCCATTACCGTTTGTGATCGTTTCGACCATCTTGCGGTTTTGGATTCGTTCCAAGAGGAAGGCATGGGGACCAGATGACTGGGCTATGGTCATCAACTTGGTAAGTTCTGTACTCAATAATACTTGAATGCTTACTGACATGAACCCAGCCAGTCTGGACGGTCAGCACTGTTGCCACACTCGGTATGGCTTGGAGTGGCGTTGGACAGTATGATGGCTCGCTGAGCGCGTCTCAATACACCAACTCGTTGAGGGTATGTAACCGTAGACTTCTTGCGTGTCCCAGTCGTTCACAAGGATATACTGACGAAAAGCAGTGGTTCTACGTCTTCCAAGAGCCGTGGTGCTTCACTCTCGTCGCGATCAAGTGCAGCATCGGCTTCGCCTTGATCCGTATCGCGAACCGCAAGAAATGGATCGAGATGGTCATCTATGCCTGTATGATATCCTGTTTTGTCGTCATGGGCGGGACAGGGATATATCTGTTTTTTCAATGCACGCCAGTACAGTATGTCTTCGTACCCTTCCCAAAGTGACCAGAAATTGACTCCAGAAACAGAAAGAACTGGAATCCGACAATGGAAGGCGAGTGCAAAGGACGCAACATCCAGACAGTGCTGTCATACGCCGTAGCCGTGGTGTCCATCTCAACAGACTGGATCTTTGCTACCCTCCCCATCTTCCTCCTCTGGGACGTCCAACTCGACTGGCGCGTTAAGAGCTCCGTAATGGCTATGCTCGGCCTAGGAATCTTGTAAGTGCATCTGGCATCCGGTGCAAACCACCAAGTCTTTCATGACTAACGCATACAGCGCATCCATCGCCCCTATCGTCCGTCTGAAATTCTTAATCGGCCTCAACGACCCAACCCGACTCCTCCAGAATCTTGGCGACATTCTCGCTTGGGCTTGCGCAGAAATGAACGTCGGCATGTTTGTCGCCAATCTACCCGCCTGCCGCCCTCTACTCACGAACTTCATCTCGCACTTCTCGTCGTGGTCAGGTAGCCACTCACACCCGTCAGGCAGCTACTCGAAGAAGCAAAACCCTCGAGGCTCCATTCGCGCTGGTCCTGGATCAAAGCAATGGATGGAGCTTAATGAGCGACCGGACAATCACTCACATTCGGGTAGCAAGGCCAAGAGCGTCGGTGTGGAAACAAAGATTTACGGAGATCTGGATGAGTACAGTAATACGAGCCTGGAACATGTTGATGGCGACCAGAAGCGTGCTGGACAGCGACCGAGCGGCGATGGCTTGCAAGTCAGTATACAGAAGGACTTCAGAGTGGAGATTAGTGACAGGAAGCAGTTAACGGCGTTGCCAAGGGTGCCATTGGAGACTGTTTGAGCTGGCGGATGTCAGTGTGGAGGTGTGGTAGATGCCGTACATGTCATGTAGATCATGATCACAACGAGCAGTGCTTCGTACATGTTCCTCTTATGCTTTTATTAGTACAAAGTTGTTCCGATTTCAATACCCATGCTTTTGCAACTCCGCCTCCGTATACTCCCACAACTTCTTCCTTAGCCCCTCGTCTCTCGCGAATGAACTGCCAGAACTCTTCTTCCCCACTGGCATGTAATATGCTCCATTCTCCAGTTCGTCCTTTGCGGTCGTAGCACACCAAGTCGTGTTCAACGCACCTCCTTCCGGACTCTGGTAATGACCCGGCAGTATCATACCAATGATGCCATAGATGTACAGGCCAACCTTCATGAATATATTCGTGCGGAGGTTGGTGAAGAGATCCGTCAGAATGACACCAGGGTGTAAGGAGACGGATGTTATCGTAGGGTACTCCAGCGCCAGGGAGCGAGCGAATAGTATGTTCGCCAACTTAGAGGAGCCGTAGCGACGCCAGGTACTCTCCTTCTCGAGCGCTTGCTGGTCAAACTCAATGCCATTTGATACGGGCATCTGGTGGCCCATACTGCTCAGGTTCACAATTCTGACATCTGCGCCGGGTTGTTTCGCCGTCTCTAGCATTGTCGGGATAAGGAGTTTCGTGAGCAGCGCGTGGCCCATGTGGTTCGTGCCAAATTGTATTTCGTATCCTTCCTTAGTGGTGCTGTATGGCGGCGCCATGATACCGGCATTGTTGATCAAGATGTCGAGTCGCGATTCCTGGCTCTTGAATGTCGATGCTGCGTCGGCAATGGACGAGAAAGACGTCAGGTCGAGCGGCAGAAATACGATCTCGCAGGCATTTGGCACGCTGTTCTTAATGTCGGTAATGGCATCGCGGGCTTTGGATTCGGTACGAGCGGCGAGGTAGATGCGCGTGGGGTCATGGGCAGCGAGGTATGCGATGGTCTGTTTGCCTAAGCCGGCGTTGCCTGTATATGTGTTAGTCGCATGATACGGTCGCTCGTGCTCGGAGCTGTGAGACACTCACCACCTGTGACGAGGATGACCTTCCCATCGAGACTGCCAATGTCCTTAGCGGGGTCGAATGACTTCCCCATGTTGCTGCTCTTTTTTGGTCGCGAATTATGGGTGTCGCAAAGCTGCGTGCGCGCAGTGGGAGGTTGTGGAAACTGTTCGTGATATGGCGCAAAATATAGCAGGTATCGGTCAACGTCGGCGCGAACTATGTCTCTCGTCGTGGTTGTTCATGCAAGAAGGAGAGTGTCTCAATCCCGCGGACATCCTGTTGGCCGTCAATCCATCATTAGCTTGCGGAGCGGTCCGTTCACGGGGTTTCTTGGTCGGATGCCGAGGTTGAAAACGCGCTATGACGTCTTCCATTGCATGTGGACGCGTCTCCTGTGACGCTTCGGAACTCGTGTCGAAGTCCGGACGCGATGTGCATTCTGTTGTGCTGGAGGTTGATACTACGTACGATGCAGAATTTGTGGGTGTGAGGAAGTCGTACCTTTGAAGTGGCGCTGCCAATTCGCGCTTACGGCTGACTGCATACATCCTAATGCCTGGGGGAACCATAGCTGGAGGACACACACTGTTCTCAAATGGGGTATCATTATGCTTAATTCCAAAATATGACTGGAAGTAGCTGAAGATGTGCTCACGCTGCGCCGATGCAAGCTCTACGCCACCGACTTTAAGAAGTGTTACCCGCTAGACTCAACGTTTCGGACCTGAGAGCCCTGCTCTAGGATTATTGCTCAACCTCTCACAAGGATTATTCGCACGCGCATAATCCTCATCAAGGTCGAGATCGTGTATAACTATAGGCTTTCGTTGTGTTGATGCGAGTACGGTTGTAGCTGTGGCTAGAGGTTGCTTTGCTGGAGCTGTTTTGGCCATGAATGAAGACAGAAGGTTTTGTCGTTCCTGTTCAAGCTCATTGTCGCTCGTTAGATCAATGACTCCATCGTACTGAGCAGGCATTGGGCGGGTAACGCTTTTCCGCTTCGTGCCACTTGGTTGTGACGCTGCGATAGTTGAGGCTGGAGCTGGTGCCGTTGGTGATGGAGCTGCGGGAGAAGCCCCCTGTTGAGTTTGACCAAACTGCCGAGATGGCATTCGTGGAGATGCGGAGGCGACGACACCTTCCCACTGCGCATCCGTATAAGCGGGTGCGAACGCACCCCTACTTGTCGGATGAGTCTGGGCCGTGATGACATTGGTGTGTCGTTCTGCAAAGTTTGGTTTGTTTGAGAAGCTTGCCGTGAAGTTGTATGAGAGTGCATGGATGGCTGCATCTGCACTACCGGTGCAGGGTGGTTCCTGGATTCAGGATCACGGGCTTGCTGAAACTGTGCAGGTGTACGCTCCGGTGTGAAAGGTGTATGAGTAGCGTTCAATTGTGTCAAAGGTAAGCGAGACTGGTGAAATGCTTGTGGAGGTGCGTTCGACAAATCTAGAATATAGTAATCAGCTTGAGGAGGGTTAGGCATAGGTTTAGAGATTCGAGACTGTCGCGGTGGTAGGCTTTGTTCTGCAGCACCTCTTGCTGACGGCGCAGAGCCGGGTGAAGCTTGACTCCCGTTTCCATTTCCTGGTCTCTGTAAAGTCCTGTATGATGGTACTGATGTTGTGTGTGTTGGCCCAGTCTGTGGCGAGTGGGTCAAGGCGGGATTTAGTTGTAGCGCTTCGCCTGCACGCCATAGACATGGCGAAGCAAAAGTTGCGCTGACAGGTGATGGTCGTTGAGAACCAAATCCTGCAAAAATGTTACCAATTATGGGAGATATTGTCGGTACAGCAGCTGTGTGCACTCGCTCCGAACGAGCATTCCTTGCAGTGGCGAATTGTGATGGAACGTCGATGTCACGTACGGGACTGTTGACTTCCGCTTGAGCGTTTGATGGCCCGGGATCAGTCCGCTGTCGCTTCAGTGGTGCGACATTCGGTTGTGTCTCCTCCCTTGCGATAATCGAATCGCTCGGTAGCAGTATGGAGAGCGGCTTGTCAAGAGGTGCTACCCTGTTTCTCGAAACCGTGGAAGTCGGAGAGGTTAGTGTTCTCGTCTTTGAAGTAGATGGCACCGGCTTTGGAGCCTCTGCCAGTGAGTTTCGGTTTATTGTAGTGCCATCTACCCCGCCTCGAATCCCCTCCAGGTTCTCTATAAAGGCCCAGGAAAACTTCCAAACTGTCGCATGTAATCGAAGGTCCTTGAAGTGCTCGCGAAACGCTTCTCGAAGTGCTCTGATGTCGCCTAGCAATAGTTCTTTGTTGCACGTTCCTGAATGCAAAACATTTTCACTATCCTCTATTTGTTATTCAGTAGTGTCTTGTAGAGAAAAGTAAAATAACAAGTGGTATCAGACTACTATAAACACTAGGAAGAAGAGGCGCCCGAGTATTATTGCGTTTCGTACTAGGTATTAACCATCTAGGTTGCCTAGGTATAGCTCTATCTCAGTAGTTATAAAACAAATATAGAATGCTAAGTCTCTCTGAAAGTCTAGAAGGCGAGTTAATCTTACTTAGGTAGGCGAAAATAAACTTCCTCTTAGGCGCGACGTATATAACTCGCATTCCTATACTATTTGTCTGTACCTAGCCGCCTATTCTAGTTTATCGCACCGCATAACCAAGCCGCAACCCTAATCATACGACCCTTACTTCTTAGGCTCCCAAGCCACATAATTTTCGTTCAAAGATACAGCCGCCATTGGCTCGCGTTTTGTGATTCGCAAATACTCCTCCTGCTGCTGCACGTCATTCGCTTCAAGCGCTGGGCGATACCCATCCTGAGCAACCCACTCTTTCTATCCTCTTTGGCCGAGCATGGTCGTTTAATGGCGCGTGGTGACCACGGTCGGACGCAGAGCACGTAGAGTTGCTCGCGGTCTTGTGTCAGCTAAGATACATGAACATCATTTGCCTACCGAGATGTCTCTCCACCTCTCCAATGACCGTCCCTCAATCTGCGGGACATGTCCGCAAGGCTGAGACGATTTTTGGGGATTACATGAAGGGCACCAAGTTTAAAAAAGGCCAGAAGTAAGCATAGTGGGCAGAAGTCGATTTGAGATTTAGCTAGAAATCTACGAAGTCCCACACAGTACTGAAGCGCTTAGAATGTCTTGAACTTTCCGCCGAAAGATACCCAGCTTCCAGACCACTTTTTGTCCGTGTAGTATTGCTGCCAAACTCCATCGTCCGTTCCGATACCAAATACATCGATCCGGCCTTTGCCCCACGAGACCGCGGCGGGGGCGCTCTTGAACTTTCCAGTCATTCCCTTCCAGTCACCTACCCAGTTACCATTGTCGAATGCTTTATGGTACATCTGGTCATCCAGCCCAATGCCGAAAACATCGATCCGGCCTGAACCCCATGAGACAGCTGATGGGGTGCTCTTAAATTTGCCACTGATCCCCTTCCAGTCCTTCGAAACCCAGTCCTTTCCGTCGTAGGCTTTGTGATACATCTGATCGTCAAGCCCGATGCCAAAGACATCAAGCCTACCCGAACCCCATGATACAGCAACCGGAGAGCTCTTGAATTTGCCAGTCATTGGATTCCAACCGGACAGCCATTTACCAGCGTCATATGCTCTGTGGTACATTTGGTCATCCATGCCAATCGCAAAGACGTCGATCCGGCCTGGACCCCATGAGACAGCGGAGGGGAGGCTCTTGAACTTGCCCTCGAGTTCTTCCCAGCCGCCTGGAGTCCACTGGTTCCCATAAGTCCTGCGGTACATCGTATTACCCGTGCCACCAATGCCGAAGACGTCGATGCGTCCGTTGCCCCAAGAGACAGGGACAGGCGGGCTTACAAGCCCCCCTGTTATGCCCTGCCAGTCGCTGATGATCCAGGAGCCTCCTGCTTTCCTGTTGTTTCCCCACGCCTTGTGGTACGGCTGTTTGTCAAGACCAATTCCAAGAATGTCAAGCCGGCCGAAACCCCAGGAAATTGCCGCGGGGATCTGCTGGAACTTGCCACCCAGTGGCTCCCACGAAGTGCTAGCGGGCTTCCAGCCGCCATCACCCCTGTCGAAGCTCTTGTGGTACATCTGAGTATCTGTGCCGATTCCGATGATATCGATGCGATCCGGGCCCCAGGATTCCACAGAAATCCAGGGGCGCATAGCAACGGACATGTAGCTCATGTTGGATGGCTTTCCAAGATCTAAGTAAACAGATATTAGATTAATGTCGAGTATTATCGGGGAACTACTAACTCGGAAATAGTTGAATGAAGTTGATAGTGTGATGATCTGGTTCTGCAAGAAATTGGCCGTGTCTTTCTACAGTGGCTACACTCAAAGTATTTATATTGCTATAGATCTCCTCAGCACGTGAAAATGCCTTTGACAATGTTAATTCTAGGCCTGATTCGTAATCTCATGATTCACAAAAGCGGGGTATATACAATGCTGCATTATGCTAATAGAAGATCGTGGTAGCGACGAACAGAGGCGGTGAAAGCTTACGAGAAGAAAAGAAATGAAACATAGCACATTTGTGACGTGTTAGATGCACGGGTTGGGTGGGTGTGTCGGTTGGAGGATCGATGTGATATCATCATATCACAAGGTGGTTAAGAATCAGGATTAGCGCATGCAAGACAAGTTAATAACGTAGTACTGTAAGGTGTAGTACAGTTTTACGTTGCAAGTAAGCCGTATGTACGGCGGTTCTATCATCTGGAGCTGTAGTCGTAGCCAATAAAGGTTTAGGAAACGTAGAATGGTCATACAGCTCAGAGTTATCGGTGACTATCTTGCAGAGTTTCCAACGATTAAGTGATAGGCAAATTGATTACCAAACTAGGCCTCGAAAGATCACTGCCTGGTTCGTGACAGTCTTAATCTGATAATCAATCTGCCCATCGCTTGCTTGTTGGAAACTCTGTTCTCCTGTGTACAGCCTTTGCACCGAAGTAAGGAATTGAACACAATGAACCGTAAGGGCTTGTTCCTCGCTGGGATATGGTAAAAATCGTATTCATCCTCAGTGACTCGGTGCCCTCCTCGAATACTATCGCCGTCGTGTCAAGCATACTGATTAACTAGGCAGCCACGTGACTGCTTATAGTGATCTAGATCGACGTGTCAAATGTTTCAGAGTCGGGCCGATGCAGCATAGCTGCACGCACGCCACACCCCTGACGGATAGATCGGGACATTGTCGTTCTAGCGATTATTACGTTCGGGTAATCGGATACATGATAGCTAAGAGTATATTCGTTATACTTGCATACACTATTAGACGAAACAAATCATTTCACTTTGAAATCAGCACTAGCATTGCTTTTTGTACTTGGATGGTGTTACATCGCAGGTCTCTGTTGTACGTACTTCCTAAGGCTTGACCCGATCTAGGCATTGGGCAGGCACGGGCTAGAAGCTATTTCAGCCGAACCGGGCGGCTAGGGCCGTCCCGCATTAGTTCACGGAGATCTAGTGCAATATGACTTGCATGATCAGGCATTTAGTACAACAACATAAGGAGACTAGAGGGCTTACATGAGCGCTTAAGGCACGCTTGGAAACCGAATCATGGCCTACCACCTCAAGACGTTCCAAGGTTGTTTGCACTCTACTGCTGATCTGAAAAGAAAAAAGCATGCAAGCCCATATCCTCCAGCGACGTAGCATGCCTCCTGCGGAGCTCTCGATGCAAAAGATCGACCTTTTCGGTCTTCGCATCTGCTAAACGTGGTAATCGGTCTATACTAATGACGCGTAGGAGCATCATAGGTCAGCTAGCCATTGATCTGTTACAGTTTCAGCAGTATTATGAGCGAGCGTGGACTTGTGAGAAAGAGGACAGTCACAACATGTGTCAAAGTAGCGACATGGCCAGACAAAGGACCACTAAGAATTATGGGACGTGTCCCGCAGTTATGTGCATGATACATACATCAGCGCCTCCACACATAATGAAATTCTTCGGAATTCTCCGGGATCTTACTCAATCCTTCACGACCTCACGTGCTGAGAAACCGCGGGACTCTGTCGACTTACTAGGAAAAGATGGTAAATCGTATTAATAGACAACGGCTTATATCCAAGGTCTGTACAAGTGCTATGAAAGCTGAAGTCGACGATGCTACAATACTTGAACAAGGCCAACGCACTGCAGATTCTTTGGTTTAGTCCGTACCGATCATATTCTCGGTGCCCGGCGGTGGGCGTTTTGTGGTTCACGATGATCGACTAAAGGCGCATCCGACCGAATGTGAGTCGCTGTGTGCATGCCAAAATTCAGCTGAAGTTGTTCGGGAGCTGCCCCTCTTCTTGGAATGTGACGTGCACTAAGAGCAGGGCGATCTGCAAGCTCGTCCGAGCTGGTTCCCACCCACCATCCTTCTCTTCTCACCGGTCATCGAGCGAATACTCGACGATATACTGTGCTTCTCATCCGCACGGGGCGTGCTACGAGATACAGACCCTTTTACAGACTTGCCCAGGCTCTCATACAGTTATCTTTTCTCAACGCAGCTGCATTGGTAATAGCCGATAAAGAAACCCAAGGCATTGGTACACAGCGTCACAAAAGCGGGCACTGGGTCCGGCCTTCATGGGCAGCTCAAATCGGCTAGCGTGTGTGTGCAAGCCCTGGAAGCAATACCCGCAACCGGCAGGCACAGGCTCGTATAGTTGCTATACTTTAATTGCATTGATGTGTGGCATCCTCTCACCTATCAGCGGTATGGCTTCTCAAACGGCATTCACACTGGTGTCTAGACACATGATTTCTTGCTATGATGATGCACACTAGAGGCGACGACAATGCCTCGAGCCCAAGGGTTGGAAATGCTCAAGTCAATGCAGACGCAAGTCCAACGATACCTGCACAGATGTTTGCGATATCTCTCATTTGAAAGTTTATCACATGGTATGAGTATTATGTGTTTCGGGAATTGTGAGTGGCCCATCACTCTGCGTTGTCGTGGTACGATGGGTTGAAATTGATGGTCGTCAAAGTATGGCATCGCGCACCGATACGAGCATAGATGCGCCTATGCTCTGATGAACATGCACACCTCTGCAAGGCTGGCCGTTCTTTTTCTGTCGCCTCACCGCTCTTCGCTTCTTCATTGGTATCCTGCGCCTCGTTGTCGTCTTTCCGCCTCTGTTCAATTAACAGTCCAGCCGAGTCCACCCTGTGGTGTCTTTTCCACTTCCGACATCGGCATATTTGTCAGCATTCTGCGACGATGCTCGATCTGCGCGATGTGGAAGTAGTCTGCAACCTTTTTTTAATCGGTCTCCTCGGTCTCTTGTAAGCATCTGAGCCGTGGAATCGAGCAGCTGTTGTAAGAAACTGAAGTGACTCTTCGACTAATGACTGCTGGAGAGTAGCCTTCTCGACCACATGTTTCACCGATGCGCAAGGACTGGACGCTCCTTTTGGCAGAGAAGAACACGGCGGTTGGAAGCGCAAGCGAGAGAAGCAAACATGTTGTTACGCTATCGTCCTCTTCGCCCCGCCTTGGCCGTCTTATGTTACACAATCCTAGTCTAGAAGGTTCTGCATGACTGCAAGCGGACAAGTTAGCAGGCTCCATGCATCAGCGAGAAATTGCTGTTGCAAACAACCAATCATCACACTTTGCCCAACGCACTTGTCATTCAACGAGCACTTCACAACATGCGCATCCTCCTACTGCATTCACGATCATGACTTAACGTTTCAATATGATCTTGATATATTATCATAGATGTGACTCTGTTGTCCGCCCGTTCTCCTTTTCCGCACCAGATGCTGATACTCATCGCCCTATGGGCACCTGTAATATGAACGGGAAACGCCACTAGGCGGGAAGATACATGAGAAACATATGCTACACAGCAGTCTGTATATGTCCATCCATCTGGCTCGATGTAGCGTTGGATCACTCAGTCCTCATAGAGTGAGTCATGATCATCCTCTTGAGCAGCATAGCCAGCGGCGAACTGCTCTTGCATATCCTGGTCTTCCGCTTCCGGCTGTCCTGCAATATCTTGAGCATCCGCCACCTCATCGTCTTCGGTAAGATCGTCATCCTCTTGAGCACCATCCCTGTCCGATTCTTCAGCGTCGCCGAGCTCAACAACCTGCATTTCCTTGGCCTTTCTGGAGAGTTTGATGTTGATTTCGCCCAAGTGTTGCGGCTGCTGAACGTCGAGCATTCCCTTGGATCCAAGCCCAAGCACCATCATGAAGCCCTGACCAGCGATCATTTTGGTGTTCTCTGCGGATGGGAGAAGCTCTTCAAAGGCGATGTCCTCGATATCAGCAGCGGCTTCGGCTTGGAGTACGTCGATATCGTGCTCTAGGTCAGCTTGAGCCCGCTTGCGTTTCTCAACGATACGTCCGTGGATGAAATTAATGAAGTTCTCGCCTTCTGCCGACAGGGCCTCGCGAAGACGTGCTGAGGGTTCCTGAACTGCTGGCTCGGGAAATTCGGAGCTGAAACCTGGTAACCCAAAGTCGTCACCACCGTAATCGGTGTCACTCGTAAAGTGCTTCAATCTTTCAAGAGCAAGGGGCTGTCCGCGACCTTTTGAGGGAGAAGCAGAGACGAAGCGGCTTCCAGGCCTGCTCTGGTCAGCGGAGCCTATCATGCCAGCGCGTCCGCTTCGAGGAACGACTGAAGAGCCTCTAATAGAAGCACTGATGTTCCACGGCATCGCTGAGAAGATCTGTTGATCGTCAAGAGCGGAGACACCTTCGCGAGGTAGTTCGACTGCGATGTCATCTTCACCAAACAAAGGAATGTCCTCATCTTCAGCCGAACGATCGACCTCGGGCTCGCCGATTCTCTGACGCACACGGCGAGATTCTTCCTGGGTCGCATCATCGATACCGCTGTCGCGGTCGTGCTTCACTCCGGTACCCTTGCTGCGACTGAAGCCCATGATCGTATCAAAGAGGTTGTCCCCAATGAACATGTCAAACGGGCTAGGAGCTTGACCGTTCAAGACACGTTCGCCGATACCGCCAATACCAGCGCCCCACACGTAGTGCTCCGCATTCTTCTTAGCCTGAGTAGCAGCACGCTTTTTGGTTTTCTGCCGAGCTGCTGTTTTCATGTTCTGACGGTAGTTCCTCTGCCAACCTGCCAACTCCTTGTTAGGGAGCTCTATAGCTGCATCGATAGGAAGCGTGCGTGGAACCCGACGACGGCGCATGGGCGCGGCGAGCGAGTCGGATGATTCGATGACTTCTGAATGCTGATTGGACTCTTGCGGACCGTCTGATGGGAATGCTCCCCCTTCGATAGGATCTTCGTCGTAGGTCGGAAAGCCGATATCTACTTGATCGCCCGAGAACTGGTATATGTCAGTCGTCATTCTGAAAGACGCTGGTAGTAGATGCGAGATTTGTTAAGAATGAAAGGTAGAAGCACTGAAGATGCAAAAGAATGTCCGGAAGAAGACAGCCAGCAAACACCAGTCGAGGAAGCCATAGATGACCGACTGATTGGGCTTGAGAGATAGCGGTGAGATGATGCGTTTCCATGTCCTGAGGCTCGAGTGAGAGCAGCGAAGCCTCACCATAAGACTGAGGACTGATGTCGCAGTGCAAAAACACGTGAGAGAACGTAGCAAAACTCACCTGATCGCCGGCCTGCTGTCCTTCCTCGTGGTCCTTCCGAACCCGCGCACTGGCTCCGGCATCACTGGACATTTTCGCACCTGCGGTCCTAGCTGGCGTGCTGGGCATTTTTTGCCGCGGTGGCAACTGGATGATCTCGCCATCGTCTGCGATCATGAAGTCTGGCTCTTCAAGCTGGATAGTATCGCCAGCGCCCATGGCACTTGGTCCGCCAACACTGCCTACTCCATCATCGCCTTCGAGTCTGAACTCGGCGGCCATCACGGGAGATGAAGTAGGCAAGATGAGCCCGCCGATGGCATCAGCATGGGATGAGGACCGTGCTTGCTGGGAGCTGAAGGGTGTGAGCGTCTGGGAGTCGCCGGACCGCGCAATGTCGAGGTTGAAGTCGTGATCTAGTTCTGCGAGGAAGTCTGGGGGAGGAAGCGCGAGCTCGGGCATGAAGGAAGGGTCATCTTCGAGCATGAGCTGCTCAGGCCTAAATAGATTCTGTGAGTAGAGTAACCATGTTATAAGGATGATGCATGCTAACCTCACTTTGCCGGCATCTGGATCGAGTGCGGTATGCTTCACCGTCCGTAGCATCTCTAGCAGGGCGTTTCGCGCACTCTCTGCGTCCGAAAGAATATATCCACATTGTTGTAGGTACACACGCGATACACCGTACCTGCATGCGTCAATAGTCTGTCGTTCGGATAAGGTATGGCAGCGCGGCGTACATCAAATTGCCCTGTAGCCGTAGAGCCATAGGCGCTACAGGATCGACAATGGTCTGACATGCTTTCTGTACATCGACTTCGAGAATTTGTTTGCGGCCGATTCGTTTTTGGGTAGTCGCGACGAGCCTGCCACTTCGGTCAGTACCGGGCAGCAGCGACTGGACGACTCTGCAACATACCACACGGTTACCACACCGTATTTGCGCGACGTGAGCACTACGAGCGTTAGTCAAATCGTTCTGAGCTGCAGTCTCGGTTCGGAGCTTACCTTCGTGACTGTAGAACATGGTGTCGGTATCTAGTACATGAAAGTGATGATCGTACAAGTGTAATGATACAGGTGGGAGATTGCGGCGTCTCGCGAATAACGCGATATATTATAACAGAATCGCAGTAGACGAAAGGATGGGAAGGAAAGCAATCCGGGAGGTGAGCGTCACTATCATGAAAGGGCTTGGCAGCACGCTTCGACGCGTTTCTACGCGTGGTGAGGTCAAGACGGAAAGGGACGAAAAGTGCACTTCAACAGTCTAATGCCGTGTCTATTAATGCAAGTTCTTGAAGTCATGCAATCGTTACTTAAGTTCTCAGAGGTATCGTCCCATAGTCGTTCCAGCTTGTATAATGCCGAATGTCATGCATTGTATGCCGCTCAGGTCCCGTTTGCGCTTCAGCATGTTCTTGCGCGCGAGACTCAAGGACATGGTCATGGTGACGCGTTTCGATTCAGCCTATGAGTCGCCCATCTGCACGTCCTCGTCGATGATGGGTAGAGGGACGGCGCGGTAGAGGAGGATAAGAGCCGAGTGGCTTTGGCCTGGAACATGTCAGTCATCGTCAATTCACACAGTCACAGTCTGGGATGCTTACCTCCACCAGACAAGGTCTGTATCCTCTCGGCATCCACCTCGGATACCTTCTCGTCGTTAAACCACCACCATTTACCGTCTTCTTCCTTCCGCTTGCCAGTGTTAGGGTCCTTGGGTCCCTGCTTCTTGACGAAGGACGTGTAGTGGCCACTATCAGCGCTGGCGCCCTGATGCGTGATGACGCCCCTCAACTCGTAGAGACCCGTCTGGTTTGCGCCCTCATCTGCAGTCATCTTGGAATCTACAAGAGCGAGGAGCTCCTTCTTGGCAGCAAGGATTGATGCGGCACGTTCCGCCTCGACCTGAGCGTCGGTCTTGTACTCAACCTCCTCCATCTTGGTATCCTCAGCCGGCTTGCTGGCGTCCTCCTTCTTTTGTGCAGCTTCCTTCTTCTTCTGTAGAGGCTCCTTGCGAGCAAGAGGGTCACTGTCGTTCTCCTCGCCAGCTCGCATGCGCTTCTGTCGCTTGCGGGCGCGCTCCACGTCCTCCTCTTCCTTGCGGACTTCACGGATCTTGTCCCGGATTGGGACGAGCATCTTCCTCAGGTCGTCTGTGCAGAACTCCAATGCGTCCAGCTCTTCGGGGAAGGTGACCTTGCGCATGATCTTCGCCTTCTTGTTGGTATCTTTTCGCCAGTCGAACCGCACGAAGTGGATGGGGAGGTGTTTCGGTAGGCGCGCGATTTTGGATGTCTTGGTGTAGATGGCGTTTCGGCCCAGAACCTCTGATCGCTTCTCGATCTGCTCCTTCAGGCCAGCAGCCAGACCGTCCCTGAGGTGGTTCGTCTCTACGTTGATGTGGCAGTTGAGCTTGAAGAAGAGGTCCTCGCTGTGAACGGGTTCCTCGCCACCCTCCTTCGCTGCGGGCTCATCGCACTCCATGACCGACTCGAACTTGCCCGCCATGTACTTGTCGATCCAGGATAGCTCCCTCTTCTTGTTCGCATCTGACCCTGTCTCGTTGTCGGTGATCTTTAGCTTTTGTCGGAGCAGCGAAACGATTTGTGACCAAGCTTCCTCGGCATCCTGCTGTGCGTAGCCGTGGCCGTCCTTTGATTTTTGGGCGAACTGGGGAAATGCGGTTCGGAGAGCGTTGAGGAACATGAGTGGAGGGAAACCATTTTGTGTCTCGGACATTTGCTTGAAGAGGTCGCGGAGGGAGCCCGTTAGGTCGGCTGAGCCACCGAGGCCACCGAGACCGAATTGACTGAGCTGCGAGGCACTGGATGAGCTGGCGCCGTTGCTGAAGAGGGTCAGTAGGAGCAAGTGGATATGATGTAATCAGACTTACCTGTCTGCGTACCGCAAGAGCTCTTCTTGAAGTTCCGGGATGGAGCGTAGCGTCTGCAGGGTAGAGTTCATGTAGCAGGTGTTGCCCAGGTTCTGCAGGCCTGCGGGTGTGGCGCCCTCCAACTGCGCAGCTTCCGCCTCGTCCATGTCCTCGAGGAACTTGACCGGGACCTTGGGCTTCTCGATAACGTTTGCCGACCCCGAGGGCGTGCCCATCATCATGAGTGTCTGGTTCGGCTTGAGGCCCAGCTTGGACATGTCGGCGTCATCCTTGAGCTGTCCGCCCTTGACGATGACCTTTTGACGCTCTGGCTCGACGCCGGTGATGGAGAAGAGTTGGTACTTGAACGTCTCGCCGGTGGAGGTGGTATCCACTTCGACCTCGTGCTTCTTGCCCTGATGCTTTACGATCACTACAAACATGTGGATTAGTCTTGGGACCCTTCGAACAACCGTGGGACGCTGCACGTACCTGGTATAGACGCCATGATGAATGTTCAACTATACGGCGGATAGAGTATAAAAGATTACGGGAGGCGGAGGCGAGAGAGTGGTTATAGTGTCTTCGTGGGGCAAAAGTTAATGGAAGCATGAGGAAAGAAGGCCGCGCCAAGCTGACCGCCGCCCGGAGCTTCTACCCCACTAGCGCGACCAGCTGCAGGCACCGCCAACTCGTACTGGCATGTCATAGCCCGCTCTCCCCCGACGGCAGCCCTACCATTCCAACATAGAGCTGCTGCAGAGCTCTATTCGCAATGGTACTGTTGCTCCCTACTGCCGTGGTCTAATCACGTGCTCACACTGACATCCTCAGTCGCAATCACTCCGCCCGTACCTCCAGTGCGTGCGCTCGTCGCTCACAGCCGCCCTCTCCCTCTCCAACTTTGCGTCCCAGGCCTCCGAGCGCCACAATGTTCCCGAGATCGAAGCCGCCAGCTCCCCCGAAGTCATCCTAAACCCGCTTACCGTATCGAGAAACGAGCATGAACGCGTATACATCGAGCCCAGCATCAACAGTGTGCGCATAAGCATCAAGATCAAGCAGGCGGATGAGATTGAACATATCCTGGTCCACAAGTTCACACGGTTCTTGACGCAAAGAGCCGAGTCCTTCTATATTATGCGGAGGAAGCCGGTCAAGGGCTACGACATCTCGTTCCTGATCACCAACTTTCATACCGAAGAGATGCTGAAGCACAAGCTGGTCGACTTCATCATTCAATTCATGGAGGAGGTTGACAAAGAGATCTCAGAAATGAAGCTCTTCGTAAGGCAGCCGAGGTTCTCATGTCCGAGCATCAGAGCTGACACATTACCAGTTGAACGCAAGAGCACGTTTCGTGGCCGAGTCTTTCCTTACTCCGGTATGCATAACCCTACACATACATTCGTGCACGGATACTGACAAGACTTAGTTCGATTGAGCGTGTTACGATGCCGGCGTTTGTATATATTGGCTCATTACGAATACTTGGGCAGACGAAGCTAGAACGAACAGATGTCAGGCCCGGAATCTTTGCCCACGAAGGAGAGCTGTGTGGAAAAGTTGCTGTGCAAGCTGAGCATTCGACCAGCATTCAATACAAATACAAACTTCGAATCCATTCCATACTTGACGTACACCGCCGATTGCCCGAACATAACCGCAGACACTACTCGGACTAATGACGTGCAAGGGAAACGTTACGTTAATGGCACTTTTACAATGTCGTTATTCTCATTTGGATGTTTCATCTACATATTGCTAGCCAGGCGCAGTGATGATCTGCAAAATCTCTAGAAATCGAGCTCACAGTTGATCAGCGCTTATAACTTGGCCAGGACAGCCTCGGCGCCAGAGACCTACAAAGTTAGCAACGAGTACTTCTACTTTTTAGAACGATGCGCAACTTACCGAAACCTCACCAGGGCTCTTCTCGTTCTCTGCGTAGATGACCTTGCCGTGGTCGAAGACCATAGCCCAGCGACCGTTGCGGTCGCCCATACCCGCAGGCCAACCGTATTGCTTGGAGAAGAAGGTCTTAGTGTCGCTGAGGAAAAGGACCTCGTCGCCCTTGACGCCGTTGACCTTGCCCCAAGCGTTCATAACCCAGGCGTCGTTGCTCGCGATGGTAGCAATGACATCAACACCCTTGTCCTTGAACTCCTTGGCCTTCGCGATGTAGGGAGGGAGATGGTATGCTTGGCATCCTGGGGTGAAGGCGCCGGGAACGGAGAATAGGACGACCTTCTTGTCTGCCCACTCCTTGCTGGCATCGTATTCTTGGGGACGGCCGCAGGCAGTGGGGTCACTATCGGTGATGGGTGCCCATCTGTACGAGAGAAGATACTATGTCAGCGTACGTTCTGAGAGCTGCGGTGGTGAGCGGAGCTCGATACGAAGGTACTTACTCGAACTTGACGCCCTCGGGAAGCTTGTCACCAACTTGTAGAGGAGCCATGATAATTATTTGGTATATGTACTTAGAATTTCGTGTGATTTGAAGGGTTGTATAAGAGATTGAAGCAAAGTGAGAGAAGGTGACTTGTTAATGTGGACGCCCGATTAGTTATGCTAGCTGGAGGGGTACCCGCCCGGCTTCCCAAGCTTGAAGCTTCGAGATCATAGTGGGGCACATGCCGGCCGAGGCTTATGACGCCAGGTACCAAGCCAACGCATTCCCAACGTTGCAGGGTTTCTTTGACAAATCTTTTTGGCCTATTAGAGCGGCGAGTGAGCGTGTACCTGAATGAGCAGCTAGAGGAGAGGTGCCGAAGGAATCGTACCAGAATCGCACAAAGGCGAGGTGATGGTGTAGGGGAGCTTGGTCAAAAGAGCTATCTGCTACGAGCTTTCAGAATACTAGTAGCTGAGTTATTGGCGTGTATTTACTGTGTGTCGGCGTATCGTTGTTGTGGAACATTCAAGTGATCGTCATCTTTGCTTTTCAAGTTTCTCGAACCTTCTCAACAGCTATCATCTCACGCACTAAGCCGTAGGTCTAATTCCTCTCTTGAAGGTTATCAAGAGTAGTTTCAACCCCAGTCAGGTTTCACAACATCTGTCGCAGATTGGCTGAGCTTCACCTGATGAGTCTGCATGTAAGCACATGCCGAAGTGCCGATATGAGGCATCCAACGGCATTTCTTAGATCATGATTCATGGTGATAACGTTCTATATTTGAGCGATCACATTGACCTTCTGCACAATCAATCTCGTGATATCCGCTTTGTCAATCCGACCATGTCTCTCGCACCACCATTCACTAAAGAAAGCGCCCACGCCAAGGTCAAGAAGGCTCAAGACCTCTGGAACGGCCAGTGCGTGGTGTCATGACCAGTTCTTTCATCGTTGCTAAAGCGTACTAGAAACCCCAAGGTAATCGCGCAAGCCTACACGCCTGACAGTGTTTGGCGCAACCGATCGTCCTTCCTCACTGGTACGGCAGACATCGAAGACTTCTTGACGAAGAAGTGGCAAAAGGAAAAGAGCTACCGGCTGCGCAAAGAGCTATTCGCCTTTTCAGATAACAAGATCGCCGTTCAGTTCTGGTATGAGTTCCAGGACGCCCATGATGGCATGAAGTGGAAGCGATGCTATGGCCTTGAAGACTGGACGTTCGCAGACGATGGGAAGATGCGTAAGCGGCAGATGAGCGGCAATGACATCGAGATCGACGAAGCCCGTGAGTATTTCCAGTCTCCGTGTATCTTTATTTTATGATCGACAGCGTTGCTAAGGTCTGTGTAGAGCGATGGTTCAAGGACGGCGTCGACGTGAACGCAGTCGAAATTAGCGAGTCTCATTGGTGATGGGTGTTCTTGGTGTATTCAAATAAAACAGGTGGGTATCGTGACGCTTGCGAGAAAAGAGACATGTATGCGATGAGTTCGTTATATGGCTTATGCTGGAGGAGTATCGTGTATAGCGACGAGAATGAATTTGGGATCTTGAGTCGTTAGCAGAATCCCCGCCATCGAGTGCGTGAGGGACATACCTGGTACAATGACCAGTTCATTCTTCCTTGTTCGCAGCCTAAGAAGTTTGACCTCATCTTCCTTGTCCAGCTCGTCCACAAGGGTCCCCGCAGCCGTCAAGAACGACCAGACCATGCTCGCGACATCCTCAGCACTGTGTATCCCGCTTTCTTTCCGGCCGTTCGAGTAGTTATCCGAAGCGGCTTCCCCAGAGGCTGGCAGGGTACTGTTTGGATTCGCTGAAGAGCTGTTCGATATGAGACCTGAGGTGCGTATTATAGTGCCGTTCTCGCGCGACAGTATAAGGGTGCTCTGAACCCCGGGCTTTTGGCTCAGTCGCGTGAGTAGCGAAAGTGTCTCGTCTGGCTACGCGCATGTTAGTAATCAGCGTCTGAAAGCGCAATAAGATACATACAGCGTTCTGGGCCATGGTTTGTGATGTATGCCAGAAGAATAAGAGATGCAGTCGCGGTTTAGAGCGCGCTGATGACATCGGCGTACATGACCGCGGCTGGACCCTGCCAAGAGTTCACCAACTCAGGCCTCTTCGGTGTTAGCGGCGTCTGTGGATCCTCAATTTTCCGTACATCCAGCAGAGAACGCGTCGTTCGCTCATTGACGCGCATATACTCGTTCATTCTCTCGACTTGTGCACACGAGAAGAGTCTCTGAAACTCACGACTTCCCCAGCGATCCGGCAAAACTAAAGCAGTCCGTCACCATGACCAGCAGCTCAAAGAAGAAGAAGCAGAACAAGAAGAAGGACTTTCAAGTAAAAATGACCAAAATCGCCGATACCGAATCCCAACGCTAATAGAACCAGAAAGCAAAACTGAAGGTCGGAAAGGCGAGACCCAAGGCAGCAAACAGCACAGATACGAGCTTCCGTGCGAAATGTAAGGTCTACCTCTTCAAATCTCTCTCTTTTTTACTAATGTATCATAGCGATATCTCTCAAGCAGCAAGCACTCTCTACTAGTGCCCCATCTTTGGAAGCGCAATGTGCGCATTATCTGGGTTTACTTAATCACAAGGCAGACACACAGCGAAGAGAATCCTTAGCCTTCTTGACATCAGCCATCGCAAATAATCCGCCTACGGTTCCATTGCCGCAGCCATCGTCTGTCATCATTCCTGTGGCACAAAAGCTCATTCTAGATGGATCCAACAGCGTTCGTCAACAATTACTGAAGCTATTGCAAAGCCTGCCGCCACTCGACATTGCCAGTCACGCCGACCAGCTGTTACTCCATACAAGAGCTGCCATGACGCATTTAGCAACAGAAATCCGTTTGTTTGGCCTTGACGTATTGGAATGGCTGCTTTCCGTTGCAGGCGATGAGGTCGTCAGCTGTGCTGGAGGTTGGGTGAAGATGCTCAAATGCTTCCTCAGTTTACTCGGTTGGCAGAGCGAAGCGTCGAGCAAATGGTCAACTGCCAGATCGTATGGAAAGGCTGATACGAAGATGCAAGTCAAGCAAATGAACGCGTTGACTTCCTTTCTCCGCGCGGGACTCTCCCACAGGCAGACAATAGCTTCTGTGGACCTCAGCGACAACAACTTTCCACTATGGCATACTCAGCATCATATTCTTTCCCAGCGATCGGACGTCTATGCGCATCTCAACTTGTTTGGCGCTGCGAGAGACGAGGAAGCAGAGATGTATGAAGACCGCGAAGATCGACAACGACTATTTCGAGACCGGGCCGAGGCTGCAATCGTCGCAGGATTGGAGCAAGCTACCAAAGGTGGTGGAGAGCTGGGCAGAGCGGGTGCGCAACTTCGCAAAGCCGTTAAAGAAGGTATGGCGGACTTCTATCGAGAGGATACAATGGTTTAAAAATGCGATCCTCCATTCTACTCAGTCTGAATGTAGTTCGTACTACTGCATAGCCGAGGGAGATCAACGGGAGTACCTCCAGAAGTGACAACGGACAATGTCTGGTGCTATCTGACAACAACGCCACCTACACCCCGGTCTCAGCACAAGGGACTAATCGCGAAAGTGGCGACGTTACCACCGTCCCATGACAACCCGCGCAACACAAACATCAGCCTCAGGCTCACGAGTAACTGAACGGAGACATGAGCTAGCGCCATGATTCGAGACGCCACCGGTCAATACACGTGCTGTCAGCCTTGCGCATCAACATCTTTCTCGCTACCAGAACAGACACGACAAGTCGTTTAGGCACTTCTGATCGCCCTTGTCGCCAGCGGTGTAGCCCTCGCTTTGCGTCACCACTTGAGGAATCCTTCACATCCAACGTTGTCATATTCACGGCAGGGAATGATCGAGAGAACCATACATACGCCCGGAATAGGGTGTGATTGAGCGAATTCGGGTACGGCGATATAGAAAGACAGGAGCGTTTAGAGTCAGAGTTTGTAGAGAGCCAGGTTACGATCGCGAAACGTAAACACCCAGTCAACTCAGAATTTTATCGAGAACGTCGCCTAGCTTCAGGCTTATCACACACAATGAACACGATGGCAGCATCGCCTGGATTGCAGGAAGACGAGCTAGCGCTGGCTGATGAGAAAGCCGATGTCGACGTGGGTCTAGTCCCTCCCACAGACTGGATTGGAATACCTCCTTTGCACCACCAAACGGAGTTGTGGATTCCCGATACAGCCGAGGAACTTGCCCGCCAAACAGTTTCTCCGGCAGTGCATTTCCCAGAAACCTGGCAACGGCATCGTGGTACAGCTTCACCTCGCAGCGCCGACGTATTATGGGAAGAAGTGCCTCCTCATCTTGTCCCATTTGTTCCTTATATAGATGAGAAGAAGGAAAAGACGGCCATCGGTATGCCAGCTCCTGATGAAGGGACTATGGATGTCAACATCATCCGAAAGTGGATAGATCGATGCCGACGACTACACGGGAAACAATGTCATGGTAGCAGGACCTCAGATGCATTCGCCTTTCCCATCCTATTTGATCGATGTCGAGAACGGAAGTCTGGTAGTTGCACCTGAACACCCCCGTTACGTCGCTTTGAGTTGTGTTTGGGGCGGGGCAGAGACTTCAGCTTGCGTTACGATGGCGAATCTGGCAGCACTTCAAATGTACAACGGACTGTACAGCGGGTTCGTATCATTGCCCAGTCTTGTTCGAGACGCCATCAATTTGGTGAAGGATTCGGGACTTCCTCATTTATGGCGAAGGATGAGATAGAAGTTACGCTCGCATAAACGGATCTAGGACGGAAGTGCTGTGCGCTTAGTCTCTTGGGAATACAGGAGTTTCTCTTTTTATAGAACGGTCTTTCGGTCTAAGTTTTCGGTGCTATCAGTCTATCGAAGCGCTCGCGTGAAAGAAGACCTTTACATTAAAGGCGTTAATAGCCAAGAGTACATGCACTTGTAGACTCCAATACGGATCGATCAACACTGTCGCACAAAATTGGGAAGGCAGCCAATGATTTGCCGTTCCTCATTCCGACTCCACATCTCTTTCATGTACACTCTCGCAAATTGCGATATACGCAAACGGGCCAGCGGCAAAGTGAAAGGTACAAGCTCAAAAGTACTATGGATGAGCGGTCCTGATCGCGGTATTGAGCTGCACTTTTGATTACGTCACAGCACTAAACATGTCGGCGCGGGACGCGCTCGCCCAGGCCGAAACACTGCTGATACTGCCGACAAACACTGGCGTGCTGGCCACATTGATATACATAACCCTACATACCTCTCGCCGCCTCTTCTGCCTTAACTGTACCTGCGATACACCTTCTCACCCTCTTGCAATTGCTCAATCGCTGGTGTGGACTTTCGTAACCAATCGCAACAAAACCATGTCGATAGTATCGCAGACCCTGCAGGGCGCAGTGCTCAGCATAACCTCGAATGTGCTTGCGCAAGCCATATCATCCTACAAAGACAGCGTATGTGCTGTTGCGCAACCGTCAATGTCCTGGCGCATGTAGCTGACACGTATGCAGACGCCCTTCGCCCTCAACTATGCCACGGTCTTCAAGTTTGCTCTCTTCAGCGTCCTCAGCACCCCACCCAACATAGTCTGGCAAGGCTATCTCGAAGACCAATTTCCTACCAACGTGCCCTCCGCCGCCCCGCCGTCCGAGAAGCCAGGCTCCAAGCCCGACCCCACCAAGACGTCACTCAGCAAGACGAACGTCCTTATCAAGTTCCTGCTTGACCAGACCATCGGCGCCGTCGTCAACACGCTCATGTTCCTGAGCTACATGGCCTATGTCAATGCGCAGGGCAAACCGGGTGTCAACGCCATGGACGTGGTCACGAGCGACTGCGCGAATAAGCTGTGGCCGATGATGAAGGATGGATACAAATTCTGGCCCGCGATAAGCCTTATCAGCTTCCTGTGGGTGCCAGTGGACAAGAGGATCGTCTTTGGCTGCTCTGTGGGTGTCGTGTGGGGCATATACTTGAGTCTGGCCGTGGGCGCGTAGATACGAGTGCGATGCAAGCGCGCGTTGTGGAGATGGATGTCTTGAGCGTTGTATACCCACCCAGCACGAATGCGTTCCTGGGGCGCTGAGTGCGCCAATAAGCTGGAACCGCGAAAAGGTTCGGTTCTGCTGGTCCGTACCACTCAACGCGAACACCTATCCTATATCTTAAAGGCATCCCGTGCTACATTTTCTTATCGTCTACGTGAAACAGTGGGCATCTCCAAAGTATCCTTTTGGTGGTAGGTACAACTACACGCAACCGAGCTTCGTCGTCTTGAGTGGTTCTTCCAATCGGTACCCTCTCTACTGTGAACCCTCTCCACAGTACTCGCACTAGGCTGACAACCACCATACTTACCTTACGGCGCCGAACAGGCTTTTTCACCTTCGCTGCGGAGCTTTATAAAAATGATACTTTCGTACCAAGGGACTTGGTCTTTCTATTGCACAATCAGAATTGACCATCTGCCAGCGTCTAGTAAGGGGTACGTCATGCGAACATGTGCTCCACAGAACCACTTCAACAGCAATTACTGGTCACAGCATTTCGATTTGTGCGCATGTAGTGATTTGTTTTACCAACCGAGATCAAATTAATCTACAAGAAAAGGTCTCTTGTTGTTTACTCATCTCCCCTCAAACACCTCGCCATCCGCATATCATGGAGCATCCTTCAGAGCTCTCTGAGAAAATTACTGACGCCCCCGAGGGGGGTCCCTCAGCGCAGACCCCGAAGCCCAAGGGTAAGCAAACTTCCAAGGGCAAGGAGTCCGTCGCCAGTGGCTTCATGTACGGACCCGTGCCGGGTCAGTATTTCCGTTCACGCCGCGTGAAGCCTGAGGATGTCCAGATGCCGTGGCTCGACAAGCCGCACCCAAGGCAAAAATGGGGAACGATTCTTCCTCTTGTCGGCCTTGGTCTTGGCCTTATGGTGACCGCCATCCTGATCTGGGACGGTTTCAGAGTCATCGGCAAGCACAAGTACTGCGAGATCTTCCACGACGAATTTAAGTCACTGAACGAGACTGTCTGGACCAAGGAAGTCGAGCTGGGTGGCTACGGGTAAGTCGTCTTCGCCCATTGCCGTGCATTGACTAACTCGAATATGCAGCAACGGCCAATTCGAGATGACTACTGGCACGGATGAGAACGTCTTCGTCAAGAACGGTGAACTTATCATCAAGCCGACTCTCCAAGAGGAGCACTTCCTTGGAAGCAACTACACCCTTGACCTACGTGGCCATGGGTGCACGGGTTCCGGCTGGAGTGACTGTGTCGCCACCACCAACACGACCAACGGCACGATCATCAACCCCGTCAAGTCCGGCCGAATCAACACTAGGCGCGGCGCCTCAATCAAGTACGGCCGTATCGAGGTCGTCGCCAAGTTGCCTTCTGGTGACTGGCTATGGCCCGCTATCTGGATGTTGCCCAAGGACAACGTATATGGCCCTTGGCCTCGCTCCGGTGAGATCGATATCGCCGAATCTCGCGGTAACGATCCCAGTTACGCTCAGGGTGGCAGGAACGTTGTCTCGAGCACGTTGCACTTTGGCCCCGACCCCAACCATAACGGCTGGTGGCGCAACAACGTCAAGCGCGAGGCGCTACACACTACATACGCCGCCGGTTACAACACGTTCGGTATTGAGGTAAGTCTCACACGTATCGTTGTTTTCTCGTCAGTACTAATAACATAACCAGTGGAGCGAGAAGTACATCTTCACTTACATCAACACACGCTTGCTCCAAGTCATGTACACGCACTTCGACCAGCCCTTCTTCAAGTACGGAAACTTCCCCCTCGCCGATGCCAACGGCACCCGTCTCGACAACCCCTGGAAGCACACCAAGGGCAACGCTGCTCCATTCGATCAGGAGTTCTACCTCGTCATGAATCTGGCTGTCGGCTCAACCAACGGCTGGTTCGAGGATGGCAAGAGCGGTAAGCCATGGATCGATAGGAGCCCTCGCGCCAAGCTCGACTTCTGGGAGGCCAAGAACCAGTGGTTGCCTACGTGGAAGAACGACGGACAGATGAAGGTTAAGAGTGTTACTATGTGGCAGCAAGGTGGACACAATGGGTGTAAGGCTTAAGGTGTCTAACGCTATTGGGTGGAAGAGATGGCAGGCTTCGTAGACTTGACTCATTGCCGGAAGTACTGCGCAGGTACAAGTCCGTATGGAGAACCTCGCTGTCTGTAACAGTAATACCTAATGCAACGACCTTGTCTCAAGGGATCCAGGGTCTCGTAATTTGTTTGGTGTTCTATGGTTTGTCGTACACACAGTGACAAACGCGATCTCATCGCAAACCATGTTCAACGGTGGCCAAGCTGCTGTTTCGAGGACGCCTGACGCAAGCGTTATTGATATACGCATATGCGAAAACTGAAAAGATGTCTCGGGTACACCTTGATGGAACAACAGGCACGCAAGTCATGTACGTCCGTAAATATGGAAGCTAGTGTTCAGTCGGGAAGGTGGGATGACCTCCGGCTTACCATTTCGGGCTATCACGACCAGGCACCCACTTTTCCACTTCTAACATCTACACGCCTATCTCGAGTGTAACGTCCGATGTTCGCAGCGCGCATACTTGTGACTAAGCCCGGTATCATCCGAACTATACGCGTTGCTCCTCTCAGTCGAGCTGCTACCACAATTCACCACCAGAAGCGCTCGGCATCCCATCTGTTCTACCAACATCTCGTACACACCGCAGCCATGCCGTACTCTCCCAAAGTAGGCGACTCGCTAGACTCGCTAGATACGCCATCTATGATTGTGGACTTGGATCTCATGGAAGCCAACCTGGATAAACTTATGAAACAACTCCTCCCAACCGGCGTCAACATCCGCCCACACCTAAAGACGACAAAGTCTGCCATTCTCGCGAAGAAGATGGTCAAAGCTGGTACAAAAGGTGGATGCGTAGCGAAGCTCTCGGAAGCAGAAGTCATGTGCGAGAAAGGCTTCACAGATCTGCTGATCACCTGTGAGATAATCGGCCCAGCAAAGGTAGCGCGGTTAGTGGAACTAGTCAAGAAATACAAGGACGTGCGGATAGTTGTCGACAGCATAGAAGGCGCAGGCGCAATCGAGAAAGCACTATCAGAAAGCGGTTTCGAAGGCACCGTCATGACACTCATCGATCTCGATGTGGGACTACACCGCACGGGTGTGCAACCTGGTCAGCCAGCCTCGGACCTAGCACGTTTCGTCGCCAGCTCAAAGCATCTCAAACTCATTGGTGTACAAGGGTACGAAGGCCATTTGCAACACATTCATGGTCTTGAAGAGCGCAAGAGTCAATGTCTGGAGAGCATGAGGATTCTCACGTCGACTGCCGATGCGCTAAGGAAAGAAGGTTACACCATTGATGTGGTGACGACTGGTGGAACAGGCACAGCGGAGTTCTGTGTCACCGTCCCTGGGATCACGGAAGTACAGCCTGGCTCGTTTCTCTTCATGGACACGGATTATCGCAATGCTGTTGGTTCAACGAACTATGCGCAGAGTCTGACGATCCTGTCTACGGTCCTTAGCAAGCAGGGCCCCAATATCATTACTATCGATGCGGGCCTCAAGTCGTTGACGACAGATTCTGGACTAGCGGAGTGCAAAACACCGGGGTATACGTATGGCGTTTTGGGAGATGAGCATGGTAGTCTGGCGTGGGAGGAAGGCAAGGGTAAAGAGTTGAAGATAGGGGATAGGGTCGAGATGGTGCCTAGCCATATCGATCCAACGGTAAACTTGCATGATGTGTACTATGCGTATCGGAAGGGGGTCATCGAGGAGATCTGGCCAGTGGATAGTAGAGGGTGCGTGCAATAGCGTTCAGGGTTGCGCAGAATCAGATGGGTAATCTCGACTAAAAGATTATGTACACCTTCTTCATATATGCCCATACTCTTACAGCCCTACTATACAAATTTCCATCTCAAGCGAAATCCAATAAATTGTCTTTGAGATCCTTCACTGGAATGTCGGCAAGGGGATCTTTGCCGGTGAAGGACGCAGCAGCGCGGTCTGCGCTGCTCATCTTTGTGATATCGTAATGTTCACCGCCCATTTTACCTTTGCTAGCTTTGTACGCTTTGAACTTCTCATCCCAGTGCCATGGGTCTTTCTTGGCGCTGCCCGCATTCTTGACATTGTCCGGACCCCTCTTTCTCTTGCCTTTTGCCGTTGTTGCTGGCGCCGATGAAACGTTCTTCTCACCAATGGCTTTCGGGTTCGCGTTCTCTTTGTCGGTGTCGTCGTCTTCTGGAATTGTGACTGGGTTCTCAGCCGCACTGCCAGCCGGGTCTTTGGCCGCCCTCTCAGCCTCAATCCTCTCGAGCTCCGTTGTACCAGTCATGATCTTTTCGATGTCTCCAATGCTGTGCGCGAAGTCATCCTCAGCGTCGCCTACCTTTGAAAGCTTATCAAGGCGAAGCTTGGTCGCGAAGGTCCCTTTATCCGGATCGAGCGATCCCTTCTTGAAGTAGTTGACAGCTTCCTTGCGCCATGAAACACTTTCTCCGTCGATTCCGTAGGCGGGGAGATCGTGCGATAACTCTAGATAATATGAGATGACAATCGTCAAGTCAAGGAAGCGGGAGTCTGGCTTGAGCTCGCCTACTGCTTCCATGGCTGCAAGTATAGTGAGGAGTGCGCAGCCCATTAGGCCGATTAGGTCGCAGGTTGTGTCGCCGTCTTCGTTGTGGACGAGCGCGTCGACGCGCTCCTCTTCGTTCAGCCACAGCCCCACTGCGCTGATCACCGACCACATCTTCTCGAGCCGGTCCTTCTTAGCATGGAAGCCTTGATTAAATTCGACCATCTTTGTGCTGTCAGCTTCAAGCTATCATACCTAGGTGACCGTTGTACTTACCATATTTTCCATAATTTCCTGCATTCCCCATCCTTGCCAGTCTGTGTACAAGTTCATCTCAAAGGCATCTGGGTTGCAGTACTTTGCCTTCCGTCCAAGCAGATCCGCCTTCAGCCACGCATCCCACAGCATGACCCATTTGTGCTCCGGGTATTTACTCGCCGGCGCTTTGAAAAGGTCATCTTTTCGAAATTTATCATCGATGGGCTTGTACAGCTTGTCGAAGATCTCCGATTTCGACTCAATGAAGGCGTCCGGATCCAACGTCCAATTAAGATAATTCCTGCCTTCAACGTCGAAGAAAGGATGCGGTATGCAAACGTAGTCGTAAGCTGCTGGATCGGCGGGCCTGCCCGTGCTGCTGCTATGCTTATTTTTCTTCTGCTTGTCGTTCTTGTTGGGGCGCACCGACTCAAAGGCGGAATCCGAGCTCTCGCTGCCCGATTCTTCTAGGAAGACGCCGGAATCGCGCGCGGTCTTCTGCTTCTTGGCTGCTGGCATTTGCACATGCGATACGAGATGTAAGAAGTGCTCAATGATATGTATTTGATGAATTGAGATAGTTATTTGATGAGTTCGATGGATCGCACGTGTTGGTTGATGAGGTTCATCCGGGTGTTCGTGGAATCATGACATCAAGGGGCTTCGTCATCGCTCCGAGACCCCTGAAGAACGCGAACATCTCACGATAGCACGTGAATGGCGTTTTTGTGGTTTCAAAACACTTCTGGCGAGCCCATGCTATACAAATATTGTAGATTTTGGGGAAGTTGAAAAGTTTGGCCGCCTGTTCTGGTACTGTACCTAGGTAGGGTTAATTGGTAAGAGAAGGTAGACGTGGTAGTTGAAGGTAGGCGTGCAGCGGGGTGCGAGGGACGGACGCGTCGAGGGATGCACGGGCCCGAGCGAAAACTAAGGCTGCTTCCAAAATTCCCAGCCGGACGCAACGGCAGCCTGACCTTGAGCGTATTCTGCCTATACTCTGCAGCATACAATAGCGCAAAAACAAGGAACTGAGAACTTGCAACAGTGATGTGGACTTCTAGGTATCCTTTTGTTACACCGACCGTTCTCATAGCGTTTTGTTGTAGTAGGTACGCAAGATGCTCAAGCTGCGAGACTTGCCACGGATGAACGACATGGAAGAAAGGGCACATGCTCGAATGAGAGACTTTGACTTTTCTATCCCTACCGCTTACAGCCTAGCGACCTGGGTGCTTTCACGACACTCTACCTGTGTCTACTTCGCGATAACACCTTGTACTTGTGTAGGCAATGCTATAAACAACTAGTGGATTAGAGCTATATGTGTTACTCCCTGCTTAATCGTTCTGCTCTATCCCGGCCTGCACATGAAGCCAAAAGTCTGGGGCTGTCAACCGATGAAGTCGCCAACAGATTTCGATCTCCAAAGATATAACATAAGTTTCAATCTACGGCATTGTTGTTAGCGGACAGGCGAAACTAAACAGCAAAAGGATGGATTGGCAAAAAGAGAAGAATCGCTTCTGTCCCCTGCCAGACTCGAACTGGCGGCCTTGGGATATCTGCTTTTGAAGCAGTCATATATGATGATATGAGACCCACGTGATAACCAACTACACCAAGGAGACTTTACTACACCAATCGGTGATTTGATGGAAGAAAGAAAAATTTATGAATTTATATCCCATTATTACGATCCGCCCCTGCTGCCGCTGGGCTAGCTCCTTCCTCTACCGACCCAAACACCCCTACCACTCCACTCTTCCTATCCTATCCCACCAAAAAGATTGAACGCATGTTTGTATACATGACCTAGAAGTCTACATCTCCTTTGAAATCTAGTAAATCCTCATTCTCTTCATGATGTAGTTTACAGAGCACATTTTTAGTTATACCTTGCGTACTCCGACCCTCCGACCTCGGCCCATCTTATCATGCACGCTAAAATTTTGGGCAGTTGCGTCACGCCCAACAGTCACGATTGACGCATCTGATGTGGCTCTGGAGTTATTCTTCTGAATTTTGCAATTGATCATGGCTTCACGAATGGCTTCCCAGCGCGTATGCGCTTCATTGCGCGCATCTCGTATCAGCTACGTTCCTGCGCGGTTTGCTTCCGCAGCCTCTGCGGTTAGGGGGTCCAGTCTACCACAGGATGTGAAAGACGCCATAGCCGTGAGTACCAACCGATACATGCTCTACAGCGCCCTCCATAATGACACTCTATAGCGCGATTCTACACTCCCTACACCCGACCCGCCCTCATCCTCAAAGACAGCCGGCCTCGTTAACCAGCAATTACCGTACATGGTCCCGACCTATGTCCGCCCCCCACCGATGTTCGAGAAGGGAGAGGGATGCTGGATGTGGGATATCGAGAACAGGAAGTACCTCGACTTCACAGCTGGTATCGCCGTCAATGCGCTGGGGCACTGCGACCCTGGCGTAGCGCAGGTCATTGGAGAACAGGCAGGTCTGCCACCACTACAAAGATTATGGCTTACTGACTTCTCTCTAGGCCAAGCAACTCATGCACACCTCGAACCTCTACCACAACCCACACACAGGTCTGCTATCGAAGCAGCTGATCCAGCTCACGCATGCGACGGGAGGCTTCGCCAGCGCCACCCGTACATTCATATGCAACAGTGGTTCCGAGGCCAACGAGGCCGCCATCAAGTTCGCGCGCAAGGTCGGAAAGTCGATGTCACCAGACAAGGAGAAGCATGAGTTTGTTTCGTTCCACAACTCATTCCATGGCCGGACCATGGGCAGTTTGAGCGCGACACCGAACCCCAAGTACCAAACACCTTTCTCGCCAATGGTACCAGGTTTCAAGTACGGCACATTCAACGACGTGGAAGCGGTCAACGATCTGGTTACCGAATCGACATGTGGTGTCATCGTGGAGCCTATCCAGGGAGAGGGTGGTGTGAACGTTGCGACACCCGAGTTTTTGCTCGCGCTCCGAAAGAGGTGTACAGAAGTTGGTGCCGTGCTGATCTTCGACGAGATACAGTGCGGTCTGGGTCGCACAGGTACCTTCTGGGCACACGGCGGCTACCCCAGGGAATGTCATCCCGACATTGTAACTACAGCAAAGGCGCTCGGCAACGGTTTCCCCATCGGGGCCACCATTGTCAACGACTTCGTCTGTGACAACATCAAGACTGGTGACCACGGCACCACCTTTGGCGGCAATCCCCTTGGATCTCGCGTCGCTTCATATATCTTGTCCCGCCTGTCATCGCCAGAGATTCTCGACTCAATACCCGCCAAGGAGCAAGCATTCCGCAAGCACTTTGACGCCCTCCGAAAGCGTTTCTCCAGCCAGATCAAGGAGGTCAGAGGCAAGGGTCTGATCTTGGGTCTTCAGCTTGATGTCGATCCTACTCCCATCGTTACTGCTGCTCGTGAAAGGGGCCTGTTGATCATCACTTGCGGTACGAACACCCTGAGATTCGTTCCTCCACTCGTGATCACCGAAGCCGAGATCGAGGAGGGCATGCAGATTCTGGGACAGGCGATGGAGAGTGTATGGGTCAAACATGACGATGTCGAGGGCACAGACGGTCAGCAGGAGATGCGGTAATGCATACCCTGATTAGCATGGCGTTCATCGGCGTTATAGACAGGTAGCATTGTTCATATCTCACCAAAAGTTAAGGTATTAGAAGGATGATCGCAAGTTGTATGAATGAATTGTATATTGTCATACGCTGATTCCTTTTGGAGTACTGAAGCAAAACTAAACAAGGCCGAAGCCAGCCCTGACGGATATAGTACATGCAGATCAATTTCCAAACCTAGTGTCAGGAAAGTCGATTGGGCGAGCCCGCCGTACAATGTAAGAGTATGATGAAAAGTGTATCATGGTATGACTTCAAATCTCTTGTGCCTCAACCACTGCCAAAGATGCTGGCGACTGGTTGGGACCATGCTGGACCGGCAGCCTGTAAGCCATCACTTTGAGCAGGTACTCGCACCGGCAGACCAGCACCGGCGCCTGATCCAGTACCTGATTCAGGAGGTGTAGTCGCGCTGTTGGCACCACTCGCATCCCCGTTCTGGTCCTTCCTCGCGCCCTTCGAAGTCTTCGCCTTTTTTTGCGGTCCATCCTTAGTCTTTTTATCTGCGCCTCCATACCGATGGTATTTGTGCCGATTCGATCGCCCAAACACCTGCTGCGGTGTCTGCAACAATGCAAAGCTGGACAAGCCCTCGCCTTCGTCGTCATCCACAGGCAGGATCTGAGCATTTTGAATGATCTCGATGATGCCAGCGTCGTCCTCAAGCTCCTTCGCTTCTTGGTGATCAGCACGAGACATTTTTTTCGCGCGATTGAAGATTGCATGCTCGATCGTATTCTCGAGAACTAGAGTCTCAACGAGCACTTCTTTTGTTTGTCCAATACGGTGGGCTCGTTTGATGGCTTGCGCTTCTATATTCGGTCTGTTGATCGGGTTTACAATGAGTACAACGCTCGCCGCATTGAGGTTCAGCCCAAGCGCACCGCACGCGACATCGATAAGCAAGACTCGCACATCCGGATCTTCGTTGAATAGCCGTACATACTCGGATCGCAGTACGTTATTCAGAGTTCTGGCGTAGATGCGGTGGTTGACGTACATCAACTCAAGACATTGGGCGATATAGAACGCCGCGTTGTCACCATCGTAGAAGATGATGATCTTGTCTGTCTCCTGGTGCTGCATCACTTTGTCTAACAGATATGTAAGTTTGGCCGATGTTGTGCCTACGCAGCGTGTGTTTCGGAGATCGGAGTCTGCGGGAAGGTCTGCTATCTCGTCTGCAAAAGTGAGTTTTCGCTTCTTCGTGCGAACGGGTGATGTAACATCCGGGGTGTCTTCGACGCGATTCGCATTAGTGGATCCTGTTTGCTTTTGAGGGGACGATTTGCTCGCGATAGCTGATGTCCGACGACTGGTCGGTGGCTGCTGACCCTTTACCAGCGAAGTCGGAACTCCTGTCCTCTGCAGCGGCAAGTCGTTGAATGTCCCTTCGCTTGTTTCCTTGAGCTTGCCCTCTTCCTCTGCCATCGCAATGGCCTTTGCTTTTGCCGCATACCCAACAGCCTCCAGCCCAGCCGTGGGATCTGAAGAACGTATACTGCTATCAACGTGGAGTTGACCCTCGATGAGCTGCGTAACACCAACCATTATGGGCTCCGCCGAGTGAACAAGTGCGAAAGCCTCTCGCGTCGCTTCTGGCCAACCGTTGACAGCCAATCCCACTTCATGAGATGTACTCAATGCAATCCATTCGGCGGAAGCCGCAAGCTTCGATACGACTTGGCTACTCTCCAAGAGGGAGCTTGCGTCATGAAGCGAGCAGTTTTTATCCTCTTTGGAAAGATACTTACTGCTCGTTTCAAGTGTCGAGACCACATCCGAGAGACTGAAACCCGTCCAAGTAAAGTTAGACTGACGTAGATTCCTAATGAGACTGTGGCGGGCTTTCAGGCTGTTCTTGTGGAACAGATAGTCGACATCGGTCCGTTCACTTGTAATAGCATTTGCTCGCAGGACTTGAATGAAGAGATTGGCCGTCATTTTGTCAAACCAACATGGCTTGAGGTACACGGTTCGGTGTCGCATCGGGGGTAAGACAATATCCTTCTCGACATCATCTGGGCGTGTCTTCACGACCAAGCCTTCCAGTGCTCGGACAAAGCATGAGGAAAACCCGGAATAAGTCTTCCGGTGTTGGTGCTCATGGCGGTAAATGTATTCGTCCCAATCGAGCTTGCCTTCGGAGTTGTCGCACCAGGGTCGTACCATGAGGAAATGTGAGGCAAGCATACCCAAAGCTTTGGCGGCTTTTGCATTCTCTGCATCATGATTAAACGTCTTTCTCTGTTCGATGGCAAGCTCCCGCTGCAATACTGGATCCATCTCCGCATCGACCGTAGACATGTCTACCTCTACACCTACCAAATTCTTCGCAGGTGCTTTAAACGAGCGTCAGCGTATGCACACAAGACAAGACTTGCACGACTTACTCCCTGATACGACCCAGCGTCTCTCCGCTTGTATCTGCTTAGCAACGAGTACAGCATTCGAGACGGAGCTCGAGAACGAGTGTCCTTCGTCAATAATGATCCGTAGCCAGTGGATCTTCTTCAGTGGCGATTCGTAGACTCTATCAGTGTCGACACAGCTGCAGTCGGGGATCCGGGTGGCTCCGATGTAAGGGCAATTACAAATGCGAGAGGCCCCCAAACCAACGCGGCGTCCTTGTTCATCCTGGCCGTCTTGGATTTCTTGTTCGAAACGGTTGCGAGTGAACAGAACCACATCGAACTTCATAAGCTCAGTGGGAGCTGGTAGTTCGCTCTGAAAGTCCATGGTTTCGTCGGTCGGGTGAGTTATTTTCGTCTTGCCGGCACGCTTGGGTACAGAGTCTACGATCAGGATCTTGAGGCCGCCCGGGAGAACGTGCTTTCTTATTTCTGACTGCCATTGATGCAGCAAATTTCGCGGTACGACAATGATGGTGGCGGATGAAAGTACCAATTGACGTGTTGGCGGTATTCGGGTATTCCTATTCATGCGTGGAATATCTGGTGGTATCTCGTAGAATGGAACATCTCGATCCAGTGCATCTTTGATACTTGTCATATCTCCAGCCCCATTCGCCTCAGACTGCTCGAGAAAGGCTTTCATTGGGACTGAGTGTCGGCCCGCGGAAGCAATTGCCATGTCTGCCAGTGATCCAAGTCGTTTGCGAAGAGGAGGTAATGGTCGGTATGCGGCTGGCATCTTAGGAAGATGGCCTTTACATGCCAAGATAACGGCTAAGCAAATTACTGTCTTTCCCAGGCCCATTGTCTCTGCCAAAATACCACCCCGGTTCATCTCGTAGTAGCGCGGCTCTTGTAGAAACGATCCATCTCGAGGCCCGAAGTAAAACTTCTTGCCATTAGGCGAAGTACGAACCTCTAATCTTGGATCTAGCTGCAGCTGCGGCGAAGCTTCCCGTTGCAGCATCAAGCTTGCCGACCGTGTCTGATACGCGTACAATCTGGTCTTGAGCCCCGGTAGAGCCTGTTCACCATGCTGCGACCACTCAGAGACTGTCGCAGAATCTAGTACATCTTGTACGGCGGCACGTGTGTAGCGACACTTGATCTTCGCCACGTCTGGCGTAGGTGATGGTAGCTTGTTGAAAAGGTAGTATAGCGAAAAAGGTTCTGCATCAGCCCAGGGATCAAAGTGACGCGTCTCACCCGGATTTGAGTCTCCACTCCATGCACTCGGTGAGATATCAATTTGTTGGAGGACTGTCCGCAAAGCGTTCTTCAAGCTCTTGCTATTACGGTCAATCGAGCGACGACCCCAGTCTTCTGGCAATAGATAGACGCGAAGAAGGCTGTGATGAGACACATTACCAGGCGTTTCTTTACGTGCGAATAGCCGGATCCAGTGAGCTTCAAGCAGTCGTGATGCTTCAATGCCGATGTTAGCCTTGATCTCGTCGGGAAGTTCTTGGTGCAGTAACTCGGCCCAATCACCACTCGATGGTGAGATTGAAGTAAAATCGGATGTGTGCTTGAAGTGAAGGCAGCCAAGTGTGATGTACCGATCCATATTCTGTGCGCCAGTCTCGACACACTTCACGTGGTCAGAAGCTGATAAGAATCCTGGGGTGGCGGGCGTAGATGATCCGGTAGCAGCAGAAGCTTGCGCTGAAGATGAAGATATGGATACAATATCGTCACGATTGTTCATTAGCTGATCAGCTGAGTTGTGAACTCTCTTGCGTGCGGCTTGATGATCATAGCTGTTACTGGTCGTGCCGCATGGCGTGGGCGGCATAGTTGGTGTTAGTCCGACCATCACCAATGTTTGTTATCATCAGAGCCAATGGGTGCAGCTGTGGAGCCCGAGAACTAGGATACAAGAGTTTGAGTCGACGATGGGAGGTGTATTGCAGATCAGACTGGAGGCGACTGCCTAGGTGCCAAGTAAACGGCATTCGCGTTCCGCGCTAACCCAAAGCATTAGCGCGTACCTCCAGTACCGAGCCATCTAAGCAAGGCCTCAACCAAGGCGATGTTCAAATGGTACTGAATACAAAACGTTGTGCCTATTCAGTAGTCCCTTGCGGGGCTGTAGAAGGACAGGGATGCAGATGCGTTATATCCGGTGGTAAACTTCTCTACGCGTGACGCGAGCGTAATCAATCTGCGATATTGCGGACTGGGATCATGTAATGCGGAGATGCGATCGTATATAAAGAGGTCTGAAGATCAATCGAGTTTCTGTCTTGCGTATCCAAGCTGTAGATTCTCCGTCGCAATGCTGTCGTTGTTCACCCATGTTTTGTTGGTCGTTTCGGGCGCACTCGCTGCGCCTGTTGAGAATGTTCAGAGCGCTGCAGCAACCGTAGGCAAAATACGTGGCGTTCGCGACCCAATCTACCATCTATACCTGCAAGCAAGCGCTAAGAACGGTATGCCATTTTCCTTCTCTTAACATTGCGTCTTAGGTTTTTTCCAGAAGCTTGTTAATAACGCGTATAGCCTCAATCCCCGTGCTGGGACCCGAAACCGCAGCTGACGAATTTACCATCGGCGGCACCATCCAATCGAAGAAGACAAGTCAGTATCTGAACATTGCGACCGCATCGACGAGCTACAAGCCGTTGGTCTGGGGGGCCACTGGGGAGACTACAGCGTGGGGATTGGAGGGTGATACCATCATTACTGTGCAGAGTAGTAGCTATGGACGACGTAAGTATTTAGGAAAGAGGCATGTTCGGCTCATTGTCGGCGGAGCTAACATGCGGCCTAGAGCTGAACTTCCTCGTATGTAAATCGGCTGACGCAAGTTACTATGACTTGTACTTGCAGACGGGGAGCGATACGCCGAGTGGAAGGACATGCAGCAATTACCAGACGATCCACCTACCGTGTCTGTGCTAGAGGTTACGAAGGATGGGCGATGGTTGTGTAGGCAAGGTGCTAGAAATAACAACTGAGCCGTAGAAAACCGTAGAGTCTGTCAACAATTCGTCAAGGCTCGGTCCGATCAGTAATTGAGAATACTGAGTACTGAGCTGCTTCGTGTGCTGTCGTGAACATCTGCAACCCGAGACAGCGAAAGCGAGAGACTGTGGCCGCGGCAGTGTTAACGCTATTGGGAATAGCGTCTTTGGTGCCGCACGATGCCCGCAGGAGGCCGGGACATCTAGATCCACCGATGATTAGTGACGTATCGACCTTCTTAACTCCGAGCAGCGAAGCTCTTTCGATGATGATTAATGGGACAATGTGGTGAAGATACCCTAGAATATCAGTCCCCTCTTCCTTCCACCAAACACCGATCAATTGAAGTACCAAAACAACGATGTCATACAGCAGAGTAGGAGTCGTCACCGGCGCGAACAAGGTACCTATACACGTCCACAACCTCTTCGGGAGTACCGAACTAACATTGACAGGGTATCGGACGCGCCATAGTCCAGCAGCTCGCCCTGCAATACCCCAAGTCGCCGCTCAACAACGGACCCTTTCTGATTTACTTGACGGCTCGCGATCAGAGCAGGGGAGAAGCTGCCCTCAAAGATTTGGAGCAAGATGCGGCATTGAAGCAGGCCAAGGCATTGAAGGCCGACGGCGGGCTCTCCGAGATCAAGTTTCATTTGCTTGACATCACAAGCAGCAGCAGCATCAAGACCCTTGCGGAGCACTTGAAGCAGGCTCACGGAGATGGCATTGATTTTGTCATCAACAATGCTGGTATTGCGATGGACGGCTTTAGTAGATATGCCTTGCCAGTACATATCTCGCCATCGCTAACATACCTAGATGCCGACGTCGTCAAGACTACCCTCGACTGCAACTACTACAAGACGCTCGAAGCGTGCCACACCTTCCTCCCCCTCCTCAAACCAACCGGTCGCATCGTAAACCTCGGCAGCATGGCCGGCAAACTTAACAAGTACTCCGAAGAAGTTCGCAACCGCTTCCTCGCCTCCAAGACCGAAGAAGATGTTACAAGCATCATGAAGGACTTTGTTGCTGCCGTTGCTGCTGGCAAGGAGAAGGACGCTGGCTTCCCTAGTGCAGGGTATGCTGTGAGCAAGGCCGGATTGATTGGAGGTACACGAGCGCTGGCCAGGCAGGAGAAGGAAAAGGGAAGCAAGGTCTTGATCAATACCTGCTGCCCAGGTTATGTCAACACGGACATGACTAAGGGTAAGCACACGTTTCCCTGTATGCGCGACATGTGAGACATGCACTGACTCTATTTAGGCAACGGAACAAGGACTGTAGAAGAAGGCGCCCAAACTCCTGTACTACTCGCTATCCACGATATCCAGAACAAGACAGGTACATTCTGGCAATACGAGAAGGAGATTGACTGGGTTGGCTAGAAGTATAGAAGAACAGAAACAAATGAATACTCCATGATCAGTCTCGACAGTGGTCTCATTCAGGCTTGCGATCAATGAGTTACGCGCTTACATGCAGACAGTCTAGGTCAGAATGCGCTCTCAACCAGGCGTTCCGCGCCACTGCTTACGCCCTTTCGCGTACGTTCCCGGTAATATAGCACCAGCATATGACTGAAAGGCGAGATCTCACATCCACCCCCACACGTCACATATCACACCGCATGATAGGCGCTGAATCGGTTTCATGTATATACTACGTCTATGCAATCATGTTCTCCATTCCAATAAGATCCGCTGGCCCATGAGTCACCTTGAAGCTAGAAAAAGCCAAACTTCGCGAAGTCTACTCCAACAGCAACCTCATCAACATGAACCTCGCTACTCTTGGGCTCTTCACAGTTCTCACCATCTCCACATCTGCTGCGCCTACTGTACCTCTGCCTCCCATTTGCGGCACGATTCACCTACAAGGCGGCAAGACCCAAGTCATCTACGGTGATGCTTGTTATGGGATCACGGGTAAAGCGTTATCAGCAACGGTATTTGAGGAGTGTGGGTGTGACTTTTCACAGTAAGTCGCGTCACATAGAAGAGGTCGTAAGGTAGACTGGGCTGACTGGATTGCAGGTGGGATACATGCGATGCGGGAAAGTTGAAAGGCAGGAGTATCACTGGAGTGCCTATCACAGAGGCGAAGGGGTATTGGTGCAACCTGCATTAAGATGAAGCTTGCAGTGCAGAGAGAGGAGCCCTTTCTTCAGTTGTACTGTCTTGGTGAATTCAAAGCTTTGATGTACAAAATGCTCATAACCATAGGGTTGGTTGCTCACTACATCTCTTCTGTAGTGTAATGAACATCAGGGTAGAATACTGCAAATGCCTTCAGGGTTCAGCATGTCGCAGAAATACAATCTCAAAAACACAAACTCGTTTGCAACTCCACTCCATGTCAGGCCTTCTTCCCGAAGGAGATGGCTCTGTACGCCAACAATCAACACGCCGCTCATCTAGTGTTTGGCATCTTCGCTGCCGAGAATGTGTGAGAGCGACGACCATTGGTTCTTGAGCCGCTCAAGCTTTTCCTGAGCATTATCGTTCATCTCGGCCCTCTCTTCCTCACGCGCCAAGTCCAACTTCAATTGCTGAATGGTTTGCTCCTGTCTCCAACGCACTTTCGGCCTCCTGGTATCTGTTGTAATCTTCTAGCCACATGACGTAGTACGTTCTGGCCTTTCTAGCCTGGACTTTCGCCGTAGCCAGCTGAATCTTGGTTGCGTCCAGTTCGCTCTCGGTCGCTTTAAGCTTGTCTTTGGTTTCTTGAAGCTCTTGCATCATATCCTCGAACATGGTGTGCAACTTTGTCTGTGCGTTATTGGAAGTCTGGAGCTGTTGCTTCTACGTAATTACGTCAGTCATCTCTCTTGGCAGTGAATATTCTTGTAGGAATACGTACCGCTACTCGTAGACGATCGACTGGCGTAGTCGCAATCCGGCTTTGAGCGATGCCTGAGGCGCGGTCTGTTTGCTTCGTTCGTGCCATATTGGTATCGTGAAGTCGAATCAGGTCTCTGTGAGAAGGCTCTATGCTGCAACGTAGTCGTAGGAGTATGAATCCGAAGATTCAGATGCGGAAGAGAATAGTGTTATCTTGTGCTTGGGGAGCGCTAGGCAGGTGAAGCTGGCTACCGCGAGAAAACGCAGGTGGAGGCGGCGACAACACATCACAGGTCACTGAATTGAGATTTGCTGTGCGCCGAGAGGAAGGGCCGGTAAATTGAAGGTGAAGGTGAAGGTGATCCAACATGTAGTCGATTGAGGTAGCGATGAGAGATCACAGTTTACAGATGTATGGCACACGCCGAAGAAAGCGAACAAGATGCGCAGATACTCTACCACGGACTTCCTATTTACATCCCGAGAACGATACGTAAATATGGAAAAACCGATGCAGAGTGTGTTACAGGCGACCATTAGGGTCCTTGAAAACGTGATGCTTCCAAAGGTGCCAACGCGAAGGCGGACGGATCGCGGTGTGGAAAGCCTTCGCAAGCCAGATGTAACGGCATACCTGATCATGTAGGCGTGTATTCTGAAGTCTAACCAGCCAGTACTTATACCAATGCGGCACGCTTGAGCTTAAAGCATTGCGACAGGGTCGTGGTGATGACAGAGGAATTCCTAAGATGAGAAGGCCGATCGAGTGTCTGTGGCGCGCTAGCCTCATTAGCACCTTCCCACAGCCACACCTGGGTAGGGACTCACGAGAACCCAAACCCATTATCCGGAGTGCCTTTGCATCGCACACGAGCATGTGGTGCGTCAATCTTGGTCAATTTCCTCACGAAAATGCAAGTCGCCGGGACTGTAGCCGAAGGACCGTTAGAGGGCGAGTCATGGCGGATGACGTTGCGGGGAAGGAGCCCGTCAGGCACCTGTTGGATATTGTTCTCCGCATGAGCATCCTCAGCCCAGGCTGTTTCAAACAGCACGTACTTGCATGCTGGAGCACTACTGGGTTGGCCAATCATGAGATATAAGGAGATGCGGATTGATTCCGATGCAGTGGCATAGGTCTGAGATACATATACCAGGGCGCGGCCTTCATGCGTCGCGTTATCGCTTCTGCGAGCCTTTCATTGCGCATACCCTTGAAATCCTTATATTGACGTGCAACTCATACATAGACCATGGGCAACCACGCGCTGATTTACGGCGCTTCTGGAATCTCAGGATGGGCCATTGTCAATGCCATCCTGAACGGATATCCTTCCAAAGATGCCTTCTCCCGAGTCACAGCTATGGTCAATAGGCCATTGACACGGGAGATGGCTCTCTGGCCTGACGATTCAAGACTGCAAATCGTGTCTGGTGTCGACCTGGTCAAGGGGACACAGGAAGAGCTCGAGAAGCAAATCAAAGAAAAGGTCAAAGATGTCGAGACCGTGACTCAAGTGTACTTCTATTGTAAGTCAAAGCTGTCAGAAGAAACCGCAAGGTCTGACATTACCAAGCATACAAGCAGATCGACGAACCAGAAGCCGAGTGCAAGACCAACGAAGCGATGTTGGAGCGTGCCGTGACCGCGATCGATCATCTGTCCTCCAAACTATCATACGTACTTCTCCCAACAGGTACCAAAATCTATGGTTGCCAGATGTTAGACAAGTTCCCATTCGCGAACGACCTACCACTCAAGGAGACTCTGCCGCCTATTCCCGAGCCGTACCTCTCCCAGCTATTCTACTACAACCAAATTGACTGCTTGAAACGCATCTCCAAAGGGAAGAACTGGAGCTGGTGCGAGGTCCGACCGGACAACATAATTGGTTTTGTGCCAAACAACAACGCATACTGCCTTGCGCAAACCCTGGCATTGTACCTCTCGCTATATCGATCCGTTGAAGGCGAAGGCGCAAAGTGCCCATTCCCTGGTACTGATAAGTCGTGGGTGAACAAGTACAACGAGTCTCCACAAGACATGGTTGCGCATTTTTCCATCCACGCGTCTTTGAACCCGGACAAAACCGCATCGCAAAGCTTTAACGTAGGCGGTCAGGAAGACAGTTGGAGCGGGAAATGGCCGGTAATCTGTGATTACTTCGGGCTGAAGGGTACCGGACCTGAAGAGAGTTCACCCCAGCCGGGCGCGTATATTGACGCGCACAAGAAAGAGTGGGAGGAGCTGGAGAAGAAGCACAATCTCAAGAAAGGGAGCGTCGATAGCGATATCACGCATCCAGGATTCCAGGTATGTCGAGAATCTTGCTGAGCGCGGTGTGTTTGCATGCAGTAGCTGACTACTATTAGTATTTCATCATGACGATGTTCGACTTCGACCGCCAGATGAGCATGGAAGCCTCGCACAAGGTTGGATACACGGAGGAGATTGGAACGAAGGAAACGTGGACGACTGCGTTCGATCGCATGAGGAAAGCGAAAGTGATACCCTGATGCTGTGGAGGCAAGAGTCTACTGTCTGAGGATTTCCAAGGGTGTATCTAAAGGGTCCGGCATGTGGGCCCTTCCAAGCTCGTGGCTGCCCGGGCCCCCGCGCCATCTCCATTGGTGAACACGACCTGGAGTTTCAATAAAGTCCTGTTTAATGTGCGCGACTCTCAGCCAAAGTCTCACTGCTTATAAATAGCGCAAAGTCGGAGTATCGCTAGAGCTATGACGCTAGCCGTGGGTCTCAGTTGGACTCCTGTTTGCTGCACTCCCACGATGTCACTGGAGCAGCTCCATTTGGGCGACTGATGAATAGTCTCAATATATTACGATGTTCCCATCTGTGGGAGGCATGCGAAACAGGATGGTTCTAAAGGGCCTGGGCGTAGTGGCCTTTTTCTGCATAGGTGCGTCGCGTTCCCAACGTTCCAAGGTTGCTGGCGCATTAGACTCAAATACAGTTGTCGCATTGACAGCCCATGATGCTGCCCACGTTGGACACTTGAGTCTTCACTTGTATGGTGCTAACATCTCCATAGTAATCCTGCTAATGTCAAGCTTCCCCCACAAACGACCGGGCGCGAACCTCAACCTCCCTCTACGCATACTTCCGCTCGGCGACTCGATAACATGGGGCGGGCGGCCGGGTGCAGACAATGGGACAAATGGATATCGCGCGCAATTGATCCACGCGCTTATACGTGCGCGCTACGCTTCGGTGGACTTTGTCGGCACGCAGCGCTCTGGACTCATGTCCAACAATGACAACGAGGGACACCCAGGGGCCACAATCAGCGAGCTTCAGGGGGTGATGAAAGCTGGACTACAGATGCGACCGAATGTCGTCTTGCTGCACATTGGCACAAACGATCTGGCTCGTCCTGAAAGCCCAGAAGAGACGTGGGCAGATGCACCGAAGCGGTTAGCAGGGCTGCTGGACGACGTGCTGGACATGTGCCCGGATGCTGCTGTGCTGGTTGCGAAAATCATACAGGCAGCGGATACACAGACGAATGACAACATCAAGACGTTCAATGACGCCGTGCCTGCGGTTGTGAAGAAGAAGCTTGATCAGGGCTTCAAGGTTGCGGTTGTCGACCACAGCGTCGTCTTGCCCAAGGAATTAGTTGACGGGCTGCATCCGTGGGTGTTCCGCGGTTACCCGTGGCGTAGAAATACCTTTGCTAACTGAATCAGGTCCTATTCTGGGTACTTTCACATGGGAAATATCTGGTCCGATGCTGTCAAAGCTGCCAGTGCCCTAGGGGTCATAACACCGCCTGTCGCGTTACACGAGACATGACGCGTTTATAGTTGACAACTTGTCAAGCCTATCTACCACATCGAGCTTCACGAGACACGATAGTCTCTGACAGTGGTGACAGGACGCACGCTGCCTCTCAGGTTGCATAGATATCTCACACGGGAGCTTGATTTCCCGCTAGGCAGTCAAGATTGTCAGACCACGCTACAGGCGACTTCGTCCGGACCAGTCTTTAACGATAAAATGCAACTCGTCTCGATTACTGTGCTACTTTTACGATTCAAGCATGATCATGCCATTGCCATGCGTGAGTCGCATGCATCCGCCACACGTTCATTCGCTAGCCTCGACGGTGGAAACCTGCGCGGGGTCAACATGCGGGCAGGCGGGGCGCCCACGCTGCATCACGCTAAAACATATCCAACCCCCAACCTTGGACCTTTGCCCTCTTCCAAGAAAGCGTGATCACTTTTTGCATATCGGCAATATTTGCAAAGACGCATCAGTGGCATGACAGATGCTGTGGAACACGACAATCTTGTTTGTAGAACCTCGCGGTTAGTCGGTTAGAATTCTTGGACGCTTTGGGAAAGTCTTCTTTGCAGCTCTGCATATATGGCGTCGGATATGCTTTGGCGAGCTGCTGCCGCTATGGCAGCGACGGATGACTACGCTTTGTAGTGCGTGTAGCGTCATGGTCACAGGGATCGGTCGGCATTGGTATATCTCAATCGTCGTGCGGTTCGTTTCTTCTTCAGCCTTACTCCATTGGTCTCTGCTTAGCTATTGCTTTCTGTTCTTCTCAGTTCTTCGTTGCAGATACGACTGAATAGAGAGCGAACCTCAACATGGGTTTCGTAGACGAGGATCGCGTTCGTCTGATTGCGATCTGGGCACCCGTCGCTGTATGTACTGGTTCAGTTCTCTTCCTGACATTAATCTGACAAGTCTAGTTCGTCGCATACGTAGTCTTGACATCAGTCTACAATCTCACACTTCATCCTCTTGCCAAATACCCCGGCCCGCTGTTATGGCGCATCTCGCCCATTCCCTCGATAATATCACTGTTACGCGGTCGCATCGCCTTTGACTACAAGGTCCACCACGACAAATATGGACCCGTCGTACGCGTCATGCCCAACGAGCTCTCCTTCAACACAGCAAAAGCATGGGACGATATCTACGGGCATCGCGTTGGGCTTGCGAACATGGATAAAGACCCTATCCACGTCGGTGCTGTAGAAGCGATACCAGGCGCAACAAACCTGACCATGGCACCGGATATCCATCATGCGAGGCAGAGGAGAGCGCTAGCTCATGCTTTCAGCAAGCAGGCTTTGCTAGAACAACAGTATATCTTGAAGGGATACGTGAACCTGTTTGTCGACAGGCTGAGAGAAAAGGCGCATAAAGGTGAAGCGGCGAACATGGTTTCGTGGTTCAACTTCTGTACCTTCGACATCATTGGCGATCTCAGTTTTGGCGAGCCGTTTGGATGTCTACGTCAAGGTACGTCCCACATACAGGACAATTTATGCATCATCTTCGACAGCTTCATGCTGACACTTACGTTGTAGGCGAAGGCTCAGAGTCCGCAAACTGGGTAGTCCTAATCTACGAAGCCATCAAATCCGGCGCAATCGAACAAGCAACTCGCCGCTTTGCCAGACCCGGGTCGCTCGCGCAGAAGTTCCTTATGTGGTGCATACCCACTGTTGTCCGTGAACGCCGTTTCCGCCATTTGCGCAACTCGACTGAGAAGACCGTCAAGAGACTGAACCAAAAAGACAATGATCATCGCGACTTCATCTGGTACATCCTAAAACAACGAGAGAAGAAGAACGAGGTCAGCGACGACGAGGTGATCATGAACGCAGCTCTCTTTATCGTGGCGGGCAGTGAGACTACCGCAACGGAGCTCTGTGGACTGACGAACTATCTCTTGAGGAACCCGGCCATTTTCAAGAAGTTGAAGGACGAGTTGAGAAGTGCTGTTAAAACGGAAGAGGACATCAACATGGACGTCTTGGGTAACCTGCCATACATGAACGCTTGCATCGAAGAAGGCCTCCGCATCTTCCCTCCAGTCCCCATCGGTCTCCTGCGCACAGTGCCCAAAGGCGGTTCACTAATCGACGGCCACGCGGTACCCGAAAACACATCTGTCTGCGTCAGTTCCTGGGGCGCATCACACTCAGCTGCCAACTTTGCGGAACCCGATACTTTCATCCCCGAGCGCTTCCTTGATACACCCGAGTCAAAAGCAAAGTATGCCGGTGACGCTAAGAAAGCGGCGCAACCCTTCTCGACTGGACCGAGAGGGTGCATTGGCAGGAATCTGACGTATGTCGAGTTGAGGTTGATTTTGGGTGCGTTTCTGTGGAACTTTGATGTTGAGTTTGCGGATGGAGCGCCTCTTTGGGATCCTAAGGATGAGTTCAAGGGGCTGAAGGCGTACAATACTTGGGAGAAGAGTCCGTTGATGGTTAAGTTGAAGGATGTGAGGAAGACGCCTGCTTAGAGGGTTTGGCATGCGGTAGCGCAGTAAACCTTGGAAGTCCTGTGGTAGTATATGTATCTCTATATTTGATATGAAGATACCTAGGCTTTATACTACTCCATCTTTAACTCGGATTGTCCACGAAAGGTTCTCTTGCATGAGAAGTATCGTCAATTCAAGAATCACCAGTGCGCCCACGTGACCTCGCGATTGCGCGACGCGGGGCTGGCCCAGCTCCGAATCACCTACGTCAGCGTCCATAATCCATGCCCGGGCGACAGCTTGACACCAACAATCACCGCCCATGCACCTTTCTCTACTCGCGAAACAGTCACAAACCTCCGCCAAATTCAGCTCCCGAGGTGTATTGCGACTGTGCAATTCGACTGCACAACATAGCTTTCTACTACGCACCTTCCACACCCGCGCACCGCTCTGGGCAGCCTACAACATGCCGCAAGATCCAAAGATCATCAAGGTCGAGGTAAGTTTTTAATGTACGGATTGTATGTGAGACACACTAACGTCGTATGTCTACCTTTGCAGCCGCTTCCTGCAAGCGAGGCAAAGTGGATCGAGTTCCAGAAGATCTCATGGCAGGATCAAACCGGTAAAGACCGTGTGTGGGAAGCCGCGGCACGCAAGACGCGAGGCAAGGCAGGCGTCGACGCCGTCGCCATCACCACAATCATCCGCCATCCCTCGCGCCCACCCTCCACCATCATCATCCTGCAGTACCGTCCACCCGTCAATGCCGTATGCGTCGAGCTTCCTGCCGGCCTTGTTGACGAGAAGGAGTCACCTAGCGAGGCCAGCGTACGCGAGCTGCACGAAGAGACTGGATACAAGGGCAAGCTAGCATTCATCAGTCCGACTATTGTCTCCGATCCTGGTCTAAGCACTGCGAACATGCAGCTGGCCATGGTGGAAGTCAACTTGAAGGAAGGTGACGCCGAGCCCGAGCAGGCGCTAGATGATGGTGAATTCATCGAGAGGGTTGTGGTGCCTATTGACGAGCTGTACGACCGCTTGGTCAAGTACGATCAAGAGGGCAAAACAGTAGATGCGAGGCTTTGGCATTGGGCCGCAGGATGGAACGCCGCCAAGACCATGTTATGATAGAGCCTGCCTGGGCCTGGGCGTAGTCGCGTCGCCACCTCAATCGATTACGTCCCCGTGGCATGATGTTCCTGCGCTATTAATCGATTCGTTCGCGTGTCATCGACAGGCTGAACTTCTGGCCTCATGGCCACATAAAGGTGTGATCTTGCTAAGAGGTTGGTAACTTGCTCACAGAACACTCCGCTTGCGGAAACCATCAAACAAATACTTAATATTCGAGAGGTACCCGTCACCCGTGATCAAGCAACATGCTCCTTATCTCACTTAAAGCGGTCTTAATCGACTTCCGTTTCCTGCTCACTCAGTTCCTTGGCTTTTTTTCGTCATTCCGCGGGCTAACACCGCCTCCTGCTCCACACGTGTGATTATCGCAAGAGACACCTGGGTCTTTGATCGCTTTACCGGTAAGAGCGCGCTGTAACAGCGCCAGTAGTGTACACCCACTGGCGCATATAAGCTGCGAACTTCTTCGTTCTTTCTCTCCTACACCAGCCTCGACTTCCCTAATCGGCATTTCCTCCCGAAAGCCATTCCTATATACACTACTCGATCTCATCTCCCTTTTTCACATATCAGATCTCCTAGATCCTTACAGATCTACCCGTCATCGACACGATGTATTCCTCCAGTTACTTCGCTGGTAAGTTACCTCATGAAGTCTCCAAGTCTTCACTAATCGTGGACAGCTGCGCTCGGTTTCCTTGCTGTGTTCACTTACGCCGCTCCAACCGATTTCAAGACTCAAGATATGTCTAAGGACTGGAGTCATGTCTTTTCCAAAGAACACTTCATGTCCTCACTGATCGAACCCGGCTCATCGATGGCGTCTATATCTGTACCTAGTTGGATCAGCCTAGGCGATCCGGACATCCCTTAAATTCGAAGTGAAATTCGGAACCACTGTCCCTTCTCAGTCTGGGCTCGTCTATCTATCGCCGCCAACAACTCCTTCGGAATGCCTTGCGCCAATGCTGGCGAGACCCAGATGGTGGAAGTACCTCCAAACCATCGGTACAAGGCGCCCTTCCCGTGTCAGCTGAACCAGTGTGGTCATGTCAGTACGTACTCCCTCCACAGCTCTCAATCTCCCTCATTACCTTCAATTGTTCCTGCTAACACACACTTCCAGTCAAGGTTGCCTATCATGCAGAGGATCGCAACGTCTACCAGATCGAGTACTCTTTGGACCCCCATGACGGCCGCATGTGGTACAACCTCTCTGCCGAGGACGGTGCGCCTTTCCAAGACGTTGAGCGCTACCTCGCTGGCTTCGGTCCTACATGCCCTTTCGTTCATTGCACACCTGGGCAGTACGGTAAAGACCCGGTCCATGGATGCGACTGGCCAATTCAGCCCGTCTGTGCCACTATCGGCAGCGTCGTTTCTGTTCTTTGTGGCAGGCTTTAGTAGGTTTGTGGATGTGCGGGTCGTTGTCACGAAGTCGAGGTTCTTGACTGAGTGTACGTGAACGATATAGGTTGGGATATTAGAGGGCGTTTGTATGAAATTTGGCGAATGTGCAATATGCGATGGATAGGTATGTTGCGAGACACTTCGGTGTACTTATAATTTCGGTCAATCATCCATACTCATGCACGTCTACTCTAGTTGCCAACGACAAACATCACTTGCGGCACTGCTCAATTCTTGCTGTTGGAAAGGGAAGCTTATCGTACATGATCTGTACCATATACTTGAAGTCTACCCTGATGTGAGAAGCACCCCGAGCATAATCTACCTCATCTTCGAACTGAGTACAACAAACGCGCATGGCTCTTTGAGTTTCTCAACCCACTGGACGGTTCTCCCCGCCGAAATCTGGTAAAGTAATCCCATACACTCGTTACTTAGTCCTACACTCATCTAGATATGACACACAAACCATATATCACCTTCCGCAGTTTCCCCGCCACACAGCCGCAAATCCTTCTACGGTGTCAGCGTGTTTGCACCGCCTTGCCTCATGGAGATGAGCTCCCTGGTTAGTTCTTTGACCGCTGAAGTATCCCGACCGCCCATGGAGCACAGAAAATCCTGATTCGACTTCCAACACGTCCAATCCCTCGCCGTCTTTGATTCTGAGCTTGGCATCATCTCCGCATGTCGACCAGTGCTGCTCAAGATACGCCGCTAGAGAGATAGCAGATAGCGGGAGACATACAAAGAGTCTTTCTCGCTGCCTCACCCACCTTTCTCACCTTCACCTCTTACGACTTCGACGGCATCCCACACATCCAATCTCTACCTCTACTCAAGACTCCTTCATCTTCTCCAGCCCCAACCAGCATCAAGCAAAACCCACCCACACAGCTTCTCGCCAACCCCCAAAACCTCACCACCATGTACATCCTCACTCTCCTCTTTTTGACCTTCCTCTCGATCCTCTCCCTCACCAACGCCACCGTCATCCCCAACTTCCCCGACACCCCTCCTTCCATCCACCTAGTCCTCAACAACAACTGCGGCTTCGACGTCTGGGTCCGCCAGGGCGTCGCTGCAGAGCCTGGAGCGCGCAAAGGCCAGGGCGAGAACTGCGGTCCCATGAGCGGCAGGGACACAGAGGAAGTCAAGATCAGCGCGGGACAGAAGTTCATCACACCTGTGGCTATTCTCGAGGATAGCTGCGGACACTCTGGTAAGCGCAAACTGGCGAGATGAGGGGTCGCTTAATGAGAAGTATTGCTGATCCACAAGAATAGTCAAGGTCGCTCGCAAGCCAGCAGATTGGCAGACGGTCTATCAGTACGAGATGAACTGGGCTAGGGAGAACCACAAGATCTGGTACGTCAATCGTCTTCCTGGTCTTTCCCTCACCTATGCTTTTCCTTTCCTCACTTTTGCCATCTCTTTCTACCACTCTGAAGCCCTCCTAGCTCTCTCCTACTAACATAATCGCAGGTACAACCTCTCTTGCCTAAACGGAAACCCTTTCACCGACGTCGCCCGCCAGATCGGTGGTCCTTATGGCTTCGACTGCTCGTACTTCCGCTGTGAGCCTGGCAACAATGGTAGCCAGTGCGATTACCCCAAGATGGCCAACTGCGCTACCGCCGGCGATGTTATCGGCTATCTCTGTTAGGCGGAAAAGATGATGGGGAAGACTCGGGTGAAGAATAGGGTCTGGTAGAGAGGAAAAACACTACAGTGGTATGTGTAGATATGAAATACCTGGGATATGATACTGAGATGGTAGATGGCGCGGTACGACTGAATTGAGCATGTGCTCCTAGGAGTGATGCTCTTCTTGTCGGCCTCAGTAATTTACTCAACTCAATTGATTTATCTCATTCCCAAATCTTCTTCGCTCTGCCGTCCAAGTCCTTCCGACAGATGGCATGCTTGTGTGTCCTAGTTGTTCGCCGTCTTATCGTTGTAGTAATGCACAGTCTGATCAGCGCATCCACTCGGCGTCTGATACAAGTAGTTCCCGAGATTGATATACAACTTCTGCCCAGTGCACACATACCATGCACTCTTGTTCGGCCGATTAACACCCGCAACACTCCACTGAAGATCATCTCCGCCCCACGCAAACGTACCGTACGTGTTCTTGCTCTCTGAGAAGCTGACAGCGAGAGACATGCCGTTGATGGAGCGCTCCTCGGATACTACGGCGTAAAGAAGTTTGACGGGCTCGCCGGGCGCGGAGACAAGTTGGACCAACTGGCCGCTGACGACTTGGAACTGGCCAGCTGTCGTGTAGTCGCCGAGGAGGGCAGGACCGGTCGAGTAGAGAGGGTTCGTTTGGAAGTATTTGTGGAAGTTGGGGGCTGCGACTCCGCGGATCCAATAGTAGCCGCTTTGGAGTGTCTTGCCCGGCCCGGTGCCTGCTGGGGTGCTGCTGACGGTGGGTGCACCTGGCGAGACTGTTGTAGATGTCGGTACTGGCACAGTAGACATAGTGGAGGGTCCAGGCGTAGGCGTAGGCGCAGGTGCAGGCGCAGCACCGGGTTGGCATTGAGAGTAATAGTCACTGAGAAGTTAGCATTGATGCACGAGGCATTGATGCGATTCAGTGTCTCACTTGATCTTGACGCAGCCAGCACCTGAGTTGCATGTTGTCTCTCCAGACCAGTTCGTACCACCACCTAGTATTCCATTAGCAGATGACTTTGTGCTGCTTTACGGTGAGCATACACTGCTGCCAATCTCCAACAGCCGCATAAGTAGTGCTCGCTAGCAGGGCTAGCAGAGTTGTGATTGAGCAACGCATGATGAGGCAAAGTATGGCAACTGCTTCAGATGAATAGGTGAGTGCCTGTCTTCTCGCGGATAGATACTGAAGCACAATCCCGATACCATATATCTTCCATCTTCATTCCAGAATGCTACCACATGATGCCAGATATAGTGCTTGGGCTGGATATGATTCGGACCGTGGTCGCCGCGTAAAGTGGTTAAAGTACCCTAGGCTTACAAGCGAGCACCAAAACCCGGGAGCGAGGCTGAGCTGCAATATGCTTGTGCGACGCCAAATTGCTTAATCAATATTCCGGTGTCCAAGTGGCCATCGTCCGATCCTTGTGACTGCAACCCATGCAAGGAATGCCGACCGAGCCTGCAAACCCGGGTACAGCTCGTATCGTGTACAACGGAGGCTTGCTCAGAAGTCCTTCTCGAAGCCCTAACATTCGGTCTAGCCGCCTTCCCAGAGATCTAGGCGCGAAGTGTGGCATTATGATATCGTGTTTTTTTCGCGACAGTGTAGTACGGGCACTCGTTTCGTGGTCGGCTTGTGCGAATGATATGAGGCTCATCGCGTGGTGCGCGGGCTTGTCTGTCATCGTCGCGCGATCGTTCGGAGGCTATGCGTGTACCACGAGTGGTCGTTCTGGAGCTCGGACTTGGGCGAAAGCGTCTGCATCATCCCTCCTCTCCTCAGTCTACCTCAGCGACTCCACTAATAGGCTCCGGTCGCGCCGAAAACACAATCTTGTACTTGACTACCTCCACAATCTCCAGCTCCTCGTCCCTCGCACCGTCCTCGTCCCCAAGACCACTCATCTCTACATCTCCGACATCCGTCTTCTGCCTCTTGCGCATGACACCGAGCGGTTTGGGCAGCTTCTTGCACTCGCCCGTCATGCGCTGGCCCTTGCCAACGTACATGTAGACGCGCTTCATCCATTTCGTGTCGCTCGGGTCGTTGATGTCGGGATTGTAGTGTGGAAAGACGAGTTTGCCGACTTGTGTGGAGGGTGCGGAGGCTGCAGGTGGAGGGAAGTGAATCGTGCCTTGGATTTCTATAAGGGCCAGGCCCGAGGGCGTGTGAAAGAGCTGCGGAAGGGGATTCTCGGCGCGTGGGGCTGTTGCGGAGGAGCGAGGGAGATGGACCGGCACCGACGGCATCTTGAAGAGTTGATCGGGGTTTAGGTGGAATTGGAAGGAGCACCGTAGAGCAGGCGAGGAGTGTGCGGTGTTGGTGTTGTGGGAGGACAATCCCCGCTGGCGAAATGTACGCGACGCGCTGAGTTTTGGTGGGGCGAGAGCGCGCGATGTGGCAGGAATGACGACAGCAAGTGCGCAAAGGTTTTGTTCAAGATTCATTATTATTCATAGATATCTATTAGGTACTAGAAGGTAACTACACTGCTCTTGCAGCTATCTAAGCCCTCTTACCGAAGACCTTGTCAAAGCCAGTAAGGGTGAGCCTGTACTTGACGTTGTCGTTCTTGTACACGCGCTCAACTGCCTCCTTGCAGCCCTCCTCGCTGAGCTGGATCTCCTGCACCCAACTCTTGATGTTCTGCTTGGATGCAAGCTCGAACATCTCCTCCATCTCGGGCCTGTTTCCGATGTGGGACGCGCCCATGTAGCAACCGTTGGGTGCGAAGATCTGGGCGGGCATGGCAGGGAGCGGGTTGTCAGGGAAGCCGACCATGTGGAAGGTACCGTTGACCTTGAGGATGGAGAAGTATTCCGAGAGATCGAACTTGTCAGTCGCATCAGCGGTGTTGATGACGAAGTCGAACTGGAACTTCCATGGCTCAGCCCAGCCCTTGTCCTTGGTGACAATGAAGTCCTTAGCGCCCATCTTCATCGCGTCCTCCTTCTTGTTGGGAGAGTGCGAGATGACGTATGTGTCGGCGCCCATAGCTACGGACCAAAGGACACCGAAGTGACCGAGACCTCCAAGTCCGATGATACCAACCTTCTTGCCGGGACCAGCTCCTAACCTCTTCAAAGGCGAGTATGTGGTGAGACCAGCGCACAGCATGGGCGCTGCGAGGGCAGTGTCGAGGTTGTCTGGGATCTTGAACACAAAGTACTCGTGGCCACGAATATGGCTGGAGTATCCACCCTGTGCGACTGTGCCGTCGTTGTGTTTGGCACCGTATGTGTCGACTTGGTTGGGGCAGTAGTTCTCTTGGTCGTTCTTGCATTGGTCGCAGGTAAGGTCGGCGCCAATCTGAGCACCAATACCGGCGCGATCTCCGACCTTGACTCTGGTGACCTTGTCGCCAACCTTGACGACCTTGCCAATGACTTCGTGTCCTACGCAGAGAGGCAGAGGAAGCTCCTCTCCCCATCCTCCAGTGATGGTGTGGACATCTGAAGCGCAGACACCGCAAGCGTCAATGGCAATGTCGACGTCGTACTCCTCGAACTTCTTGAGGGGAAGCTGGGAAAATGTTAGTACAGCCATCAACTAAACCATTGGCTCATCCACTGACCTCCTGGCGCTTGAATGTGCTCCAGTTCTTGATGTCGGTCACCGCGAAGGCGTCGGTAGTCTCAGGGTAAGGCATTGTTGTGTTTGAGTTTCAATTGGGTTATGGAAGATGTTGTTGGGGAGGTGAGAGAGATGATGGAGGGGCAGGTGTTGAGGGGCATGCACACGTATTTGAAGCATCGGTCAATCCCCCCGCCAGCTGTAAGAGTCGGCCCATGGCGTTTCGTCCAGTGAGGTCATAACAGTGGACGAGAACGAGAAGGTACCCGCCGTTGAGGCTCCTGCCGCTCCCTGATTGGGTAGGCCTACAGCCACGAGCGCGTTGTCGCTATGGTGCGCATTATACCTTATTCTTGACCGTCACTGACGCGTCAATGATCGCAACTTTAACCGTTGCATCGGAGTTCTGCCAACGGTCTCGAGGGCTAGATCGCAAACCATGCCATGTCGCGCTGGCTGATCCACACTATACGCGTCTGGTCGTTCCGACCGTACCGAGTTACAGTGGGTTCGTCATTGCGCTTGGATAGCTCCTGTTGTCTTCGTTGCCCAGGAATATGTTGTAAGAATGTCGCATTCGAGCGCCGGCGAATTCAGCGAAGGCGATGACAGATTTTCCGAGCTCGATCCAAACGGGGAAAGTACGACGATGTAGCTGTTCCGAGTGCCGAGCGTCATGCTTTAGTTGCCGACGTCATAACCCGGACCTCGCCCCCTTGTGCTCTTCATCTCTCATCGGTAGGCATAATTAGAATTTGTTTTTCTTTTGTCGGCTCGTCCAGCGTCGACCAATGAATGCGCATCCAGTCGGACGGGCTGCGAATCCAGGATTGTGTACGCGGGTGCACCAAGCTAGTGTTCTCGTGGCACGCGGCTCTTATACTCCTACAATGGCATGCACATGAGCCAAGCTGATATGGATGAGCTCGTCCAGAACTTGGTTCTTCCACTGCTATTCGGTTCGCGTTATCAAGCTTCCGTCCATTTGCCATGCCACCTGGTACCCCGCATTCACAATGCGGGGTGATAGACCGGAGGCTTACCCTTTTGGGCATTCCGTGATCTTGGGCAGCAGGTGCACACATGCGCTTGCCAGTGAAAAGATACCGAAGCCAACGGAATGACCGACTCCGGGGGAACGAGCGCGACGTCTGACTGTCGGCCATGGAAGGAGCCAAATCACCTGCGCCACTTTGATCTAGTACTTCTATCCTTCTCTTCTGCTATCCTCCGCCATCTTCAAGTCACCTTGAATTACACTTGCAATAGTGTGGACCGGATCCAACCATAATGGCCGCCGCGGCAGACGATAACTCGATGAATGCGCTGCGATTTCATGGGCAACATGATCTGCGATACGAGAGGATTCCAATACCCCAAGTCAAGGCAGGGCAAGTCAAAGTGAAACCAGCATGGGTAGGAATTTGCGGATCAGGTATGGACCCGAGTATGAGATTTGAGACAGCGAGACTGACGTTGCTTTATACCTCCACGAATATTTGGGTATGTACTTGAATGACGAACATGCGGTCCATAGCTGAGCACCTAGGTGGCGCGAATCTCTGCCCTACCACGCCCCACCCAATCACCGGCGAAACTGTTCCACTAACCTTCGGGCATGAATTCAGTGGCACAGTAGAAGAAGTCGGCGACGGTGTTACTGATTACAAACCCGGCGACAGAGTTGTCATCCAGCCCATCATTTACGACGACACTTGCGGCGCCTGCGAGGAAGGTCTGCAAAATTGCTGCTGGTCCAATGGCTTCATCGGCCTGTCTGGTTGGGGCGGTGGTCTTGCGGATCACATAGTCGTTCCAACCTCTACCCTATATCATCTGCCTGACAATGTTCCACTCGAGATTGGTGCGCTGGTCGAGCCCCTCGCTGTCGGTTGGCACGCAGTCAAGACCAGTCCTTTCAAGAAAGATGACGTCGCGTTGGTCCTGGGAGGTGGACCCATCGGTATTTCAACAATTCTAGCCCTGAAGGCGAAAGGATGCGATAGGATCATCGTATCGGAAGTGAGCAGAAAGAGACAGGAGTTTGCGAGAAAGTTCGGAGCGCACTACATCATCGATCCCACCAAGGAAGACCTTGCTAAGCGCTGTCGCGAACTCACCGGAGGCAAAGGTGTACATGTCGTCTACGACTGTGCCGGCGTACAGGCTGCTCTCAATCAGGCCGTACATGCCACCCGCGCTCGAGGCTGCATCGTCAACATTGCCATATGGGAGAAGCCTTGCACGATCTTCACCAACGACTTCAACTTCAAGGAGAGGACCTACATGGGCATTGCGACTTACGAGATTGGCGACTTCCAGGAGGTTATTGACGCCTTGAGCAGGGGAGATATGGACCCGAAAGAGATGATCACACAGAGGATCGCTCTTACCGAGGTCGAAGAGAAGGGTTTCAAGAGCCTGATCAATGACAAGGACAACCAGGTCAAGATACTGGTAGAGGTTGGCGGGGGTGCGTAGATGTATGGCTTGGAAGCTGCCAAGTAACTTCCTGCGCGATCGAGTTTCCATGATGAGAGTTCTGCAGTCTCTTAATGAGATGCAAAGTCTATGGTCAGTTCATGGGGACTCATCACAAGCTGGTCTTTTACCGTTCGATGGCTACCTCGATGGTGAACAGGTGGCGGACTTTGTATGCCTAAAGTAGCATTATAATCACATTTTTCCATCTATTCATCGTTGTTCCTCTGGCTTTTCTCACATTTCTGCTCTGCGCAAAGATAATGACTACGATTCTCAATCATTACCAGATACTCAAGCAAGGCCGACACAGTGTGCAGAGTATGATTCGTATAGATTCAGAACATCCATGTTACGTGTTGAACTAACAAGAAGCCGCGCTGTTCTATATAGGAAGCCAAGTTTGTAGCTGTAATGACTGTAATCCATTGTCCACCATTGCCGTTGCCGGCTGCCATCTACCGATGTCGTTCAACACCTTCAATCCTGCCGACGATGACTGTACATCTAGCAAGTGATCTTGTACGAGTTCTTAGGGCCATACGCCTCGCAAACACCAACTTCGCTGAAAACCTCTGGGGTTTTATCAGTGCAGTCGAGAGAGGTGTGAAGATTGACTGTCGGCAGAGATTAGCGAATTCGGATTGGTGGAATAGAAACTTACTCTTGCAGTTAGGGTTCGCAGCTTCGCTAATGATGAGACTCTTGTTGCCGTCGTAGATGCGGATGCACCTGTTAGCCGGGAGATTGGCGGGGCGCTCAATCAGACATTCGGATGCGGTGCTGCAGGCGGCACAGGTCGAGATCGTGAACGATAGCGTACCTTGTGCGGCACTGGATGCGACCAAGGCCGACACAAGGGCAAGGAAGGTAGTGGAAAACTGCATATTGAAGAAAGTGGGTGGTGTTGGCGTTGAAGAGGAGACTGATATATGGTGTTTAGGACAATAGGGAGGGTGTGAGAGAAGACAAGTCTCGAGCTTGCAGCACTTCGCTCTTATACAAAGCATAATGCTGCGGATGACTTGATCGAGCTTTTACCAACTGATAACACCTTACTGATATTATTGCCCTGTGGGAACGATGACGCTCGTTATGAACCCATCCCATGATCGAGGACGCGTACGCACGCACGTTCTGTTGGGCCATGTTACAGCGGTGATAGCAAGAAGAGAGGCTTTGTTGGGGTTTCGTGCGATTGAGGGCAGGCCACGAGGTACACACGGCTAGCTATTGGTAAACGGGCGTATTTACAGTAAGCATACACGGGGTTTAGCTTGCCACTTCAATCTTACATCTCTCTCTCTCTCTCTCCCTCTTAGCAAGTGTCGACTCGAGGTGACTAGTTCTGCCCATGTGTTGGTCTCACGACTCCTTTTGTGGTAGATTAAAAGTCTTTCGTGCGCGTGTGGTTGCCAGATCGTGGCCGTCATTTCGCGCCACGATCAGAGCATCAATCTATTTACCCTCGTGACAGATGCAAACTGATAGCCGAAGAGTCTCCCATGATCCTGTCGCAAGGAATTCAGAATTTAATTGCACGAGAAATGCTCCAACATTATGAGTAGAGATGTTTACGTGGAACTTCATGCGCGCAAAGATATCAGAGACGCCCTTTATTGTAGATATATATAAGCCCCTCCTGTCATGTGTTGAACGAACAGCGAGCGGCGGTAAGAGACGAAGACGCAAGAAAGATCGCACGATACTTATAAAAAAGCATGTACTGCAGACACCTTGTAGATATCTCTACTTTAGACATGCCAGGTAGCTCAACATGTGATCTTGAAGCTGTTCGAGGGAATCTTGCTTTCACAGACTCCGCCGTTGTCCTTGTGTACCTCCGGCATTCCTCCGCAATTGAGCTCAGGGTAGAGATTCACTGCACAAAATCTTAGCTTGGCATTCGCCGAAGGAAATGCATTCGACTTCAGTACCTTGACAAGACGGCAATGTTGCGTCGTAGGTTTTGATGGTGGTACTTCCATTCCACATGGTGATGCAAAGATCAGGTGGAAGTTGTGAGCGGGTGTTGACGGAACAGAACGTGCCAGGCACAGGGGTGCACTCAGTGCAGTTCCATGTCGTGAAGGAGACGGTATCGTATGCGGCACCTGTGGCAGCCAGAACGATGCCTGAGAGGAGGGCAGAAGTAGAGAAATGCATTCTTGGAGCGAGCTGTTTGGACACTTTCTTTATCTAGATTGAAAAGTGAAGGGTATTGTACATAGTCTGTCTCCAGCGGACTATGACTCTTATACTTCGTACTATAGCACTAAGTGTCCCGTGTTGAGTTGGCTAAGCTGTCAAGCATGTGCTATGGCGGTCGGATGCCCAGAGTAATCCCGCCCAGTTCATTGTCCGAATGTGACGATAGCAACACAAGCCAAGCGTGCCAGGACTTTTTGACTTCATCCGATGAGACTTTCAAGTTATGACAAGGTAGGCAGTCCTGAATGTGGCTTGGGTCTGGCGTATACGCAACTATCGTGGGAGAGACATCCATTGGGCAAACGAGTATGACCAACGATTGACATTGCTGATGCCAAACGTGACTGCCCGTATTCCTCCTCGGACCGAAAGCTGACACGGGGTATCATGGAACGCGTTGGCGGTGTTGGTGGCGATGGCTTCTTCAGGTGAGATTTTGGTGGCTGGATTCTCCCCATCCGTACTGCGCATCATTGGCGGTCGCAAGTCTTTCCATGTTTTTTATCCGACTATAATCTTTACCAAGCACGATCTCTGGGAATCGTAGAAGCCTGTTTGGTACTTTAGCAGTACCAAATAACCCGCAGACAGCTCTCGAGCTTGATAGAAAGCGACTATTGAGGGTAGGACATCGGCCTAGTATGCATGGGTCTGCATGTATCGCTTCTTGAGACACCTGGCCGCACGCAAAGATCTATGAGAAATCGTTGCAGTAGGTCAATCCCCGCCCTGATGTCAGAAGAGACGGCTCAGATGGCCTATGATTGAGGTTGTCGTACGAGTGTCTCGTCCTTTTCCCACTTGGGTGAGGCGACGCGTGGGCAATTCCTCATAGACCTGCGATTGCCTAGTAGAGAGTGATGATCCGAGACGGTAGCCTTATGCGATAGTATTGGCTGTGATTGAATTGGAAGTAAGACGCGATAGCGCGAGTGCCTTAGCCATCATGACCATGGTTGGGGAGGAGTTGAGGCTAGGAGCCTTCGCCGAGGCGGGCCGACAGGGGCGCCAAGATGCTAGACCACATGCGTCACCATGACCCCCACCAGTCTTCTCGAAGTCTCATGGCCCAGGTCAGCACTTACAGGCTGCGATACTGTTGAATGCAAAACGACCGCCATCGTATGTTGGCTGACGCTGTACCTTAAGATCCTTCAATCTCTCAAAGTAAGCCACAAGAGCACACGCCTGAAAGTGTTCGGGCTGCCTCCAACGCGTTGGCTGTTCAAGCAGGTCACTCCGCAACTTTCGATCATTGGTACACCGCAGACGGGCAAGGCTTTCCATTAACCTAGCTCTAGACATCAACTACTCTTATTAGAGCACTCGGCGGGGGTGTAGGTTTTGGCTGGATTGTCTTGACGTGTGTGATTGAGATCAGGGACCAGATGACCGGTTCTAATGGAAGGCTGCGAAAGAGCTGAAGCAATTCAAGAAATTAGAAGAGCCCCGAGAATCAAAACATACTGAGACATAGCGCCTATAGACTTATTACTAGTAAGGGTAACAACCTCAAGGTCGACATGACTGAATACCTCGCTCGCTTCCGCAACAGCGCACAGTGAGATCAGACCAAGCCAGCCACACAAGCTCTCTTCGAGTTCTGTTTCGCAGGCGGTGTGAATGCGCTGAACGAAGCTGCGACCAAGGGAAAGAAGAAGCGGAGCCGAGGAAAGGGAAGAAAGCAGGAGGAGACCGTCGAGACACCGCCCGCATCGTCATCGTCTGCCTTCGCACAGGCCCTCACATTCTACTACGAGTCCTTACGTATTCTCGATCACTGCAGGGGCAGTCCACTTCTTCAAGGTCTGGTGGCTCCTATGCCGGGTATACGCAACTTGGATTCGCAAGTGGAGATCATCGACGTTGGCGATCTGAGCGACTTCAACGTCATGAGCTTGAACAAGCCTGATGAGTCATTTTGAATGCTTCGGTAGCTCATGACGAGCGTGGTTGCCGCCTACATAGGTTTAAGAATATATGAATCTTGCTCTGTATTCCTGGTGAATAGCTTCTGGGTTAGTCCTGTAGTATAATCAACATCTTGCAATTCAGCTATGCGCAATTTCCGTCAAGACACTTTGAGTGCTTCAATATCTTGTAACGACGGCGTTTGCCGCCTACAAAGGTACACTGGTACTATGGTCTTCCGCGGTATTTTCAGCGAATGACTCCTGGATTAGCCATACGGTAGACGAATTGACTCGATACACAAGTATGCCTAGGGTCCTTCAACACTTCACCACACACTTGCCAGCACGGTTGTAGTCCTCAAGTAGTTGCATGCAGAACTATCATATCTGTAGTACATGTTTTCCGTCTTATCATCCCGCCTGATAGACAGGATTCTCTGTCTTATAATACACGGTCTTGACTGGCTGCTGTTGAGACGCATACCGTACTCTGGCTTTCGCAATCTCCTCTCTACTCTTCATCTTCTTATCCAGTACCTGAAGAGTGCGAATTTGTTGATCGGAGACACCGACTAGACCTCTTTCTGGTCGCGATATGGTGGAGAGGCTACGGTGAGGATCATTGCTCGCGTGATGGAGAGCTGTATGGCTGGGTCGTAGATGCGGAGTTGGAGGCTGTTGGGCTGGCGAGGAATCGGCAGTAGTGTTGGCAGATCTTAGACTGCGGTATCTTCGACTGGCACGACCTGCGCATGCAAAGCTTGGGTTGGCAGCTCTTGATGTCGTCTCATCTCCGCTATTGCTTCGCCAGGGGTTGACGACCAATCCAGATGGTAGATGCGTCTCGGCCTTCATCTTGTACTTCCAATCCTCGCTGTCTCCCTCCTCCACCTCCACATCCCAAAACCCTCTTAACTCCGACATGTCAATCATACAATGCCCCTTATCCCTCATATGCGTCTGCACAGCATCCACACTCCCCTTCTTTTGTCCACAATAGAGACATTCGTGATATTCGAAAATCAGAACGGCTAGATACGAGAGAAAAGACTCTAGAGAGTAGAGTTGCGAAGGCGCGGGTATGAAGAGGCTGTGTTGTGTGGACATGTGACCTAAGTTTGCGGCCGGGGTGAGAAAGGCGGAGGGGCAGAAGAGACATCTTGTCGACGACAAAGTCTTAGAGTGGTCGTCATTTGCATCTCCTGTCGGTGATTTGGAGTTGCTATCGCGTCCGCTGATGTTGTGCGCGACACGTGTTCGAGTTTTCCGTATCAGAGCGTCGTCATTGTTTCTTTGTCGCTGCGTGACTTCCTCAGCCTTGCTTTCAAGCGTTCCGAAATCTTTCTCGGTTAGAACAGGAAGATGTGATATTCGCCTTTTGAGATTGTAGATGCTGTCATAGAATGTTAGTCCAACCACTTCCGCATCTACATGCTCGGGATGATCCTACTGCCAAGGCTGTCGCATGTGTGTACGCTGTAGCGCGCTACTAGTGAAAGAAAGAGAGCATGTGTTGCACGGAAACACTGTCCGCGATTCCGAAGTCATCTTTGAGGTTGTCTGTGTAGTTGTTCGTTGGGAAGATGGAGTGGAGAAGAGGTAAGTGGCTCCCGGCTGAGAAGGTAGGAAGGCACCTCTCGTGCGAAGATGCGAATGGGATCGGCTTTGCTCTGTCTAATCGATGCTGAGGCATTCATATCTTATATAGTTAAGAGCGTCGATATTTTGACTGCTGGAGTAACGGCGGGCACAATGTCACGTGCCAGGCCATCCTCGCCGCAGCCACCTCAAGCCACAATGAGTCATTTCGGCTCACTCCCACGAATACCCACTCAACAACATCCTATCTTTTGGCTAGTCAGTCAAGCATCACAATGAGCGACATCAATCATGGAACGACGTGTTCAAATCCGTTTTCTAATTGTCAATCATGATACCCATGCTCCTGCCAACTTTGCTTCTTCTTATTACTCTTCCGCTCATCCCTAAGTTTCTTCATCAAACCCAGCCTATCAAGCTTAAACAGTACCTTCTCCACAAGCTTAATAACACTACCTCTCCTCTTTGCTTCTTGAGCCAGAAGAGCAGTGATCCCTTGATCTTCGACGTGCAGCTCGGCTTCTGGGCTATACTCATCCACATCAACGTCGAAATAGTCGGATATTGGTGAAAGACATGTGCCAGCATCGCGGTGCGCGTGAAAAACCTGGCCAGTGTAGTCGTACCCGATCCCGGTGTCCTTGTCATAGCCTTTGACGTAGCCCGGCCGAGACGCACCGATGCTTTGAGAGAAGCGGGATGGATGGTAGGTTGGTATCCCATTTACTGTTCTGATACACGCGTGTTGCGCGTAGATTGGTGTTTTCGATGATGAGGGGGCTGGACTTGTAGGGGAACTTCTAGGTGTTTGTATATGTAGGGCATGGCGGCGGCAGGGAGGAGTTTGGTCATCGGAAATGACAGAGTCGTGGCGCGAAGAATTATGTGAAGAAAGCGATTCCGAAGACGTGCGATTACTTTTCTCTGCTGTTCGAATGTGAGAGTGAAGACGTGTTTGTTTGTCAGTGGGTAGCAGTGGCAGTGGCTTTTGCTCATGCAACACTGGATCCGCGGGCACGACACCTCTTCGGACCGCCAGAGGTAGCGGTAGTGCCGATGACCTACTCGGCGTCAAGATTTCCTCTTGTGACTTTCTTCTGTAGTGAACGATTGGTTTCGTGCTGCCATCCCAATCAACGATCATAGTGCCCTGACTCGTTGGCCGATCGTTCTGAGCGGGTGCGGTGAGAGATTGCCATGTTGCTGCATGGTCATCGATCATTTGCGTTAATTCTGCTGCAGCCCCGTAACGAGAGCGAGCCCGAACGTGGTGTGTGGATCTATACGAGCCATCGCTGTGGTTACGAACATGACGGGAGATGTTGCGTGGTTGAGGTGGCTGCTGAAGAATGCAGCGTGTGTCATGGCGGTCGGCGCCATGAGCAAAACCGTAGAACGACATAGCGTTGAGCGGCCGTGTTTCTTGTGTCGCGTTGGTGGACGGTGTCTACTTTAGTGCTTGTTTCGGTATGTCCGAAACTGAGTCTCTGGCGTTGCTGGAGTAGTGGAGTTACTGTGGGTTGTTGTTCCTGTGTGTGGTACATTAGAACCGTTTGGATGTTTACGGAAGGCAAGTGGTATAGACGAAGGGAGGCGCTATAGTATGTGCACAGTGTGATGCAAACATCTTGTATAGTGAACCCATGTGCACAATAACCGACGAGACAGGCTGCTGAGGAGTAACATGATCGCTCGTGTGTTGTGAAAGCCGATATAGTTAACGGTGAATGGTATAGGCGGTGGGAGTTTTAGAATGAAATTAGTGTGAAGCGAGTCTAACGCATCGTCATTAGCAAATTAAATACAATCCCGCTGGCATGCCAATACCCCACATTTCGACATCGGTGCCAACTTATTTCGAGCAACCCAGGTATACTATGACTGCAATCTCTTCCGTCTACCCACGTTCTCTTACGTCTGGAGATGCATATGAACAGAAATGACGCAACAGATTGCTATGGAACATGTCAGACACAGGAAGGAAAATGGTATAGACCAAAAGCACAAACTCCGTGGTGAACGATGAAGAGGAAGAGTGAGAAAGCACAGTGCATGAACCCCGGGTATTACCAAGCTCCAGAGACCCTCGTGACGGATGAAGATGGCCTGAGAGTGCCGAGAAAAGACAGATGAAACATCTAGTTCTTGTCCTTGCTGGATAGCTTATCCTTGATCTTGCCGAAGAAGGAACGGCGCTTCTTCTTCTTATCATCAGCACCAGAAGCGATGCTCTGGCTACCTGGAGTGCCCTTGGGAGAAACGTCCGAGTCTTTCCTGAGGTTCTTGGCGGGGCTCTCTGGAGCCAGCTGTGCGGCTGGGGCAGAGCTAGTAGCCTCGGTCTTGGTTGTCTCTACGCCGGTGGTGACAGTCGGCTGGGTCTGCTCGGTGGTAGTTGGCTCCTGCTTGTTGAATGCAACTTCGGTGGTAGAGTCGATGGGCTTGGAAGTTGGCGGCTGAGCAGGCTCCGATGCGGGCGCGTTGAGTGCATTGGGCTCGCTGGAGGACTTGAGTGGTTTAGCATCAACAAGGGCCTCATCGGAGAGACCAGCAGCATTTTGGCTTCCTACAACAGCAGCACTGGGAGCTGGCTCGCCGGTAGCCTCAGTTGACTTCACTTCTTGGAGAAGTTCAGTCTCCATAGCCCGCTTCTCGCTGACTGCCTCAGCATTGGTAGCGGCCTCGGGGCTGACATGTGCCTCCTTCTGGCTCTCAGCGACGACATCCGGAACATCACGAGCAACGGACTCGTTGACTGACTCCCTGGTAGTGCCAGCTACGACAGCAGCAGTTGCACCGGCAACAGCAGTGGCCGCGACCGCAGCTCCCGCGGCAGTCGCAGCAACAGGTGCGGTCTCGGTGGTTGCGGCAGTCAGCACAGGAGCAGGCTCACCAGATTCCTCAGATCTTGGGAGCTTATCGAGTAGCTCAGACTCGACGGCCGACTTCTCTGCTACAGCCTCACTGTTGGCAGCGGCCTCGGGGCTAACGTGTGCCTCATGTTGGCTGTCAGCGACAACTTCGGGTACGTCGCTGGAAACAGTCTCAGAAGTAGCAGCAGGAGCAGTAGTGGCTGTGGTAGCGGAAACAGCGGGGGCTGGTTCGCCGGCCTCGTTGGTCTTGGGGACCTCGCGCAATAGCTCAGACTCCATGGCAGTCTTCTCTGCGACAACCTCCGGGCTGGATGCTGCTTCAGGGCTTACGTGTGCCTCCTTTTGGCTCTCAGAGACGACAGCTGGGATGGCAATGGCGGGAGCCGGGAGACCAGTCTCGTTAGTCTTGGGTACCTCGCTAAGAAGTTCTTGCTCCATGGCGGACTTCTCAGCAACAGCTTCGGGACTGGCTGCGGCCTCGGGCTCTGCATGTGCTGTGTTCTGGCTCTCGGCAACAATGGACGGGACCTCATCAGCAGTGGAGGTGCTGGGCTCGTTCATGCCAGTAGCCTCAGCAGCCTTTTCCTTAGCAGAGTAGACGGCCGCAGTGAAGAGACCCGCACCAGCAGTCGCGCCAGCAGCAGCAGTAGCGGCGGCAGCTTTAGCTGTGTCGCTCAGACCAGCGTCTCCGCTAGCTGCGGGCGCCTCGGAGACGGTCTCCTTCAGCTCTTGCTCCATCTCCTTCTTATCCTGAACAGCCTCTGGGTTGGCGGACGCCTCGGGATCGACATGAGCCTCTTGTTGGCTTTCGGTAACAGTCTCGGGAACACCGCGAGGCTCTAGGGGGACTTGGGCGGCGAGATCGGCGGTTGTGCTGTGAGGAGCAGAGGATTGAATCGTGACGCCGGTGTCCTCCTCGACCTTGGCATCAGCACCCATGGGCAGACTCGATTCTGGGATCATGTTGCCCATGACAGGAGGAATACCGAACATGCCACCCTTGGCATCGCGCTCAGCCTGAGGGGTGAAGGCGAGGGGAGGGAGAGCGTCGGACTTCTCGTAGGAAGAGGGGTCTGTCTTGACTGTGCTGTCGACGGTGTTGGAGGTCAAAGTGCTGGCATCGGGCACCTTCTCGCCAGGCGCAAGGTGGATGGGGTTGCCAGCGCCAGCGGTAGCTGGGATGGGCGCGACACCGAACGCAGAAGCCTCTTGCTCAGGTTCCTTGTCGTGCTTGACAGTCGAGTCTACGGTGTTTTCCGTGAGAGTGCTCGCTTCGGGAACGGGCTCACCAGGCGCAAGCTTGATGGGGTTGCCGAGGCCTGAGGTAGCGGGAATAGGCGCGACGTTGAAGGTCTGCGGTTCGCTGCCAGGTGTCTCTGCGTACGGTGTCTCGGGGAAGGCGCCGGGCAGGTGAGAGTCGGACTTGGCGTCCTTCTCGCTCTCTTTGGGCACAGCGCCGGCTAGCGCAGCGGTTGTGGACTCGGGCGCGGCAGAGGACATGGTGTTGACGGGCTCCTCGTCGACGATGTCTTCGGGCAGGAGGACGTTGTTGATGATGCCGTGGCCGTCGTCTTCCTTGCGCGCGCTGTCGTTGGTACACCAGTTGCCGTTTACGACAAACTGTAGTAGACGTGTTAGCAAAGTCTGCGCAAACGAGGAAGCCGATGGTATGCGACGGGAGAGGTGCGCACCTTGTATTGGGTGTGGGTTTTGGGCAGCTCGACCGTCTTCTTGAAGATGCCGTCCTCATTCTCCAGCTTCACCGTCTTCCTCCAGTCATCAAAGGTGCCAGTCACGAAGACCTCGTTGGCCGAGTGTTCCCTGTGCGCGTGTAAGCAGTTGGGTACGAAAGGTGCCTAGGTGGGCGTGAGGCAGGCGCGAACGTACCAGGTGAAAGTATATTTGCCCATATCAGCGCAGCGATGGACGTGGATCAGGAATTGCAGAGTTGGGAGGAGAGAGTAAGACCTGTCTTGGGCGCAGGGAGGAGAGGTGTGGAGGTGGTTGGTAAGTCAGGATCAGGAGCTGCGTTAGGTGGAGCTAGCTAGCTTGCGGCTTGAGTGCGCGCTCGGACGGTTTGGGGGAGGAGGAAGCTTGCGACTGTTTCGCGCGACAAACAGCAGCGATTTCAATGCAGACACAAACACAGAGTCCGGAGCGCGACAGATATGACTTGTAGATGCAGAATTGGCGAGGCTGGCGGTCTGGTCGCGACAAGGCGCTGAGTCTGCAAGATCAGAGACGGCGCTGCTAGCGGCAGGAAAGCTTGGCGGGATGCCGTTCATCGCGCGAGCCCTGGAACACGCGGGACCGACGGCGAGCATGTGCAATGACGAAACCTCCATGGCGCCGTGCGCAATTGCTGCTACTCTTCACAATTCTCAGGCCACCATGCACAGTCGAATTATGCCGCGCGGGCAATTCGTATCCAGCCGCTTCATCTCGCAGGCACAGCGACACGGCGGCCCCTCCAGTTTTGCTCCGCGTGCCTGTGCGCCTCACATGGCCGGCTTTGTGCGTCATCGCCATGTCCTGGACCTGTCGGGATATCTGGGCGGATTCCGGGGTCGCACGTGAGCTGCTACCAACAGTAACCTATAGTTGGTAGTTGGGTACCGCTCAATGACTTTGTCGTCGCCTTATCTCAAATACCGTCTGGAACGCCTCTAGATCAGAGTTTTCGTCTCCTTCTGCACCGCGTCTCAACATGTTCGAGGATTCACCGCATCGCTGCCCGTGTTGAACTTATGGCTCACCGCCAATTACAAGGTTGCGCCTCCCATGCCGTGCTTCGTCTTCGCCCCGGAATCACAATGCAAAACTTGTGTAGTAGATGGTGTTTGATGTAGACTTGTTCTTGCGAAGGACCTGCCCGAATACTATGCACCCGCACGGTCTTTTGTAGTTTGCAGTACCGGCGTTTGATGGACAAGATGGATGCGCGACTTGGTGACGTGAGAGTCCATGCGACACCACACCACACCACCCACCACCATGTATTCCGTTAGGTGACAAAACCTCGACAATATGACTTGTGCGACAGTCGTCATGACCCGTAAGACAATCAAAGCTCGGAGCCGTACCTGTCTACACAATGTCTCAGCTTGATAGTCTACGACTCAAGTGCGGGATATGTTAGTGCAAGCTCCAGTCTGCGCAGGCCACGCAGCGGGAGCTAAAGCACGGCTTGAGCAGCTATGACAGCTATCGCAACTGTCTTGCCCTGGTGCTACGGGAGCTCTTGGAGTGTGGGAGTCACACCAGGCAATGCGCGCGGCGGCGAGAGCGGGCAGCCGTCGCGTAAATGTCGCCGTGGGAGCCTACAGCGTGCGAGGGTTTCTAGAGGCCTTCTGGAAGATAATAAGCCCCAGGAAAGCTTGCCTCGATCCTTACCAGTGACTGCCCTGCCCGCCATCCCACACCCGTGATCTCTCCTCCCGCACCCGTCCCCTCTCCTGCGCATCCTCACCGCGCTCCTGCTGCTGCCAGCCCCATACGGTGCAGCCTGCAATTGCGTCCCCTATTCACCATCCATCTCGACGAGCCCCCACTCGTCTCTCGCGCTGACGCTACGTTCTCGCGGGCCCTCGCAGCACAACTGCCTCCATCCCTGCACGTCTCGCGACCGACGTCAAAGAGCTGCGCTTGACCCCTCACCACCACCGCCCTCATGTCCCTCCCTCCTGACTACTCCAACGAGATCGCCACGCTCGACCGCGAAATCCTCTCGCACAAGCCCCACGACATCCTCCAGTTCTGCGCAAACTTCTTTAACCGCCGTCTCGAGTCGCAGCGAACCGAATACCTGCTGTCGCAACAGCACTCCAGTCCCCAAGGCCGTGCCGAGAACTCGTTTCCCGGCAACAACCCCTTCAGCACCTCGCCCAGCAGCGGCAGCGGCTTCACCAAATCCACCATGCAGCGTCTCGAAGAGGAGGAGGAGAACGACACCATGACGTCGCCCACGGCCTCGACCTTTGGAGCTATCGACTTCAACAGGTCCCGCTCCGCCAACAACAACGACGCGGGTGCGAGCGCATTCGGCGACTTTGGCGGCTTTGGCGGTTCCTCAAAGAACAACATCACCCAGATGCCGCCTCTGTCGGGCGAGGGCCAGAACTTCCCCAGCAACTACAACACCAACCGACGCACCTCTGTCTCCGCCGAGTCGCTCAACCCCGCCTCAAGCGCCGCCGACAACTTCACCCCGCCATTCCACCAGAAGACGCAGGACCAGCTATCGCGCCTCAAGTCGGCCGTCTCGGGCAACTTCCTCTTTTCACATCTCGACGACGACCAGTCGGCAATGGTCCTCGGCGCGCTGCACGAGAAGCCCATACCCACAAAAGGCATAAAGGTCATCTCACAAGGCGACGTCGGAGACTACTTCTACGTCGTCGAGAAGGGCGCCTTCGACATCTACGTCAACAAATCAGGCAAGGTCGAGGCTGGCATGGATGGAGTTGGCGATAAAGTAGGCTCCGTCGGCCCAGGTGGTTCCTTTGGTGAGCTAGCTCTCATGTACAACGCCCCGCGTGCTGCAACAGTCACCTCGACAGAGTCATCTACACTCTGGGCACTAGATCGCATCACCTTCCGCCGTATCCTCATGGACAGTGCTTTCCAGCGCCGCCGCATGTACGAAGGATTCCTGGAAGAAGTTCCTCTGCTGTCTACCCTGACTCCCTACGAGCGCTCAAAGATCGCCGACGCTCTCGAAACCAAGAAATACCCCCCTGGCACAACCATCATCCAGGAAGGTGATGTCGGCGAATCTTTCTTCCTGCTTGAGTCTGGCGAGGCCCAGGTCTTCAAGCGCGGCGTAGACAGCGCCGTCAACCAATATAAGAAGGGCGACTACTTCGGTGAGCTAGCGTTGCTCAACGATGCTCCTCGCGCTGCCTCAGTTGTCAGCAAGACCGAGGTTAAGGTCGCAACACTCGGAAAGAACGGCTTCCAGCGACTTCTTGGGCCCGTCGAGGGTATCATGAGACGGAACGATCCCAGCAAGGCTGCTTTCGAAGGCGATCATGTGGATCCGCTATCCAAGACTTCATAAGCGTGTTCTTGCAGGGTTAGAAAGACAGATTGCGCCACTCACACGGGAGGTGAGCGACACTGTCATACACAGATGGAAGACCAGGGCGTGGACAATTGCGGCCGGGTGTGGTCTTGTCACTCTTCGGCGTTCTCGCATGTATTCCTACACTTCCTACTGTCACTAAACTTCGCTTAATGCCATGGAAGATGATACAGCTTCCTCCCAGATCAGGAACGAGCTCTGGTATGAGCTGCTCTGTTACCTATACTCCACTGCGTACGATACTCATGCTTTAGACTTGTACTCTCATGCTTCCCTTGGGCGACTATGAAGATGTGACGTATTATATAAGTTGCCAGGAAATTTCCACGATGGTTTCTGCATCACTCCAAGTCTGCGCTGCGTAGATGCCGTCGTGTGCTCCTGCCGACCCTCGCTCTGTTCATATGACATAATCGCGGTGCCCCGTGCGTTGCCAAATGGCGCTACCTAGGTAGTAACGGATGCAGGTGCGCTCTTCCCTTCCAACACCATACTCGATAGCTTGAGTGCGCTCCCACAACCCTAACATCACGGCAACACTGTCTCTGATCGCAACAACTGAAAATTATTATCTAGCATGGCCAGATATTCTGCTCTGCCAAGTGCTCCCGCTCCACACCGCCTGCTGATCGTCATGCAGTCATCGTGGCGTTCGCCTCTGAAGACATGGATGTTCAATGCGTAATAGCGCATGTGGATGAAGACTCACAGGTACATTCATGATGGTACCTTGAAAAGACTTTCGGTCCGATGCTCACGAATTCTAACGGGGCTTTAGGCGTTCGAGGGTGGGCTACTTACAGCTCGCAGCTGTACACACAATGCGCATTAATGAAGCCTCATTCGCTTCCCCGTGTGTTTCAACTGGACTACTACGCCATTGCGAATACCAGCAAGAACGTAGCACTCTCAGCACATCTCCACAAGACGCTTCGTGCCCAGGTGCCGTCAATGACTCGCCCTAGCTACCTACCGAGGCATTGCTGCTCACAGCTCTTGTGTACCAACAAAGCAAAAGAGCAGACGGCAACTCCGAGTAAACGCTGGCGAATGCAAGTATCGTGAATGGAAACTCACGCTTCACATCAACTGAAGAAGTAGTGATCGACTATATCTACTTTTCTGGGCAACAAATCGTCATGTGCACTGCTTCACAGCCCCGTTCCTCAAAATTTCGCGATTTCCGATGCAGCATCTTGCATGCAAGATCGCAATATTCAGAGGGTTGCTTTTTAACGATACGGGCACGGCAGACGCGCCTAGCTGATAGTGTAGCAGCGGATACATACTCCTGCATACAGTATGACGCACTCGACGGACCAATGTCTCTGCGAATCTCTGTCTGGGCTTACAATTACGACGGGGTTATGCAACTGGACAGGCGGTCTCAATATCCCGTAGCGACCCAATGACCGGAAGCTGTGCATTTCTCATCGCGTGCACCTGTAGCTTACATGCAGCGACCGGGGGTGATAGGACACTAAGACTAAACTGGGAAAATGGGTTTATCATCTACAAGCATGCCAACGCCGTTCACGCACAACGTTGCCGTATCTTCGTGGTTCAGATCGCGCATCTCGGAGCGTACGGGCGTAAGAAAACTGATATGGCTGCTCCATAGTGGCATGAAACACCCATGTGAGTTGTTGGAGACCTAACGAAGCCTTCCTCGCGGATCTCACTTCTTTGCTGTACGCCTCGGTAGGGATTCTTGGCATCATCAACAGCTGTTGTAGCGGTCTGTATGCCGTAGCAGGCATGTCCAAGTTCCCGGCGCTCGGTCGTTGATGATGGTGCTGCACGCATCAGCCACACACTACGTTGAGGCTACTCCTTCCCTCCCGCAACGTTCTGCGGGCCAGGGAGCTTGTGGCGCACATCGGCTTTCGTACGGGACGGTGGGCGGTCACCGCATTCGCCAGGAAAAGCGACTATGCTCCGCTGCCTGACATCGATTCGGTATCTACTGTGGCAGGGTAGTCATACCGGCGTGCGCGACGTACAGTTGATCAAGAGCACACTGCAAAGAGCATGTCCACGTTGCACACTGCGAGATCCACTTTTGATCCTCACTGCTGGCCCATTTCGGTTTGGGTATGGTTCTTGAAACATGGACTTCCATTCGTAGTTGCATGGGAATAGCCGAAATCCACTTCGGTACTGGAGTTCCTTTGCTGTGTCCCAGTGTGGCTATGGCATGTGGCTTCAGGGTAGGTTAGCACTGATCTGAAGCATCGCATACGGTACCTGGATCTTACGTTATCGGTCGACTGCCTACACATCCCTCTACTTATGACCTAAGATTGTTCGCGATACATAATGTCTCAAGTAGCATCAACTCGATTCTGTCCACGGCTCTCGAACCGCTTACAACTTCGCACCGCATTCTCTACATGGCTTCATCCAGCGATCAAAAGACGTCCAAGAGACGAGTCGGACGCCAGCGCCAGCCCCCTCTTGCACCTGGACCTCCATTTCAGTTTGTCGTCGCCAGTCACCCGGATGATTTCAAGGATGGGAAGATCATGAGAAAAGTACGATCGCACGTCATGTATACACACCGCGAAGCCTTGTCACCTACGGACACAGCTGGGAGTCAAGAAGGCAGTAGCACACCAAATCTCACGACACGTACACCTAGCCCAGCGATAGCCAGCACGAGCAGCATGTCACAGACGATTGCTTCACAGGCAGCTACTTCCTCAAGGCACCATGGCAGTGGGTGGGAACAAGATGCGCATGGAATTCAAATACCGTCACCATCTACCCATCCCGTGCGAGTGCTTGCCGCTCGGATACATTCCGCAATCACCAAAGCGTCCCCTCATAGCCAGGCCCGAGTCTTCGACGAGGTCCCTGGGTACCCTTTTCCCGGGGGCAACGCTTCCCGACATGAGTTGTTGGATGATCTGAAGCGTGAATGGATTGGCACTACCACCTTCTACTGTTACGGTTTGTCTCTTTCTTTCCCTACACCAAGCACTCACTGATGGCAGTAGACCAAGCGTGGATGCAATACGTTTGCGGCAATCATCTTTCGTTCCTTAGCCACGTACACGCGACACTGGTCTATCAAGATCTCGACGAAGGCCTACTATACGACAGTGATCTTACTGTATATGCGAAGACCAGGATGCTAGGGCTGTTCCATGGCCGACTGGATACAGATGATACCACCGTTCTCAGCATACTCCACATGCTCATCAGCGAAATCGGTAGCCCTGAGGAAGATGCATTCGGTGTACATCAGGATGGCTTGGTGACCTGTATAAGGAACCGACGAGACGGGCTAGGCCCAAACATCGCGACGTTCATGACTTTGTAAGTTCTACATGCTCAGTCTTTGCTGCCCGCTAATTTTGCTAAGGGTCATGCTCACCTTTGCCATCTGTCGCGGACAGAACGAGTCGGTCGAACTCACACCACGATCATCTTCTGAAGCTTGGATCGGTCACAACAGTCCGGTCTCGCCGCTGTTAGTTTCCCGGGAGCATATACCCTCTCTATACCGCAACGGCTCAACAACTACAAACGACATCATCCGAAAGATGCAGAGGTGTACCTACATCTTCCTGACAAGATGGACACACAAAGGTGACCCTCATATGATTTCAAGCGGCCAGATAGCGACATGCGACGCAGAACTACAAGACATATATTCTGATCTGCTTTTACTGCCCTCTGCAGAATACGACAATCAGCCAGACTGGATCTACGAGAGCTGTCGTATTGCTGCTTTGATCTACTGTAGATCGGTAGTCCATGGTGCAACACTTGCGGATTCGGCAAATATCATGCACGCAAGCATATCTGGCTCTAGCTCCGAAAGCATTACTCTCCTTGCAGCCTTACATTCTGCGCTCGCCAAATCAGAGGTTCAAACCTGCTGGGGCTTCGACCTATCTGGCGCTTTCCTCTGGGTAGCTCTCGTAGGAGCAGCGGCATCATGGTCCGCACCGCACTCCTCTTCAGATGAGGCATTGCAAGCTTCAGCCTGGATGAGGAAGTGCTTTGCGCTATATGCAGTCAGAGCGGCAGTCTCAGTCCCTTTTGACTATGCCGACGCCACGATACAAGCCTTGCGCACAATGCTGCAGGTCCGGCGGTTTATAACTGTCAAAATGGGCCCGACCCTCCCTCAATGAGCTCATCGCGCATCCCCATTTTCGTTCTGGTCGCTTGTACGCTCAGTTTTCCAATTCTCGTCACCTGTACAACAGTCGTTTCGTTCACGTCACTTGTGTTATCATGGTATTCGCGTGGTCGCTATAGCCACGGAAGGATCTCGCAGTCATTTCATCTTTTGTCATCTCTACGCCTACGCTGGTACGTAAGAGTAGGGTCATACACACGATTTTCCCTGTCCACTTTTCGGTTTTGTATTAGCAGCTTCATTTTAGCCTGCCTGTGGAGCACGGTGCTCTGAGATAAATTCCATGCCGGTCATGCGAGAACATTCACCCTTTCGCTACTGTCATCTCGCCCTATGTAATTCATTCCAGCACTTCACTGAACGAATCGGGGTACGCGCAAATCCTCTCCCCAGCCGAACCACGTTGGAACGGTCGGGAAACAGCCGAGCAGCGCCCTGCAGCCCATAAGGCTGAATCGCCAGTATCTCACCGTTCGTACATGCTAACCGAAGGAACCAACCGAAGAGCAGCGCGGCAAAGGGACGAATGTATCAGATACCTCTTGACGACCAGGGCCATAGCATAGTCCACTTGCGGTCAGATTCTAGGCCCTGCAAATCGCAAAAAGTCCCTCCTCCGTCTCATTGACCAGTGACACAGCATGCCGCACCCCACCGTCAGCGAGGGCTACACCGCAGCGAACATCTCAACCACGTCAGTGTCACAACCAACCGAGCGAACTGGTCACTAGCCACACCACAGCCACAAGTAATCGCGAATGTAGCTACGCTACATGATCTCACTCACTCACCATCTTACACCGTATGTTGGTCAGTGGACCAAATGTTCGCGCAAAATACGACACGGGGATACCAATGATTACCACCCTTGCCACGCCCCTCCTGCCATGCAATATAGGGCTGAGCAGGGAACTTGATCCTTCTGCCTAGCGAACCAGAGTTTGAACTTTGTGGCGACCTGCTTGCTGCGTCCTGCGGCTGCGGGCTGCGATATGCAGCCTTGTGGGGCGAGGCTGGTAAAGGTATGGTTGGTTGTGGCGGGGGTTTGCGCCGCTCACTAGGCTGTCCACCCGTTCTGTGTATGCCACGTTTTGTTGGGGTTTGTGCTTACTATTACGATGGAGATAACGGCCGAGGTAGAGGGTATCGTTCATGTCGGACGGCGCCGACGATGCGAGATAATGAGAGGTTTCACTCATTTTCTTAGATGGGCTTAGAGGATCTCGGGACTAGTTTTGGCACCGTAGAGGCATACATACAAATATCATATACAGAAGCTGAATGCGAGAAGAGTAAGGGTAGGATGAGGTGTGGTATCGGTGGCGCAAGTCTCAGATGAATCACCACCGCATCGATTGACCGGGTTGAGTAGTAAAGAAGATGTGTGAATTGCACCTGCTCGCTATGCATATAACCTCGTTTTCGCAAAGAAACTGCGCCATGTGTACGCCCAACCCATGCATATATACATCTCCGCCTTCCACCCAACTTCACTCCACGTTCCATGCACGTCCTCTCACAGCGCATCCCACCCCTCCTCAAACAACGTTTTCTTAACCTTGAGTTCCTCCGCCCCAAGATACAGCGGCCTAACAACCTGCATACTACCCGTGCCCAACTTAACACTCTGCCCCATGATAATACACTCACTAACACCATCAATTGTATCCGTCTTCCCCCTCGCCGCCGCCTCGAACAAATGGTCCGGCGTCTTCTCGAACGACGCAAGCTGCAGCACACTATCTCTTGTCTTTTGCAACCCAAAACGCGTGATACCAAAGACCTCGCCCTTGAACGTCATGACATCAGCGAGAAGCTGCATGTGACGCGGATCAATGTCCATGTTACCCATGACATCTCCGATTTCGCGTACGATGGTTGCGCGCGCGGCTTCGATACCGAGTACGGTCTTTACTTCCATGACGTGGTTGGACTTTGTGTTGTAGGGTTCTATTCCGGGGGTTGTCATGCAGTCGCGGAGGCCATAGCCTTCTACTAGGAGTTGGCATTCGTATTGGCCTTGGGCGTTGGGGCTGCTTTCCTTCTTGATGATGGCGCGTGTGCAGTCTGGGTAGCCTTTTATGACGACGTCGGGAATGAGGGCTTTGACTTGTTGGACGCGTTCGAAGAATTCCTTGTGGTTGCGGGATGTTTTTGTGGGTCGCTTTTTCGCGGCATTGGGGTCGGGGACTTCGACGCGGATTATGGACGAGGATATGCGGACGTTGGCGCCGGCTTTACCCCATTTGAGCGGCTTGTGGGCGTTGATTGCTGCGGCAATTTCTTGGGGTGAGACGTCCACGAAGAGTTGGTTGATAGTGTCCCAGTCGATGCGCATGGCAATGTAGGCGCCGTTGGGGTGCCAGACATCTTCGACATAGGAAATGACGTCGCGCAGGTAGGTCTTCTCCACACGCGCTTTGACGATTCGCGCAGCGGATTCTGAGACCTTGTTTGAAAGCTCGCAAGCGATGACGGGCGTGGAGATGGCGGACGAGGCGTTAATGATTTCCTTGATACGGGGTACACCCTGGGTGATGGACATACCAGCGACACCAGCAAAATGGAAAGTCTTCAGTGTCATTTGTGTTCCGGGCTCACCAATGGACTGAGCACCAATGGCTCCAACGGCGTGACCGGGCTGTACTCGTGATCGGTGGTACTTGGTTAGACAGAGTGTTATGAAGGCTTCGAGCGCGCTGTGCGAGATCTTTGCAATTCCATCAGCAAGACCGTACTTTTCTGCGTCGGCTGCGGACTGCTTCCTATCCTTCTTGCCATCGGGTTGCACTACGCCTAGGTAGGTAAGAGTTGTCTCGAGCTTCTGTGCTTTCTTGAAGATGTAGTCTTGCACAGTGTCGAGGAAGTCACGCAAAGACTCTTTTTGGTCAATGCCAGCGTCGGTCCTATCACGATACTCCAGCGGCGTCACGCCATCCAACTTGAATCTTGGGTACTTGTTCCGCTCGGTATTCAGCTTTGCTTCTGTGTATTCCTTAACCTCCTGTGGCGTCAAGCCCGACTCGGAGTTGTCCCACGTCGATGTTACGGCATGGGAGAATGTCCTGTCAAAGTGCACCGGTTTTGCCTTGCCCTCCATGTCTACAGGGTCGAGGTTGTCGTCTCCGTACTGGAATTGCACTACGGTTCCGGAAGAGTTCCGAACAGTATCGTCATATTGTGCAGAGAGATCTTCGAGTGATTTCATCAGTCGTCTACTCATGTAACCGGTCTCGGCGGTCTTGACAGCTGTATCGACCAAACCTTCACGACCACTCATAGCGTGGAAGATAAACTCGGAGGGTGTCAGTCCTGAGAAGAAACTGTTACTGACGAAACCTTTCGATGCGGGCTGACGAGCGGCTTTGGGGAAGTGAGGTAGTGTTCGGTGGTGGAATCCATCTGCGACACGAGCACCGCCAATCATTTGTTGTCCAACGGAAGCAACCATTTGAGAGACGTTAATGTTGGAACCCTTGGAACCACACTTGGCCATGAGCAAGGGCGAGTTCCATCTGCTGAGCTCTTCGAAACAAATGTCACCAGCCGCTTGGCGTACACCAGACAAGATACCACCGATCCTGTTCTCCATCGTCTGCTCTTCGTCGCAACCGGGATCGCGCTGCAGCTTGCCTTCCTTGAAGTCCTTGATCAACTTGTCGCACTTGGCGTAAGCCTCTTCTACCAAATCTTGCTTCTTCTTGTTCAACTTTTCTCCGGGGGTAACGTCGCTGATGCCGAGAGAGAAACCGTTGTTGGAAAGCCATCGCGCAGACAACTTGGACAGTCTGTTCATGCCCTGCACGGCGTGATCGGGGCCAAAATCTCGCATCATGACGTAGAACACCGAGTCTTTCTTACCATCACCGACTGTCGCCTTGTCCATCACACCGCACATGACCTCGGAGTTGCGAATGACAAGATAAGCATCATTCTCGTTCAGATCGGGAGCTTGATCGGGGGTATTCTTGAACTGTTTGCATGCTGCTTCGAGGTTGATCAATACCCTGCACCCCTTGTATGGCTTCATTAGCAGATTGAAGACCTGCTTTCCGGTCCAAAGTGCCTGAGGCTTCCACACAACAGGTGGAGGTATGTCGATAGGGTGCTTCTTTCCTGTGTCTGGGTCGAAGGCTCCTTCTCCGTTGAACATGTAGTTCACAATCTGACAGAACGTCCGTCGATCGTAAAAGTTGTTCTTGTTGCTGAGGAGATATGCTGCTGTGATGAAATCTTGGATAGCCGCGATAATAGGTGTTCCGTTCTTGGGGGTTGCAAGGTTGTATTTGACACCCATGAGCTCGGTAGCCTCGGTTCGCGCTTCTTCAGTTTGTGGAACGTGCAGGTTCATCTCGTCACCGTCGAAATCGGCATTGTAAGGATTGCAGACACACTCGTTCAGCCGGAAGGTTCTCCAGGGGCGGATTTTCGCACGATGACTCAAGATACTGAGCTTGTGTAGGGAGGGTTGCCGATTGAAGAGAACAATATCCCCGTCTTCAATGTGTCGCTCAACGATATCACCAATCCTGAGTCGCTTCGAAGTGGCTTCTAGTTTCTCGCCCGTGGTATCGAATCGCGAAAGACCAATAAGTGACGTCTTGTTAGGCTCCTTATTTGGTCCCTGGTCGCTGATAATGTAGTTGGCGCCGGGATACTTGTTCGATCCATTCTTTACTAATCTTCTCAGCTTGTCAATGTTGTATCGTGTGGCCTTTTCGGGGTATGTGAGGTTCTTCGCGATGCGCTGCGGGACAGCGACTTCGTCAATGCTCAAATTCGGGTCAGGGCCAATGACAGTACGACCGGAAAAGTCGACACGCTTTCCGGAAAGGTTCTGACGGAATCGGCCACCCTTTCCCTTCAAGCGCTGCGAGAAACCGCGCATGGTCTTCTGGAGACCCTGTTGTTTCAGACCAGGCGCGTCGCTGTTGATGTACATGGCGATCTGCAGCTGCAGGAAGTCCCACTGTTCCATCAAAATCTGGAGAGGAAAGCCTCGCGCGAGCCCAGCGCGTATTATGCTGCTGATCTGGCATATGTCTCCGATCTTGTTGGTCACGTCGTCCTCGGTCGCACCACCTTCCTGCATCACGGACGGGCGGAGCGCGACTGGTGGTACAGGCATGTACTCCCAGATCAACATCTCCGGTCGCGCATCCTCAGGTATCATAGCCAGCAGCTCGCAGTCCTCTGGTGATATCTTTTTGAACAAGTTGAGCGTCCTCAGCGGATGCATATCGTCCACAGCCTTCTTCAGGTGCTTGTCCAGATCGGGGTTCGCGGATTTGGCGGTATCGAAGGACTGATCGAACTCGACTTTGCCGGCGGGTGGCTTCTTCGTCTTCGCGGTAGATCGGTTGAAGGCATCGTATCGGTTGTGGATGATCTTGAGCGGGTGGCCAGGTACCTTGCGGACAGTACCCTGCAGGGCGTTGCAGTATGGGCACGTCTTCTTCTTCCTGCAGTCGTCGAGAATCTTCTTGGTGACTGCGCCCTTGCGCAATGTGTCCATGTCTGGTCGGCGCATACTGCGCAGGTACCTCCGCCGCTCCACCTCATCCAGCAGCACGCGCGAACAGTCTTTGCAGATGCAGTTGAGCACCTCGATAATGTGCTTCAGGTACCCCACGTGGAATGCAGGCAGCGCAAGCTTGATGTGACCGAAGTGACCGTTGCACCTGTCGAGGCCTTCGCCACATGTTCCGCACTTTCCCTGCTTGCTTGATATGCCCATGTGTGTGTCCATGGGCCCGTTGGCCGTGAGCGAGCGCGTGCCATCGGCGGCGGGTTGGAGGTCGTAGACATTGCGGTCCGAGACTTCGAGGACGGCCTGGTTCACGATGTCCTGGTTGGAGCTGGAGAGTGTTACTATGCGTCTTTCAGCAGCGTTGCCACAGTGGTGTCCTACTATATGCCGAACTGGATGTGCTTGATGCGCGCGGGGATGCGGTCCACGACCTGCTGCTTGGCCGAGCTGCGCGGCGCCTCCATGGTGGCGGGGGGGTGGTTATGTGGGGTCACAGAGGTGAGTTGATGCTACCGGGAGTCTTCGCAGTGGTCGTGATTTCGCATAGTCGTCGCGTCGTGAGTCATGATCGGGGCGACAATAGACAGCAGCAGCAACTTTCTCGTCGCGCCTCTGCAGATTTTGGGTGGGGGACCTTCCCGGAGCTAAGCCGCACTAATGCGCCCTAATGCGGGCTGATAAGCTGATAGTACCCCGGAAGGCAGTCGTGACCAGGAGCGAGCATCACCGCCTGGTGGCTGCCTCACCATTGACCTTCTCTCTGCCCCGCCCATAGTGACGGCGAGGTTTGCAACAACTTCGCTTGAATTGCTCGCTCGTCCCTTGGTCCCACTCCCTCCACTCAGCAGCACTCTTATCTACACATCACTGGTTGTTCCTGCCTCCTGGCCCCACGGTACTACCTACACAGCGTCCCCGCTCAACCTCACCCCGCCTCAACTGCTCCGCCTCCCAACCCAGGCTGTCTTCGCGTCACTCTCTGGCGAGACGCACTTCTTTTCCCTCATGACTTCAAGTAGGTTTCTCATCGCACCATCTGCCATGTTCTTTCCCGTCTCACTGACATCCCAGTCTTCCGCATCGTCCTCCGGGACGCAAAGCGGTACGACACGTACGAGACCCGTGAGTTCGACCTGGCACTCGACACCGAGTTCCCCATCGGTCGAGCGTCCAGCAACGCGGCCAAGCGAGAACTCATGGCGGCACCGCACAACGCATTCATCGACAGCCCCGTCATCTCACGCCAGCACGCTGTCCTCTCCGCCAACGCCAGCAGCGGCGATCCGGAAGTCTACATCACCGACAAGGGCTCCATGCATGGTACCATGTTGAATAGTCAGAGGCTGCCTGCCAACACACCCACCAAGCTGAACGACGGCGATGTTCTGCAATTCGGCACTGACGTTAACCGCAATGAGGGTACGTCCTCCCGTAGGCCCTCCAAACCCCCTCTTGCCCAAGCTCCTGAGCTGACACCGGCCCACACAGAGTTCTTCGTAGCCCGCACCTACACGTTCGAATCTCAGCTCTCGCGTCCTTTCTCTCTTGGCTTTACCGTCCCCGATGCCGAGAGCGATGAAGAGGAAGTCGCGGAGCGTCGAGGCAGCCAGATCGATCCCTTCGTCATCGACGACGACTCCGACGCAGCTGATGACCAGTCGGAGGCCGACGACCAAGAAGAGGTTACCATGATCATGGATCAGGTCTTGCACCCAAATGAGCATGGTCACACTCTCAGTGTTGTCCAGGACGACTACCCAACGTCTGCAATGCGCACCACTCTTTCCAACGACGACTACAACCAAGAGAGCTTCACCTCACGCCGTGATGATTCTCTCGAGCCAGCCAGTCCAAACCCTTCTAGCGATGAAGAAGACGTGAAGCCACTTGGCTCTGATTCAGACAGCGAGGCTGGCAGCATCGATAGTTCCGAAATGTTGTCTGACTCCGAGCCAGAGATTCAGGATTCAGAAGACGATGAAATGGAAGAGAGCGGCCATAAGAAACCTACCACATCTTCATCCAACAAGGAGAACGAGGCGTCTGTCGATAGCCAGGTACCCCAGACCGTCCAATGCTTCCCGCGCGATACCAGTACGCTTTCGCTCTCGGACGTGTACATGCCACAGGACGCAGCCAACACACAGGCGTCGCTACCACGCATGTACATGTTCGGTATGCAGGGCTCTGACAGCAACTCCATGTCGAACAGTAACGTCTACGGAGATAACGCGCCTCCGCCTCTACCGCCACGTCCCTCGGCGTCTAGGGCAGCACCATGGTGCGATTCAACCTATCGCTCGTTTAGGGATGTGAACGATCTTCAAGAATGGTATCCTGAGGGCATTCCGCAGCCAAACTACTTGGGCACCAACTTTGGCGACCGACCGTCCCTGTTCAGTCCGGCTCCTCTTCCCCCATTGTCAGAGGCGAATGAGGCTCGTGCTCCCTCGTCCCACTTCAATACTTATCCTAGCCAACCCATGCAAGCGAGCCGTCTGCAGACACCGCCACCATATTTTGTACCCGACTTCGAGACCTCCCCGCCGGTGCAGCCAGGTCGCCGTACCAAGGTATCTATCGAGGAGATCGTCGAAGAGCAGCCGCCCACGCCTGAATCTGTGAAGGATCTGAAGCGCAAGGCAGATGTGCTTGAGGCAGACGAGCCAGACGCCGTTCTCGACGAAGCATCAAAGGCCGTCATTGGTGATGAGCATGCAACCTCAAACTCGGTAGCTGCAGTTCCAGTGGATGATGCTGCTGCAATCCAGACGGCTGCCGTTATTGCCCAGCGTCCCAAGAAGACTCCCCGATCAGTCCTTAGCAAGGTTCTCAACAAGGCTGCCTATCCTTTGCTTGGTGCTACCGGTGCCGTAGTCTCCTTTGCTCTTCTTTCCACCCTTCCGGATGCCTTCTTTGTGTAGGCCATGATGGACCTGATGGCAACAGTTCATCATTCTTCTTTTTCGGAGTTTAGGGTAAGGCAAGGTGTACATGGCGGGGCGGTTCTGGGATCATGACATCGGTGGGAGCATCTACGGGTAACGGCAATCAGTGCTAACGGCGTTTTGAGAAACGTCAGAAGAGTCGGGTCCTGCGTTATGGGTGGTATGTGCTTCGGGATCCACTGGCGTTATGTGTCTTTTGCCTCATGTCACGCCATCGTGCATGACCATATTACCTTTAGTTTGATGACGAGTTATGTGCAATGAACTGCTTACCTGATGCTACTGCGTGTGTTATCTACGTGATGTGAGATGTTAGATTAGGTTTACGCGAAGCTTGAAATTCTTCGGGACGCTAAACCTCAAGCGGTTCGTGTTGAAGAGCTCCACACCCACGTGGATGACCTAGACGTCACGTCTTCACTCCTGTCAGGCAGAATCATAGTAGAAGACCAGTACGTGTACCAGAATCTATGTTATTGTTGTTGTCAATTTGGTGTATACAACGTCTTTCGCAAAAAACACTTTCCTACCACCTGCGACGCTCCGTTCGATCCTCACGGTTCTGAAGACCTCTGATGGACTGTCACTGTCTTCTTGATAGCATTCCAATCCTGCATCTCCTTATCCAAAACAGCTACCTCGCTCCCCTGTGTACTACCCTGCTCCTTACTGGACCTGTGTATTCCCGTAACCTTCGTGCTGATCCTTGTCGAGAGCGACGTCCACAGCGGCTTGAAGATAGGCAAAGAAGCACACAAAATCGCAGTACAAACATGGACGCTGGTCCAAAGTTCCGTGACATGATAAAAAACTGCTCAGCGTCAGCACTAAGACCATTAGTGTCGAAGTAAGTTAAGACCCACTCTCATTCGGATCCTCTTTACGTCTCGTGTAAAACTCAACAATCCGCACCACGTTAGTAACAACGACGAAACCGCCCAGTGCGAAAACACCCGCAAGCCCGGCCTTCGCTCGTAGCGCCATCTGTAGCGTAGACGCCGTGCGAATTGGTACGAGCAAGATAGCGAGATCGTTGGCAGCGTCAAGCGCGAGGAAAACGTGTATCACATGCGACCAAGACCCGCGATATTTGTCCCGTTCAACAGACAGTTTGATGGCCTCAGACGGGCTGTGGACGTTGACGACAAAGGACCGGCAGATACAGATCATAGTGATGACTGTGGCGGCCCACCAGAGCGAGGTGAACATGATCAGGTAGAGTGAGGCGCGCTGGTGGAATGTGCTGGTGCTGAAGATGCGCCGGTAGAAGAGGAGGATGGAGAGTTTGCAGGTGTATTGCGACCATATGGCGAGGAGGAAGGCGGTGAGCATGGCCTGTTGTTTTGGTGGAGGGGTGGTTAGTTGAGTCGCGTACATGGGAAGCGTGGGATGGGGAGATGAAAGTTACCTTGCGGTAGCCACTCAGCAGCGTAGAGGAATTGTCGAGGTGCATGTTCAGGACCTGGGTTTTGTCATAGGGTCCAAATTTGGTGAAGCTCTCTGCCGTTCAAGATTCAGTTCACGGTCGGCGCTGCTATAGTGGTGATGATGTACCGTGTAGGGCGACGGAAATGGCGGCGTGATAGATGAGCAGGGTCAGAAGAATGAGATGGTCGTCTTTCTTTAGACCTTGTTTGGTCGAAATTTTGGCGTAGAAGCGTGTACAGACTGCAAGGCCGGCGATGAGGCTGCAGATGATGTGAGCGATGGCTACTTGGCTGTGGTAGAAACTTAGGCCGAGCATGGTAGCAGGAATGTTGCTTCTATTCAGCGATGACATCGATCTTGAGTTTACAACGCGCCCCGAGGGCGGATGAATAGATAAAAGTACTTGGAGGGGCGCTGGTGTGCGATTGGAGCGGAGCTTCGCACGCCCAAGATCCAAGATTGAAGAGGCATATACACAGGCGTGAGAATCGGCCATTACGAAAAAAGAGTAGAGAAACGGGCGCGATCGTTGTCGAGATATTCCGCTACGACTATCTGGGTAGTACCCAGATATGTGGACAGGACAGATATAAGTAAAATAAGCGATTTTCAGTGGTCACGTTGCGTCACCCACAAGACATTCTGTTTGCTAGCGATTTCCGTTTTACAGACTATTCCCAATGGGTCACGTTGACCGTCTTTCTTTCACTTCTCATTTCGTTTTCATGAACTGAACCGAGGCTTAAAACCAGTCGAGCGTAACTATTATGATATTGAGATGATGATGCATGAAGTACATGGTTGAAAACAATGCTGCATCCTCGCTCCCCTATGCAACACCATAATCCCCAGATCTCAAATCCATCTCTCCTCAACCATATTTCCCTGGGCGTATACAGGCCTCTGAATTGTGGGTGTGGCCTGCTCTTCCCAAGTCTTGCGTTGAACGCTGTTTCAGTCCCTTTGTGGTCTCCGCTAGAGCGTTTATACCAAGACGCTTATTGCCCATAGACTTTAGTCTAGCTATACCAAACTATGCATATAGACACCGTAACGTGTCTCAAGATGGCGTGAAAAAGAATGTAGTTCTCATCTCCAGAGTGTGGTATAGCTGAGAAGCAATCAACATCCACAAGCGTCTCCGTAAAAACCGACATTCGTTTCCTCCTTTAAACACGCGCATCAACAGCAACAGTACGGTCTAACCCCTTGTGCTCTTTTCCTTTTCGATCCTTTCGATCCTCACCACTTCTTTTCGTCTCACGACGATCATAATCATAAAGACACACGTACCCCCATAGCTGCCTCTATCGCCGCATCAACCACAGGATCATCCTCCTCAACATCAAACGCCAACCGCTTGAGGAATCTCATCGCTTGCTCCAGCAGGCCGATGTGTCTTCGAAGCAGTTTGGTTATCTTCTCGCATTCCTGTTCTCGTACTTCGCATGCCGCTATCTCCCTGGATGAGATACCCACTTTCTTATAGAGGTCGATAAGCTCTGCGATGATCTTTCTTCTCCGCTCTTCGTACTCAAAATCGTCGCTGCTGACATCAGAGTCACAGTCGTAATCGCGCTCTCCCTGGTGTAGCTGATCTGTGTCTTCTTTGGTCCCGGCGTCTTTGGCTGCTAGTATATTTTTGTAATCGGGAGGGTCGCAGAGCGGACTGAGAGGGAGTGGCGGGAGTTCTAAGGGTCCATCATGATCCATGGCTGTATCCGTGTTGTTGGTATCCGCGATGTAGAGATACTGTGCGTAGTTTTGCTGCTTCAGAGCGGCGAAACAGCTTTTCAGGGTATTCACTTGAGTCTGAAAATCCTGGAGATTGGCTCTGCGCATTGCGACTTCGGTTTTGGCGCTTTCGAGTTCGGCGATGCGTGCCTTGATCATGGTCTCGAAATGTATTCTCGAATCGTTCATCGTTTGAGTATATTGCTGTTGCAACACGATTCCTGTCGCTGCACAGAATGTTAGTGTCGATCTTGTTGAGTTATTCTTGATGATGATGACCTCTCACCTACATCTATGGATACATCGCCATTTTCAGATGGAGTGGGCGACTTGACGGGCATTTTGCTGGTACATCTCTTGCCCACGTTTAAAAAGAGTTGTCGAGTTTTTCTGGCGCGATGGCGTCAATATAAAATGTTGGTATTTCGCAAGTAGAACATTAAGTCAGTATAAGAAAGGTGTATAGCACTGAGATCGACTCTTTTATGACCTGTGCGACCGAATATCTTCATTTCGGGTTATTCATCTATTCGGTGAGGTGTGAACCTAGGTACAGGATACCAAGGGACCACTCACAACTCCGATAATGCAAATTATCATCACAAATCATTCCGAGCACGAATATTGCGACTGCCGATAAGTGATCAGACAAAAGCCGGTTGCTACTCGAGCAGTGTGTGGCTGCCTTGTTTAGGTGAATGGCCATTTGCGCAACCACGAGTCACACGTGCCCGGGCAAGAACGCCGCCTTATTTGCCCGGGCCCAACCTCCATCGTGCGCTACAATCACTTCTACTTCTACAGGACTTCCACCTTCTTCACGAACATTCCCTTGCTTCAAGAGCCTTGCTATTTTTTCTACAGTAGCCGCTGCAGCATCAGTGTCAGCATGCACACTTCTCAAACCACCCTTTCCATCATCGTAGAGCGCGATACCCTTCTCGCCGCTCAAGATGCGTGGGTCATGGCAACAGTCGCCGCCGAGATATACCCATTTCTTTGGCCCTGTTCGGGCGAGAAGGTTGATGTGTCCGAACAAGTGGCCTGGCGCGTCGATGATGAATAATGATCCATCTCCATAGAAGTCTATCGTAGCAGGAAACCCCGCCAACGGCCTCCATCCAAGTTCTTTTAACTGGGTCTTGAACGCGCGTAGACCTTCCGTCTCGCGAACAGGTGGTAATTCGCTCGTTCGGCTGGTAGGCAACTCATCAGGGTTGAATATCTCAGCCGGGTATAGTGGACCACCTCCGTTCGCAAGAAGATGCATAGTACCACTTCCGACTACAAATCGCGCGTTCGTGAAATCGCTCGGTGTACCCACATGGTCCCAGTGAACATGGCTAAGCATCACCAAGTCCACATCTTTTGGGTCAAGTCCACCTCTTCGTAAGCTCTCAGCCACATCTGGGCTGACACTGGTAGGCTGTCGTTGAGCGATATGATGCTGTTGTGCCTCCCGGTAGCCAGAGAAGTCGCGTTTAAGACCGAGATCGAAGACGAGACTGGATGAACCGTGTCGAATCAGGAAAGAGAGAGATGGGACTGTCGCACGTCTCTCTGGGTCGGCATCCGTAACGAAGAGTCGCTCGGGAAGTGTAAGCTGGCCGGCTTCGAGCGCTGAGATGGTAACGTAGGTTTGACCATGGGCTGGTGCTGGAAGAACAACGGCATCATTGCTCGACGCCATGGTGAAAAACAGAAGGTATGAGCTACCAGCTCTGGTGTTCACGAGGAAGCCATGTTTGACGCCAAACATGACATCGTGGTTGGAGAAATTGTTGGCCTGTATCCCGTCCTGCCCCACCTTGTTACTACCCCGCACGCGGGGTCAATTCCTCTACCATAACAAGGCCTACTGAAACTATTAGTGGCAATAGCGTGGGTATAAAGTAAGAGCCTTTAGTTGATAGGCAGCTCCCCGCTCCGTATCAATTCGAAAAGTCCTCAAGGCACGATGTCGTTTACTCTGCCCGAATCGATGCAAGCGCAGTGCCTGGAGGCTTACAAGGAACCATACAAGCTACGATCAGTTCCAGTTCCCAAGCTTCTGGAGCCGCATGACATCCTGATCAGGGTAGACGCTGCTTCGTACTGCCATACCGACTATGTCCTAGCGGAAGGACAGATGCCAGGATTGCCAAAATCTTTCCCACATATTGGGTGTCACGAATTCGCCGGTACGGTAGTCGCCATTTTTCAGACGCCTAGCAAGGAAGCTGGCGCATTCGAGATTGGCGCAAGGGTCGGTGTACCAGGTCGCTCTTTCCATGCTTGTGGCGCATGTTTCGAGTGCAGGAATGAACGCGCGGAGGATCCAGTCGCAATGGACGAAGGAGGCTACTCGGTGAACTGTGTCACTGCGGATAACAAAGGCCTAAGCAGAGACGGTGGATTTGCGCAGTATGCCGTTGTGGACGCGAGACAACTGTCACCCATACCAGATAATCTGACCGCAGTAGAGACCGCCCCCCTGATGTGCGCCGGCGTGACCATATACGGAGCACTCAAAAGATGCAGACTCAAGGAAGGTGACAGAGTCGGCATACTAGGAGCCGGTGGTGGTCTTGGTCATCTGGGCTTGCAATACGGTGTCAAGATGGGTTATAAAGTTTTGGGTATTGAGGCAGCAGATGAGCCTCTGAAGCTTTCGCAAGATGTCGCCTCGAGGTTGGATCCAAAACCATACATCGTGGACGCTCGAAAGAAGAAGGCAAGCGACGTCGTTCGGGAATTTGGCGGTCAGGACGGCAAGAAAGATATTGGAGAGATGGGACTGGATGCAGTGATAGTCTTGCCTGAAAGCCAGGCGGCTTTTGACTATGGCATGACCCTGCTAAAGTCACACGGGACATGTGTTTTGGTATCGTTCCCAGAAAAGGGCTTCCACATCAACTCGCACGATGTCGTCTTTCGAGATATCAGGATAATCGGTAGCCTGGTAGGGAGCAACAAAGTGCTTCGTGAAATGCTGGATTTCTCCGCCAAGCATAACATTCGCGCTTTGTCGACTTCTTTTCCTCTGACAAAGTTGAACGAGCTGGTAGATGAATACCACAAGGGTCGGGGTGGGAAGCTGGTAGTTGATATGGCCCTCAATGCGTAGATCAAGTAGCGAGATGATTCCGTATATCTAATACCTCCACAGAATCAAGAGGATTCCTCTTCTGCTTATATAGCATCGATGGAGTACCATAATGTCAAGTCACGTGCCGATCGTGAGCCTTGGCTTCAGTTGGTGCTCAACCCTGGTATGCATCGGAAAATCCGAGTGCCTCGGCGAACGTCCACAAGAATCGCTGCGTGCTATTGGCTGAATTGGGCATCCCTATACAATTGCTCACCCAGACTCCAGCATATCAGCATAGAGGTTGAGAGAGCTTCCGATAACATCAACGATGGCCCATGTTTGAGACCCTTTGAAGATCATCGCCCAGACCCTGAGCACCCCTGCGCTGAGATGTCGCGTAAAGTTGGGCGAGTCGGGTGTAATGCCGACCGGTACGGCGAACTCGGTCTCATCCAACATACTTTTCACGATTGCAATAATTCTGTGCTCGTCTTCTGTGACCGGCGGGTCTGCTTCTGGCACTGACAGTGCTTCAAGCCACTTGCTCATAAGATAGGCGCACTCAAGTGTGCACAAAGAGTGCTGAATGCTCCAGATGAAAGATTGCGTCTTTGCTACAAGACGATAGCCAATCTTGATGGGTATAGAAAGTGCGTGAGCCGAGTGTAGCACGGCCCTTATAATCTTTGGTGAGCGCCTAATCGCAGGTCCAGCACGGAATGCGTTGGCGATCAACACAGGGTCGCGTGTCTCTAAAGCTCGACCTGCGGTGTCTACGTATAGACGAATATATGCCAACCGGAGCAAAGCTGTTGAGTTGAAAGCAACAGGACCGTTCTGCGACATGGGGTCCAGCGATGATTCGGGATTTTGGCGCCATCCAGTCTGCCAGTTTCGTAGGGCGTTTTCAAGCGACGCGACATCTTCTGTGCTGAGGTCACCGGGTCCTTCAAACCGACATCGTGCCACTTGTCTGAGGAAGAAAACATGCTGTATCAGGGCATGTATCAATGCGTAGTTTCCAGATGACGAGTTGACCTCAGTGACATCGCGGCCTTGCTTTGTAAATAGACGTTTCAATGCATCCTGGAACAGGACCTCAGGCGCGCTTTTCTTCCTAGCTTCCCTCCATAGAGCCTCCGTAGGTGCCTTGAATTCTACGGCACTGCAAGGCAAGGGCAACTTGACTTCGCTTGTTAACATAAATGGAGGGATGTTGTAGACGATGCAATGGAGGTTGGAAAAGCCGTAGACGATGAACTTGGTTCTTTTGATCGTTTCGCGCCGAATCCAGTGCGACCAGGCTATGTTCTCATCAAGAGGCTCAGTCTCAAGCCCGTCATCTCGAATGAGCGTAGCTAATATGCTTTGGATTGCTAACGCCTCTCTGAGAATCTCTTTGTGTTTGGCCCAAGTACACAATGCCATGAGCAAGAGTAGTGCTTGAGCGGTTTGCATGAGATCTTCCCCAAGGACAGGAACATCGGCTCGAGAAGGTAGGCCCAGCGGTCCTGAGACGGAACCCTTACGTTGAGGACTACGATGGTCGCTCTGATGATTCTGGGTGGACGAATGATCCGACTCAGAATGATGCTGGAGCTGCACCAGGCGCGTATCCCGTTTCCTTATACGGTGCGTCGCAATTGCTTTGCTTATATTGAACAGCTCGACACCCTTTTCGCCCTCGAAAGTGTATTGTGCACCGATAGCTGCTAATGCTAGGAGTAGCTCTATCGAACACGTCTCCACGGACATCGTGGGTATATGGAGGAAAGGCATGTGCTCGTGGAATCCGTTTATATACGCAGCAATATATCTGCACAATGCTAATCGGGTCGGTAGAACGAAATCGCTGGGTATGACCATGGAGAACGGGTGAAGCTTCTCGAGTATCTCCTGCCGGTCCTCATGTGAAATATCTGCGAATGATCGTTTCCGGGCGGATTGGTCGTCTGGCTGCAAGGAAGGAAATCGAGAGCCGAAGCGTGACAGTGACGGCGGCTCGTCCGACTGGGTTGGTCTCCAAACATGTGAAGGTGCAGCTGTTCCCTCCGGCTCGGTCGCCATTTGTTGGCCGTAGCCAAATGAATCCGGAGAGAAGAAAGGCATGGGCTGTTCGGTATTGATCAGAGACGCAAAGTGATACGAGTTTAGTGGTTCATTGTCAAGGAAGGAAGTGAGGCTATCCAGTGACTCTCCGAAAGTCGACTCATAACTGTGAGCAGAATGATCTGTGAGCATCGTTGTATGCGGGTCTTCGACACTTGCTGCTATTGTGCCAGCATGCGAAGGCATTGGGGTTGGGATCGCATCATGGGTGGGAGCGTTTGCCATGTTACCTTGAAGAGCTTGATACTCGGCAGCCATTGATAATGCTGTCAAAGAGTAAGGGCTGTTGTGACCGAAGGTCATGGAGGCGTGTGACATCGCGGGTTGTTGTTGTGCCGATTGCATATCCAAAACAGCAGGCGAGGACATCATGCTGGGTATCTCCGGGACTGGACGTCCAGCATCGAAACTCGATCGCATGCGCTTGTGCGGCCGGGTCTCGGCCGTGCCATAAGTATCTCCAGCCGGAGTGTGCTCATAATTCTGCTGTGTACTCTGCTCTTTGCGATGAGTGAGTCGCTCATGGCGAACGAGCAGATCACTGGAATCCGATATTTAGCGGCCGCTGTATGTGAAGCAGGGCGTATCATACCTGCGTGTGAATGAATAATTACATGCTGCGCAGCTGAAAGGCTTCACACCGCTATCTTGATACATGTTAGAATTGGTTTACGACGCGAGTCGCACAACTTACGAATGCGCTCATGACGCTGAAGATGCTCCAGCCTAGCAAAGGCCCGTTGACAGTGTGGACATTGGAATCGCTTTTCCTTCTTCCCCGGTTGAGCTTGCGGGACCTGCTCTCCGCTGGTGGCGGCTTCCATCAAAGACCAATCGTGTCGCTTTCGCTCGCACAGGGCCCAATCGCGACAGGCGTAGTAGGCGATAGCCGGATTTTGGAGCAATCTGAGCACTTAGACGAAGTTTGGAGACTGCAAATCGTGTGTCACGAAGTCGGGTCGTGGGATTGTGGGGAAAGGAATGAAGCGCGGAGACGCGACGGTTCACATGCGGGGTGCTGGGAAGAAGTGGGAAAGCCACCAATCACACGTGTGATGTGTACCCACAACCCAGGATTTGCGCATATTGATGGACGGATGGAGTGTAAGAAGTTGCATGGTCATTTTTGCGCATAAGGTAGGAACAATGTTGGTGTCGCTACAAATGATTATCGAACGTCACGACCCAGCCGGGCCGGATGATGCCGGGTGCCACTTTCCCTAGCCACACAATCCAACGCGACGTGTCGCGCCTTCCGTCCATCATCACAAGCCGACGCTCTATCACGCCTTCTCGCTCTTGTTGCCCAATTCTCGCGGCATTTCGCCTTTCTCTGCCATGTCATTCAGGACCTTCTCCGCTGTTTTCATCGCGTCGACACCAGCCGGCACACCGCAGTATGTTGTGGCGTGAATGATGGCTTCACGGATCTCAAGCTCGGATAAGCCATTGTTCCTTGCCCCGCGCACATGCACGGCGAGCTCGGGGGCGCGGTTGAGTGCCATGAGCATACCGATGTTGATCAGACTTCTTTGCTTCTTGTCGAGTCCTGGGCGCGTCCACGCATATCCCCAGCACATCTCGGTGACGAGCTCCTGTCCGGCTCGTGAGAATTCAGTGGAGCCATTCTCCAGCGCGCGATTGACGTATTCATCTCCCACAACACTCCGTCTCATCTTTAGCCCTTCATCGAAGAGCTGCTTGTGTAGCTCGTCAAGCTTCGGATCGGTCGACATGCTGGCGGTCGGTTGCTTCGAGAATTGAGGGCAGCTGATGCGGCTTTGACGTTAAAGAGCTTGACTTTCTCGAAATGTTTTATTAGGATAAGGAATATGATAGTTTATCCACGGCGCGTTCGAATTATCGGCACTATGACGACCTAACAAGACTGGCATGTTTGCCCCGCGATGGTAGCTTCATGCCGCGGTAACCCACCCTCGGCATTACCCCAAACGTCCCCAATCTTCTCCAACTTCAACATGACGCTAACGGGACTAGTCACAAAAGACAAACAGATCCCAGCGACATCGAATTTGACAACGATGGGGTGTCACAGTCCCAAGTTGCTGCTCACGCGCTGTTCGATTCTGAATGCCAGTCTTCCTGGCCACCAAGGTAGCGATAAACCACCCGCGAGTCCAGATCCCTACAATGCGGATCGTTGGCGGCCCCATCGTACGTTTGGAAACCAACGTCACCCAACACGTTTCTTGAGCCTACTCGTTTCGCCATGTCTACTGCCAAACCGAAGTCTTTGCGCATCAACTGCACTTTGAAACCCTGCTTCCAGCCTCCCGACGACGGAGCTTCGGGGTATACATGTGGGACCGGGCAAAACTTGTCGCAAATAGTATTCTGAGCAGTACCTGCAGCGTATACTTTGGCCAGAGTGCGGGGATCCAATCCGCTGCGCATTCCCATGTCGAAAGCCTCAGAGCAAGCTATGGCGATGATACCCGATAGGTAGTTATTCGACAGCTTCGCTGCAAGCCCAAGTGATGGACCTCCGCAAGGTATTACTTGCCCACCCATCAAGCCCATCAGATATGTGAGGCGCTCGATATTTGGGTCTGATTCTGCACAGCCCAGAAAGAATGCGATCGTGCCTTTGATGGCTCCCACTACGCCGCCACTCACCGGGGAGTCATAGAACGACGCTGATGGGAACTCAGCGGCAATATGGTCCTTCACAGCGAGGCTGGTTGCCGTGTCTATTGTCGAGCAGTCGATAAGCAGCTTGTTCGATATATCGGTGCTGCATACGCCGTTTTGGGGGTCGAGATATACGGATCGTACATGTGCACCTTCAGGCACCATGCTTACAACTGTGTCCTGCCACCTCGTTAGCTACCATCTTCTCACGGTGGCGTCTAGACTCACGACTTGTTGCGCCACGTCTTTGGCGCTTTGTGCCTTCAAGACTCGACCGGGAAACTCTGCACACGCATCGTCTACCATATGTTCGACCACGTCATAAACCCAAATGCGCGATTCCTGAGGCAATTTGTTGGCAAGATGAGAAAGCATCGGTTTCCCCATGGCCCCGAGGCCGATGAAGCCCAGTTTCCCAAACTCGTGTGAATGCGTCATGAGGAATGCGGGTGCCAGATTGAGGCAGGGGATTGAGTTGAAACCGAAAGTACTTTCAGGAACGACAGAGAGCTAGCGTCAAGTAGGGAGTTGGTGTGTATACGAGACGTGGAGGTTTTGAGAATCAAGTCATGTCAACACTGCACTATCAGAGCGCGTCGTGAGCGTGCCGCGGCTGGTGAAGCGGGGTAGAGATTTCTCCAACGGATAACGACGCACTAATCCTACCTACTCCTTCGCCAACACCTAGTACCCCCATAGGTACTTTGGTAAGCTGAACGATGATCTCACGTGCGATCACCTCCGGCTATCCTTCTAGACAGCCATAGTCTAGCAACCTCTGTCGTGAGACGACATCATCTACGAAAAGCTCCATCATCTTTGAAAGATGTCTGCTGTTGACTCGCAAAAGTATTCCAACCGTGCAGCGCCGGCCTTGGTCACTGTACACGCGTTATCCTGTGGTCACTTTTCCCTCCCAGAGTACCAATTCGTATACCCTATTAGTCGAGATGCACGCCGGACCGTACCATCGTTAGCATTTCTGATACAGCACTACGACCAAAGCACTAAGAAGCGGACACGAATCGTATTTGATCTAGGCCTGAGGAGAGACATCAAGAGATACGCGCCACCAATACAAAAGCATGTTGAGACGAGACAGCCAATGAGTACCGATCCGGACGTCACAAAGAGCCTCGCGAGAGGCGGGCTAGTGCCCGAGGATATCGATTATGTGATATATTCGCACGTAAGTCACACGACCTCGCTTTGCTGACAGTACGTAACGTGGCTATGGCAGGTTCATTGGGATCATATTGGCGAACCTCGAGACTTTCCCACATCTACCTTCGTCGTCGGCCATGGCTCACTTGCCTTGTTAAATGGCACATCGCTGTCTTTGCGCGGGGGCCATTCTTTCTTCGAAAGTGATCTTCTGCCAGAAGAACAAACCATTGAGCTATTGGAACCTTCGGCACACGTGCTGAAGAAGCACGACTCATGTAGAGGAACGGGTGACATCAGCTTTGGTGGCTCCTGGCGAACGCACGGAAACCTGCCCCTGGCTCTGGATCTCTTCAATGACGGCTCACTGCTTATCGTCGACGCACCCGGTCATCTACCAGGCCACATCAATCTTCTTGCTCGGACATCTCCTGATCACCAAATTTATATGGGTGGAGATGCTTGTCACGACAGACGATTGTTGACTGGCGAGAAATCGATCGGAGAGTGGAATGATGCTCATGGACAAGTCTGTTGCATACACGCCGACAGAAAGCAAGCTGAGGCGACGATTGACAGAATCAGAGTCCTAGAGAAAGAAGGCGTCGAGATCATCTTCGCACACGACGTTGAGTGGGAAAACGATCCAAAGAACAAGACGCGATTCTTCGGCGCGAACCAAAGCATGGATAATTAGTTGTTAGTACTCAAGACATCACCTAGCAATTGTTCTCAGCAGTACGTCGGATACCGACCATCTCTCGCACATACCACATTGTAGAATCGCAGTATGTGGATACCGCTACATCTGTGATCCTTCTCGTTCGGCCACCAGGTGGTGTGCTGATCCCTGCGCTTCCCCACACGGCAGAGTTGGGGAAATGTGGGGCTTGCTCGCTCACCACCACCATCAACCATACTCGGAATACGCGCGCTGAGGGGCAGCAGGCAGTACCACGCAGACTGCATTCGCGGAACTAGCAACTGGGTACTTCACGCGTTCCTGTCTCAATGCCGAGATTTCATATGATCCCCAATAATTTCAAAGTAATTGTCTTGGTGGTTTCAGCGACGTAGACTCCACCCATGCTATTCACGTCTTCATTTGTGTCCAAAAAATTGATTTGAAACATTCATACTATTACACAGCATGTCTCTTACCCCAGACCAGCAGCGCCTCAAAGAGCGCTTCGACACCGAGCTCGGCTCCACAGCCTACGACGAGTCCTGGGCGAGGATGCTCAAGCACTCACCCGAGATGTTCGCAGCATCGCTCCGCCTAACAGCAATACCAAAGCAAAGCAGCCATCTTTCCCCAAAAATCCAATCTCTAATCTCTCTCGCCGTAAGCGCATCATCAACCCATCTCCACGTCCCGAACATCCACCGCTACACACGCGCCGCCCTATCCGCAGGCGCCTCCCGCGCGGAAATCGTCGAAACACTCTGCCTCACGTCCACCCTCGGCATCCACGCCTCCACAGTCGGCGTACCCATCCTTTTCGAAGTTCTCGAAGAGCGGGGCGAAGCCATACCAAAAGGCATGGCGAGCATGAGTCCGCAGCAACTAGCGCTAAAGCAAGATTTCGAGGTAAAGCGTGGGTATTGGAACGCGTTATGGGAAGAGATGCTGCTCATCGCACCCGAATTCTTCGACGCATATACGGAGTTTAGTTCGGTGCCGTGGACGAATGAGGGGGGCAAGGGCGTGCTTGAACCCAAGGTCAAGGAGTTGATATATTGTGCGTTTGATACGGCGGCCACGCATATGTATAAACCGGGGTTGAAGCTGCATATGCGGAATGTGCTGAATTATGGGGGTACGAAGGAGGAGATCATGGAGGTGTTGGAGTTGGCGACGTTGTTGAGTATTAGTACTTTGGATGTGGGGTTGGAGGTTTTGGATAATGAGATGGGAGGACGGTAGCGGCGTAGGTTACAAATCACGGTGAAGACGCGCCAAAACCTCACGCCTCCCCTCCATCCCCCTCAGCCAGTCAGGACCGAAGCTCCAAAGCAGAAAGGCCAGAAAAAAGCCAATGATGACGACAATGCAGTCGCAGATGCATCTGTTGGCGACTTGATCCCAGTCGAGCCAGGCAAACATTTTCGCAAGATTTTAGTTGTGAAAGCTACATGGGTACATAATTATTAGCACATTGAAGCCAAATTGCAGTAACGAAGAAAAGGGGTTGGAAAAGAAATATGCACATACCTGTTCCCTTCTTGTGGGTACTAAAGAACAGGAAACAGGATGCGGAGCGAGGTTTACTACATTGCAGCTACAGCGTGGGCAGGCCCTCGTACACTGCTGCTTTGCGTCTCGTGTACTCCTTCTCAAAAATGTGGTATGCGGTTGCCAGGAACTATACAACATGCAAGAGCGGTTTGATGAATACGTCGACTTACCTCCTAGCAGTTCAGTTGGCTATGCTATCCCGTGGAGGCTACAATGGTGGTTTAAAGCTTGGAGCTAAATAGAAAAAGGTATCCTAAGATATACGTGATCTTTTCTACGGAGCATAGCGCAAGCCCATTATCGATGTCTGCGGTAAGAGTCTTGTAGCATGCGCCATATTTCTGACTGTGCAGCGCAATATCATTACGCCGGGAGGGTACAAAGCGGTTTATAAGCTCGAACTAGACCTGAAGATGTAGCCGGGAGGTATTCGATGGTACTCGCAGATGTGAAGCATCGTCAATCTAAGGACTCTTCGATCGGAAAGAACATATCAAGATCCGGCATATTCCTGCACAGGTCGGATGAGGAAAGCCTAATCCAGGAAGATACAGAGGGGGTTATACCATGAAGCGAAACCTGAAAAAGTAGCCTGGGGGTATTCGCTGGTCCCTTCCTGAAGAAGGCGTAGTCCCATATTTGAATCAGATTGGAAAGAACATCTCAGCGTACAGCTGATGTGCAGACACCGTAGTAAAGTACGCGCATGCCAGAGAAACGCAACGGGCGTTGTACTCTGAAGCTGGATCTAATAATGTACCCAGGAGGTATCCGCAGTGTCCAAGGCGAAGATGGCGCAGTTTCCTCGTCGGTATTCATGGGAAGAGCTTCTCGGCAGGTAGGCGCTCTGGGTCTCAGTGATCGGCGCGCTCGCAAGAACCTGGTGTATAAATTGAGTAGCTGCTAGGCACGTACGAAGGGTCTTGCGCTCTCAGCTTCCGGCTTGGTTTCTCCAAGAAGGAGCGCTTCAAATGCAGGAAAGCTAGGCCTAATCAGTCAGCCCACCTCCAGAATGTGCACGACATGGGCATCTGCTCGACAGATAAAAGGGTTCTTGTACGCTCGGGAAGCATATGCACACGCACCCAGGAGCAAGTCGTTGCTCTTCACCTTGACGTGCCCATTGAACAAAAGACCTTGTGGACATCTGATGTTTATTGAGACCAGGAGATAGCAAAAGCTCTATCTCATCGGGCTCGCGGCTCTGTCTACAGGACTACTTGTCCTCCCCGAGCCGACACCAGAAGCAAGGAGTTCAAGTCTAGATGCCTGGACTCGGTGCTTCTTCATAACCTCTACCCACTCTTCCTCAATCTCCTGCTCCTCTGTCTCCTCCATACTTTCTTCTAGCTCTGCCCGCAAGTCCTCTTCGAGGAGAGCAATCATCATGCTAAAGTCACCACCTAGTCTACCCAGCGAACCAGCACAGTATAAGACCTGAGTGAGGAGCGAGTCGCGTTGTGAGCGATCTTGTACGTTTGGAAGGTATGTTCGTAGGGTGTCGAAGAGCATCTCCACGAGATGTAGTGGAAACGTTGCGAGGGCCGATGGTGTCGGTTGGAGAGGGTTGGATGTGTTGACTGGCTTTACGGCTGGAGCGCTCTCGTCGGATCCTGGTGCTGGCAAGGCGGAAGGGAAGATGCTCTTGTACATGGATATGATGGCGAAGCTCTGTTCTCGGAAAACCTCAAGATACTTCTTCAGGTACTTTTCTGTTTGCTGACCGACGGCCCAGCCAGCGTCGCCTTTCGCTGCCTTGGTAGTCCGCTTTTCTGTCTCTTGGTCTGCAAGCTCGCGTAGAGGATCTAATGCGCCGAGCATCGACTCTAGGCACACTAATCGGCATACGAGGAACGATGCGCCCAGTGTGCCTTCTCCACTGCCTATGCCGGCTTGCTTTGTAGACCAAGATTCGTCCAGTTCTGGCGCCACGCGTCTTAGCCACCCTATGGTACGCATGGCACCTGCCAGCTTGATGCCTTGAGTCTGGAGCGAGCTTATGAGATTGGTGGTCATGGTCTTCATCTCCTGCTCAGCCTGGGCAGTGAGCGAGGAGACCAGCTCTGAGTTTGGGTAAAGCGTGTGGAGGCGCTTGATGTGTGCGTGGAGATCTAGAGCCGAGGCATAGTTCGCGTTCGCGGTGGCTGTAGACGACGAGGCTTGTGCGGCGGCTGTGGAGGAGCTGATGGCGGACGAGAGAAGGGTCGGTAGGTCGAGCACATCGGATACGCGGTCAATATTCCGGGATAGCAGCATTGCCTTTCTCCGTCTATCTAGTATCGCATTATCTGCGCCTCTGCCGTATTTTTCGGAGAAGTTCTGTGCGGCTGTTTCCAGGTTCGGTAGCTCCGCCTGTACTGTGCCTGCATCTTGTCCTATCTGCGGGAGTGTCTTGCGGAGGTGTAATAGGTGGTCGGTCGAAGATATTATGGGCTTATGCGACCGCTTCGAGAGGGCTTGTAGTGATCGTAGTATAGACTGCGAGCTTTGTGACAGCGATTGCTGCTCTGAGGATGTGAGGGCAGCTAGAGGCAGGGTCGTGAGGCGGGAGAGGTACGTGTTGGTAACGGCGTCATTGGGCGAGGGCCGTAGCTGCGCGTCTTGGGCGTCGAAGTAGGGTATCAGTAGCTCGTAGAGGGGATCCGCCATGTTGTCGCGTTTCACTCGTCCAATGACGCGTACAGCTGTTCAATTGTGCCTCGAGGGCTGGGTGGGGTGGCTGCCCAGATGTCGAGTTGCGGGCGGAGGTGCCACGAGGCTGACCCCTGCCGCGTTAGCGCCCTTTGCACTTCACATGCGGCCGCTACCGCAACATTGGAACCGCAGAAGTCATGGATCGCGGCGACTCCCACACAGACGACCCCGACAGCCCAGACGACGACGCAAATAGACCACGCCAATCCAACGCAGTCGAGCGTTTCCTCGCTGAGCTGTTCCAGAATCGTTTCCTCACAGACCTCTCGGTCGCCGACGACCAAGCTGCACCGACACGACCGATTCCGCCGCGAACGCTACCCTCGAATCATCTCGTGCCTTTTTTCACCGCCTCCAATACATTTCCAGTACCGCAAAACCCAGTCAACACTGCAGAAGTGGCAGAAATTACATTACCGCATACTTCAGCACGCCAAATGCAAAGCGCGCAGGATGTCGTCTTCTGTGTCGAGGATACCGTGGGGCTCAAGGACGACAAGTACAGCGTCGGCATCATAGAGAGATCTTTTGGCGATGTCGACTCGCACGAGCCCCGGCCACAGCGCGACTACCCCGACGACATCGAACGCCATGCCGACATTCCCAAGGAACATTTTTGGAAGTTCATGAAGGACGGCATCCCACCGCGGGGTACGGTCCTAGTGTCATGGCAGACCCAGTACAAGACGGAACTCATACCAGAAGCAAAGCTTCAGCTGCTAGATCGCGCGCTTTACGTAGGCGATGTGGTCAAGAGGAAGGCGGAAGATCATATTAGTGGTACGGTCATTGGCACCCAGGCAGTCTGCACCCTCTTCCCCGCGACTCTCTTCAACGGCGGCCAAATCACGCAGACAACCACCGACGATCTATCGATACGGAACATCCCGGCCGACGAGCTTATCAACGTGCACGAATTTGTCGAGGGGGCCTTAGTCGTGTACGGCGACTGGGTCGGGCGGGTAGAGAACGTATACGACGAAGTCGCCATCAGGCTGGCCAATAACTCAGTCGTGGTCGTCGAGGATCCGGCAGAGCTGGAACAGGACGACACCACTCTCGAGCGGCTCAGCGTGGGCGACACAGTGAAGACCAAAAAGGGCAACCTGCGGCGGGGAAACTGGAGATTTGGCGCATACGATCCGAGCGTACCGCCTGTAGGCATGGTAGTCGAGACAAGAGCATCCGAAATCGACGTGCAGTGGCTAGCAAGAAGCATCGGCGCGCGTAACGTCACCTTCAATGCAGACGAGCCTCCGGCGACGATCGGTCGAGACGAATTCGAGAGCCCCAACTTTTACCGATACGATGCCTCAGGAGGTACCGCCACAACCCTCCCCATCTCCGAAAACGGGGTCGACAAATCATACCATGTTACCGATGTGGCCGTGGGTGACCGGGTACGGTTCAAGGACATCGCCGGCGCTGCCGTAAAGTACGACGGTACGAACAAATTACCCAACGGATATCCACAAGGGAAGGTGACACGGATCGCGCGGACAGAAAGCCTGGGATATGATCTCAATGTCTTCTTGGTGATGCAAACTCATAGTCGGGTTACCGTTCAATGGCAAGACTTGTCCATAACGCACGATCTCAGCTCTTCTCTACTGCCAGATCCCAATGTAGAAGACGATGATGAGGTTTGGCCTGGTGAAGTTGTCTTCTCCAAAGAGAACCGCGACGGCGATGACGCTGATGACACTGCGACAAAGAAGCCTTCAAAAGTGGGTGTGGTCCAGACAGTCAAGGGCCGAGATCGGATAGCCACTGTGCGATGGTTCAAGAATCCTTCCATCGAGTTCTTCGGCCCAGACCTACTTCCTCCGTCAAGTACAGGAGAGTTACACGATACCGTTGAAGACGTCAGTCTATACGACATTTACTCTTTCCCAGCACTAACACGAAGGCGCGGCGATTTCGTCCTAGTACACCCAGACTCAATCGAAGGGGTACAGACACCGCTCAACGTCACTGGCCCCGACTGGTTTGGAGAGGTTATTGACTTGGGCTTGGATGGAAAGCTTACAGTCCGCCTTGGCGCAGCAAAGCCTGTCGTGGATGTTAAGATTCCCTACGAACGCGTCACTCTTGCCTACAGCAGCGACATGGCTGATGATTTCGGTAACATGGATCCGCTGGAAGGTGAATACATCGATGACTCTGATGAGAGTGATGAATCCGATTTCGATACGGCGTCATTCAACGAGATGTGGATTGAGTACGAGGGCATGGATGGTGAGCAGCCTGTTGGTGACGAAGGAGATTGGTCGACGGAGGATGAGGATGAAGAGGAAGAAGACGATGGCAATACGGATACGTCAATGCCTGATCTTGTCGACATCACAAAAGAAGTCGATACATCGAAGACGACTCCAGAAGAGCAACCCGATGGAGAAGGCGGTATAGCGCTGGATGATCAGACAGAACAACCGACAGAGGGACCGTCCTCTTTCCTCATCCTCGAAGAAGCCCCACCGTCTTCCCATCACTATATCTCTCAATCATCGGCTTCCTCGTCAGCTTTCATGCGTCGGATAGCAAAAGAGCACAAGATCCTCCGGAGCTCACTTCCACCAGGCATCTTCGTCCGCACATGGGAGTCTCGGTTAGATCTTCTCCGCGTCCTCATGATCGGCCCTAACGACACACCCTACGAATACGCGCCCTTCGTCATTGACTTCCACCTCGGGTCCGCATACCCACAAGAAGCTCCACAAGCCTTCTTCCACAGCTGGACAAACGGCAACGGGCCTGTCAACCCCAATCTATATGAGGATGGCAAAATCTGTCTAAGTCTGTTGGGCACATGGCACACCGATGAGCGTAACGAAAGCTGGAGTCCCGCGAAGAGCACGCTCCTACAGGTTCTAGTCTCTATCATGGGACTCGTACTAGTCAAGGAACCATATTACAACGAAGCCGGCTACGACGTCCACCGTTCAGCGCCAGAGACAAAGCTCAGTTCCGCGCTTTATACCGAACGCGCTTACTTCCGTGCGCGCGCATTCATACACCATGCGCTCACACATGAGGTCGCGCCGTTCAAGGAGGAGCTGCAGTACCTCTACCGGAGCCAAGAAGACGGCGCGCCAAAACTCCTCGACAAAGCCATTGAAGCCGCCAAGGATGTCGTCGAGCAAAGCGCCGAGGGTAGCGAGGAGGGCGAGCGTGATGGACTCAGGAAGATTAGTCTGGGCGCTCTTGTCATGCTGAGGAGACAGGTCGAGAAGCTAGAGGCTTTGAAGCAGGCGAGTACGTGAGCAGGAGGACTGGCATGACTGACCCTGGCTTGACTCCGTGTCACTGTATTAGATCTTCGCATCGGGAGATGCATGGCGCTTTACCATGAAAATAAGATAGTGAAGCAAGAGGAATGTAAAAGCATACTTCAAGGTGCCCGTCACCCTGGCCTTGATCGTGATTCTAAAGACCTGGACTGGAAGATGTCACTGAGCAGATCGAGAACATGTCTTTCCTGAAAGCGTGATATTTGGGACTGTTCGTAGTGTCCTGGGGTCATGAGAGTGGGCGGACTGTAGTGTCATGTAGGACCCTCATATACCTCAAGGCCTGTGGGTGTTGCCTATGCTGTCAGTGGAAAGCTTGGAGTACAACCCGCTACCTTGTGACATTGTTCACGCTGCTTGTACAAATCTTGAAGCACACACGCTACTCTTTACACTGACACACAAAACTTAAAAGTCACGCGACATCCTCCAGCCGGAACTCTATTCATGCAACATTTGTAGATGCTTGGTGTGCCTCGAATGACTGCACATCTATATCTGATACCTGAAATCCGGTTCGCGATCCGTATACTGCTTTCCAGCAGGCATAGTATACCCTTGAGCAAGCTTAACATCCTTCCTCTTCTCTCTCCTCCTATACATCGCCCGAACAATCCACCAGCCGCACCATGCAAAAGCCAAACAGCCCAGACTCCACGCATGGCCCAAGGTATATTTCGGTGCTGCATTGCTCTGGTAAATCTGACCTGACACCACACCACCGATATTGGTGAGTGTGAGCAAGATGCCTAGAGAAGCGGCACGTTTGCCATCGGGTGCGCAATTCGCAGATAGCCAGGTGATGTTTCCGCCGGTGCAGAGGAAGCAGGCTGTTGCGATGAGGTAGGTGGCGAAGTATTGGACGTATGGGCTCACTGGAGAGAGGAGGATGGCGTAGCCGGCGATGCCTACGGGTGCCATGAGGATCAGAGGTAGGAAACGCGTTTGATACCGGTCGGATAAGTATGCGCCGATTGCGTAGACGATAGCGCCCCAGATGTTCACGGGAATAACGAGGTATTGCGCCTGTACATGTCAGCGAAATGATAAGGGCTTTGGATAACTAGGCAGTACCTGTTTGGTGGAGAAGTTGAATCCATTCCTGATGATGATAGGCAAAAAGGTGCCGAAGCCGTATAAAATCGTTACAACTGCAATCTGGATGATACCATGCACCCAACTCTTAATGTCTCTCGCTGCTTCTTTGATGTCAGCTTTCCCGTAATGACCAGAGCCCTCAGAGTCGGAGTAGGCCTGTGTTCGATGTGCGCGCTGGCGCATGAGAGCCTTCTCGTCGTCGTTGAGGAAGTAGGCTGTCTCGAAAGATTTGGGGACGAGAAAGATGCAACAGACTGCCCAAATCACGGTGATGATACCCTCGATAACATACAGCCTGAACCTCTGTTAGTTTGGAAGGACTACCAGATAGCACGATGTGTGAAACTCACCATCTCCATCCCGACCACCCAGCAACTCCGTTCATGTACAGAATGCCGAATGCGATGAGGCCACCAAATGCTCCCGATAACGCTGACGCGATGAACAAATACGCGATACGGATACCCAGCTCTTCTCTAGTATACCAGTTACACAAGAAAAGTGTCATGGCTGGGAACAGGCATCCTTCGAAAAAACCAAGGAAGATACGTGTAACAACTAGGCCGGCGAAATTTTGGACGAAGCCCGTGCAAAGACATGTGATACCCCAGCAGAAAGTGATCGTTGGGATCACTCTGTTGAATTGGAGACGCTTAACTAGCAACGACGTTGGAAACTAATTGCCGTTAGATATGGGGAGTTGTAGCCAGCGAATGCACTTACTTCAGCGAGAATATAGAAGATATAGAATACCGATACAGCCGTCTACATTCTCGTTAATCCCTCAGCTTTCAGAACTCTTGATGAAAGTCGTGACGCACATTCAGCTCGCTGCCCTTAAGTCCAATATCCGTCGTCATACCCTGCGTTGCAGCGAATCCAATGTTACCACGATCCAGATAGCTGATGAGCATCAGCATCATCATGACTGGCGCAACGAAGCAGTCCAGCTTCCGCCGCAACGCATCTTCTTTCTTCTTGTTCTCGATGATCTCCGGAGTTTCATCTTGCGCAAGGTATTCGCGCTGCACTTGTTCGTGTTTCTCGTCGGTTACCGAGCGTTGAAGGCCTGGTGTTGCCATCGCCGAAAAATGTCAGAAAGCGAATGAAACAGTAGCGAACGGGTTCACAAAAGCCTATCCGATGTCGAGAGTCAAGCAGTCTTGTCTGTTATGCATCTTAACGTAAATGCGTATATCCGGCATGTATGTACGCCATGCGCCTTCCTGCGCTCATTACTCGTGTCCATCGTCTAGACCCAGCTCCTTCTCCAACTTCCATGAATCCTCCATCACTCGCTTCTATACGCGGGACGCCTGGAGTGCGAGTGACACAGAAAAGCTGCACTTCGACGTCGGTGGCGAGAGGTAGAGTATTAGCCGGATTGCCGATCTGCGAACGTTGCGGAGGTGGAGAAGCCATGTGTAGTTCCCCAATGCGGGGTGGGATGCGGGGCTACGCTTGGGGAAGCACGACGCGGCTTGGTACGAGGGGAACTTCGACAATGGAGATGTTGTTTGGGAGTAGGCAGCCAGGATGGACGGTGGTGTGCGGGGAAAGATGCTGGTGAGTCCATCGTGACTGCAACCCTACAGGAAACCTTGAAACATCGCGCTACTGAGCAAGTCAGCCACATTGATATCCAAAGACCGAATCTGAGAACACACTTGCGAAAATAACCCCATAAACTCAAAAGAAAAGAACTATAGAAATATCGACAACAAGGAATTGTTAGGGAGTTACTGCAAGAGGATGTCTTCACCAAGCAAGACCGTGGCCTTCATCGGTGCGTCCCTTCCTACCTGGGTGACTACCTTTCCTTTCCATCTCAGACTAATGGACCATAGGTCTTGGCGTAATGGGCTACCCCATGGCCCTCAATCTTCGCAAAGGGCTCGACTCTTCCCATACCCTCCTAATATGCGACGTATCCACCTCCGCGCTCGAAAAGTTCCAATCAGATGCCTCAGGCCAGGGTCCAGTGGAAGTAGTGAAGAACGGATTCGATGCCGTGCAAAGAGCCGACACCGTCATAACAATGCTACCAGATTCGAATGCTGTAAAGAAGGTGTACCTCGATAAGGAAACAGGAGTACTTGCTGGTGCGGAGAAAATGCGGGAAGGCGGAGAAGGAAAGCTGATCATGGAATGCGGCACTATCGAGACAGCTACAATCTTGGAGGTTGCGAAAGCAGTGGAGAGTTCAAGTGCAAGCAAGATGCTGACATTTGTTGATGCACCGGTGTCGGGTGGACCCATGGGTGCGCAGGATGGTACGCTGGCGTTCATGGCAGGCGCGAACAACAAGGACATCTTCCCTACCGTGAAGGGGTATCTGAGCCACATGGGCAAGCCAGATGCGATATTTCTCTGCGGTGACATCGGCGCAGGCACAGCGTTCAAGGTCATCAACAACTACCTCAGTGCCATCACATCGCTCGCCGCGTCTGAAGCGCTGAACATCGGCTCGAAGATGGGGTTGGACGTCGCACTACTTACGGATGTGATCAACGTTTCCGGTGGCCAATGCTGGGTCACGAGTAAGAGCAACCCAGTACCGGGTGTACAAGCCAACGTACCCAGTTCACGGGGTTACGAAGGCGGGTTTCGCATCGAGCTTTGCGCAAAAGTGTTGGGCATGGGGAGTCAGCTTGCCGAGATGGTTGGGGCGCGCACTATACTCGATAAGCCTACGTTGGAGGCTTTTGGTGAGGCGATGAAGGATGACAGGTATAAAGGGAAGGACGCGAGGGTGGTGTATAAATGGTTGAATGAGAGTGAGTGATGGTCATCATTCGTATATCTGGCTATCTAGACGCTTTCATTGCGGAAAACCACACGGAGCTACACCAGGTCCCCCAATGGCATTCAAGCAACTCAATGTAACACCCATGAAAAAGACATTGTTGCAGGAAGACGTATGTATGCCTATTCGAGAACAATACAATGCTTGCGGAGGTCGCTTCCAGCAAACTGTTGCATGAGTTCGCCGTCCATGACGCCCTGTATGTAGCATTCGCCTACAAGTTTGTGTCGGCCTTCCTTCGCTGGCGTGAGGAGGAAAGGAACAGTTGCTCCGAAGAAGATGCAACACATGTCATTGATTTCGACAAGGTCGCCCGCTGGCGCTAACCCAATGCGCCCATCTCTTGTCAGAAAAATGGTCGCATTTTCGGTAAATCTCAATTGGCTGTAATAGTGACCCAAGTCATAACTCTCACTGTCCGTGGGCTCTGCTGTCATGCGAGTACTTGTTCTGTATTCCTTTACAAGTCTTCTCTGCCGTTCATCGGAAACGGCGTCAGCGTGGTTCCAATCAGGGTAACCCCGGGACAGGGTACGGAGAACATCGCTTTGAGACACTGAAATACCCAACTCCACCGCATTCCTGGCCACGTCCTCTCCGATGGTGTCGATGAACAATGCATCTGTATCATAAATAGCTGAATATGGATATGTTGGAGTTATCCCCGTTTGGTCAAGCCGTATTGTATGTGACTTCCACAGGACTGTATCAAATATGCACCCCTTGACCGTCAAGTACTCTCTACCGGATTTTTTGGCTATGAAAGGTCGTTCTGATATACCAGCTCTATACCAGTAGCCTGGGTTCGCTATCTTTGTGCTGTAAATCTCTGCACCAAGCCATACTGGTACCCATGAAGGGAATTCAGTGCCCGTAACACTCTTTCTTGAGCCGTGGAGGACAGACGAAAGAGTCCATGGACCTTCCGCAGGGTTTTTCATGAGCGCGTAGGCAACACGAACAAGGAGATCGTGTAAAGAACACGTATAATCCGCCTCCACCAGCGTGCAGCCGTCAGCGTCTTTCGCCAACGAGCAACCCAAGAACGCGTAGATATGATCTCTGGCATCACTGGCCAACATGTGCCGGGCTCCATCAAGAATCATCGAGAACTTTCTTTCCTTGAAAAAACGGGCCAGGTGAACCAATCCAGTCCGTGACTGCTGCCATGAGTCTGGCCGATGAGTATTGTAATTCAGGTAGAGATTGATGTGATTTATGAGAAGCCGCTGAATCTCACCAACAGCATCACGGACAGTATCATAGAAGCTGTCGTTGCCCCTCAACCATGCGCATAGTTCCAACACGTCAGAAATGTCGATACTGAAGAAACTCCAAAACACGCGGCATACCTTCGATATGGCGGCTTCTTGGACAGTCCAAACTCGTAAGAACCAAGGATATTCAAGTAGCTTTTTGACTCCCTGCCATCTTTCGTCATATGGATCGATGGGATCCGGTTTTGTGGGGATAGGATCCGGCACCGAGGAGTTCCCCTGTATATCATACTTGAAGTGCCCCTCCTCGAAGGCAATACTGAGTTTGTGTAGGTATTGATATTTGAGGAAAGCGTTAGCTTCGTAGATCAAATCAAAGGTATCTTCGGCTTGGTCATCGTAATCACATCCAAGCCAGACAAGTGTGCATTTCGCGTTGGCATACACCGTGCCCATTCTCGTAACTTGGTGTCCCTTCTCTTTATCGTCTTTTTGGTTTATACAGAGGGCATCCGCCCATAGTAGCCGAGGCTCAGATGAGTGTCGAAAGGTCCGCAGAGCATCTGCGAGGCTGACGGTGATAGCTACCCGCAGTCCGTTACACTGTATGTCGACAATGTCGTTGGTGTCGCCCCAAACATATGATATGGCTTCATATGAGCCTTTGGAGTCTTCTATGCCAACAATTTGGAGGCTGCACTCAATGTCCTGATCGGTATCGCCGGGTTGTAGTCTCAACACGCGTATAAACTCGCCCGCTGGGATCGATTCGTAGATCGTGTCGTTCCGTCCTTCGTCGCATACTTTCGGTCGCTTGGTTTCGGGAGGCGGAGAAGGAGATTTGATCCTGCGTTTTGACATGCTTAGACAGATTGCTGAGAGGACTGGGTGAGCTTGTAGAATTGTGTTGTCTGTGGGGAGGGTAAGTTGGGAAGGAAGGCTGAGTGCTGTGCAAGAGCGCCGGTAAGGCAGCTACAAGCCACCCACCTGCTGATTGGCGAGCTGTCGTGCATGGATTTGGCCCCCAACACCCTCTGTAAGGTATCGCTGAAACCTTGGCGGGGTACTATCGGCACCAGAAAGCACTCGACTTACTTGATAGTACGTCAACGGGCATTTACTTACAGCGAACATATAGATATATTAGACCTCTAAAGACGACTTGTGCCCCAGTAGTATCTAATGCCAAACAAAAGAAATATCCCCATACCATGTATATGCCCCCTAACCCAGCCGCGAGACCAACCAGTCCCGCGACATCAGATGCCGCCAACCCAAGGAAAAGTGGTATGCTGTGGTATCATCCATATGCGAGCCCTCAAAACGCCATATAACACCCTTGCGGTCCATCAGGCACACTGCTGATGGACCGTGTAGACCCGTTGCTCACGGACAAGTCAAACTCCTCGTCCTCTTGCTATCGCCTAGTCCCAACACTTCTCCCCTGACATGCTTGGGTACCTGAGCTTTCGCCCAGCACTGCATAGCCACTCTGCGCATGAGCTCCACCTCCTCGTCGCGCAGTCGGAGTTGCCGCTTAGCCAGTTTGCTCTTCCTAAGCTTAACGCCCTTCTCCTGCACCGCTTGTCCAGATACCACAAACGGCACCGTAGGATGTGTGAGCCCACGCTTCGAGCCGGGGCGTTCGGTCGTAGGGGACGAAACGAGGGATTCGAGGTTCACGCACTCAGCGATGAGAGCTTGGATACCAGCGGAGAGTTGTGTTGCGCGAGAGAGGATGTAACCCCAAATGTCCGAACCCTCCCAGAACGGGTCGTTTATAACGGCGTGTTGGAGCGCGGGGAGGATGTGGGGGAGTGGAGGCAGTGTTCTGTCCTCGATGTGTTGGGGCGGTTCTTCTTTCGTCGGTGTCGCGATATTTGCTGTGCTAAGCAGACTTGCGGCTATGGTCAGGCGGATGTGGCTGTCGGTGCTGAGGGTCGCTGTTACGACGCAGGCTGGGCAGCCCCGGGTGCGGCACCAGTCTGATTCTTCGGTTATGAAGCACTGCAGACCGATGAATGCGCTGCGGGATTCGCCGGAGAAGGCGAGTTCAAGATCGGAAGCGCGTTGTGTGCATAGCGCGGCTGAGGCTAGTGTGGATGCGCGGGAGAAGAGGGTTACGACGGGCATGATGAGGGCGTGGAGGATATCCCGGTGGAGCATATAGGTTTGTTTCGCCTGGGGAGAACATTGCGTGTGTGTTGCGCAGAAACTGGCATACTTGTTAGTGATTGGGGTTTGCCGTAGAGCTGGGGGTGGATAGACATGTGGAGGTGGAGAGAAGCGATACGAAGCGCGATAAGCTGCTCGCGACGGGGGAAGAGGAACAGGAACATGAACATACTCGGCATCACCAGCCAGGTGCCTCCTCAGCGCGCAAAAGGCCTTTGACTCGCCCAGCGCCTCTACATCCTCATGTGGGATCACAAAAGGGCTCTCCATCGGTACAGCGTATCCGTAGTCCATCGTATCTCTCTGTCGGCGTGGCTATCTCGCTTCGCATCGGTATGCAGTCGGTCTATCTTCTCGAGTCGAAAGGCAGACGAGAACGAACAAGCTTCTTAGCACGACGAAGCTAAAAAGCAGATAAGAGGGGGGGAAACAAAGCAAGCAAGATGCCAGGGAAAGAGAAGGCTTCGAGGGTATTATCATTATTCCCTGCAACGGACGGCCGTTCCCTATTTCACCCCCCAAATGACGCGAACGAGCCTCCCTCATGCCCAGGAGCTCCACCCGCTGCTGCGCTGCCGGGGTGGAGACTGCTGTAGATCTAGACTTGCATATTGCGCACCCCCCTTTCCTTATCCGCCCACGCTTGTGCAGAGCCCGTATCTCACGACTGCTTTATGTAGCCAACTAGCTCGCGCCAGATGGCATCACCACCGGCCGGGAAGTACTGGCTTTCGGATTCGGGCAGAAAACGCGGCGTGGGCGGTTAGTCCCCTGTTGCGCATCAACAGCTTGCTTTTCTCCGCACTTCAGCGGCGTCAACAACGAAGAAGCGGTGGAGCATTTATTTTGCGACGTCGTTAATTTGAGGGAAGCGAACTGCCTCCTGTATCTCATACAGCAGGTGTACGCGCGCCTACGCACTTCCCTCCTGTACCCCTAAACCAATTTGCGAGCATGATCTTCAACAATGATGCAAGTGCAGCTACACCGACCCGACCGCACAGAGGCCGATCAACCCGAACATCGCGATCGAAACGAAAACGACGTCGTGGGTAGAGCGGTCGGTTGACAAGGACGACCCCGCTGAAACACGTTTCGATAAAGATAGTCGCTAGCCCAAGTGTTCGCTCGGGGTACTAGGTATCGCGACATTGTTAACTGCCGCACTATTGGAAACGCGTAGCGGCCGATATCACCACCTCAGCTGCGCCATCTCTCGACTTGCAGATGTCATGAACGCACCGCCTGTATCTCTATGCGAATGGTTCTTACACCTGCATTGCGAACTATTCGGCCCTGCGTCACTGGCGATATCGCTCGGTTTATGAAATATGGAGCCGAATTACGCGTATCGCTTGCTGGTACCGCGGCCGCGAACAGGGTCCGACCCGTCAACATCGCAACATGCTACAATGACAGGACAGAAACGCTTCCGTGGAACGAAAGATTGGTGGTGAAGTTTTTCATGACGCTACAATGATTGATTCAGATGCAGGCTGATACGGGCTGAGAGTGGGAATTGGCTGATGATGGCGTTTGCGCTACGGAGGACGGGCGCTCCCGTGATCGGCGCTACAGCACGATGCAGTCTCAACTTTCCTGCTTAAGATACACTATTATATTGCAAACTTTCAGTTTCGCGGTTGAGATGACGCTGCCCAGCCAGTACCGCGGGTTATATCGACGCCTCTTCCCCCTTTTTCGGTCTTCGTTCCTTCCCCCCCATGCTCATCCACCAGTACTCGAGTATAGCAGGAGACCCCTGGGACGTGCAGGTGCATCGACTTGTAATCCGTCGGTTTGTCTGCTAGTCAGGAACGACTGAAACGTGCAGTCGCGCTATCGATCAATTGTCTTGTAGCGCAAGCCGGAGTGACAGCCGTTCGAGAACAATGCCATATTTAGTAGCATGACAGATTCATCTTGTAAGAAGCGGCTCCAGCCAACGTAGACTTTGCGTCTATCGGGCTTGGCTACCAGTGGACTTCAGATAACGGACAAGCTATGCATTGGCTTCTTGTAGTTTGTTACACTTCAACATCGACAGCGGTAGCTTTGGTGAACTCTAAGATTTGTTTGAACAAACCCTGCCGTCGGAACCTCCTCTGGTCGATGATTGAAGATTACAACACCAGTGATGCCTTCCTCACCTAAACCAGAAGACTGAGTACGACCCATCGTTACTGAGGATGCGTCTTTGGGTGCCGTCTGCAGCCTGCTTCCTCCCAAAAGGATCTGTAAGCAGCATTGTAAGCTTCTCTGAGATTGGGCCCATCTCTTGCTTCGACACGGGTATGGGCGGGCTCAACAGGCTCGGATCAGGCTGAAGAATAGCGAAGATGCTGCTCTTTGATCGGCCGATCATTCGACGATGGACATCTTGCAAGTGGTCGTACAGAGGCCAGAGTGTCTCCAGGTATCGCGCCGCAACGGGTTCGCAGGGTTTACATGGCTCGAGCATGTCCATGCACGACTTGGCATACGTGAGATCAGCTTCGACGCCGTCAGTTTGGCCATCCATGAGTTTGGTCGTTGCACTGAAGAGCAGGCAGATGGCAGCTGAGAAGGACCAGTATATGCTACGTTCGTTAGTTCGTGAGATATGTCGGCCACGTATGTGAACTTACATGATCCAGCAACGTGTTGTCAGCGTACCGTCGAAAGAGATCAATCCCAGCATGCGAGCGATGTTCTGAGCTGCCATGGCACATTCTTGTCGATACATCTTGACGTCTTCGACTGAAATGTTGTTCAAAGCAGATAGTGTGCCATCGATCAGCTGGGCTTCAGCCGAAGCCACCAGCAGTTGGCGGTACAACAAAACCAGCGCACCGAGATACATGATCTAAGCCAGTCAGTAAGTTGATTCTACACTAAGATGAACGAGTTCCTTACGTGCAACATGAAGACCGCACGCCTTTGGAAGACTGTCAGATCTTGGCCGGCGCTAGACAAGAGCGTAGGGATCTGCAATGCTTGTGGGACTTCTTCACGCCACTTTTCCAACTTCAGCGTGAGCATGGTAATGTTCCCCTTGGTAGCCAGCTCTGGAGATGCCAGTGTCTTAGCAACCTCAGCGGCTATCAAGTTGATCTTGCTGGTCTGCATATGTATGAGCTCATCGATAGACAGCTGGTCTTGGTGGTTGGCAACGCAGGCGATCTGCCACATTAGTGTTGTGCACGTCAATGCAGGTTTGTAATGGCATACCTGGATGTCATTGGCTGTCACCTCAGTGGGATAGCCGAGTGTGTAGGCAAGCCAGGAATCCATGAACACAAGGCTACGGAATATCTTCCTCCAGTGGCTGTCTGTTGCTGATCGAGACGAAGTTTGCAAAGCCGGGCACTTCCAACGAGCGATCTGTAGTCCTGCAGCTGTGGCTTGTTAGTGTAATCACGTGATCAAATGTATTAGAAAACATACCGATAAGATACTTCGCGCTCATGTGCTTCTCGAGTAACGAGTAAAAGGACAAGGACAACAGGAGGCGCATTGTACGAAAGTAGTCTTGTCTAGCAGTCTGCTCGTTGAAATGAAGGGTTCCAGATGCATAGAGCAATCGGCGCATCCGATCTGGGAAGGCATCGATGTCGTAATGCGAGCCCATAGCAGCGACCGTGAAGCATTCGGCAAGCGTCATGTCGTCTATTTTCTTTTGAGGCCGGTAGATACTGTCAAGTATCTCATTGACCTCATCGTAAGTCCACATAAAGAGGAGCGACCCAGTTCCTCGCACAAATGCGTACATGGACCGCCGGACACGATCCTCGGGCGGCAAAAAGGCTTGACTAAACTGCTGGCCGCATCCGTTGAGTATCTCCCCTCTCAGAGTGACCAACTCACTGAAGGCCAGCGTTAGAGCGTTATGGCATGCTTCGGCTTCCGGTCCGGCTGATATGCTGGATGACTGGAGAGATACGGGGCTATCTGAAGAGCTCGGACTGGCACGTGAGTATTGCCTGGTGTTGTTCGAAGTATCTGTCGTTGAGCGACTGTTCGCAGGTCGTTGTTTGCCCGTGCTTGGGGTTGCTTGTTGCGTCTTGAATTCGTTCAGATAAGCCTGATACTTTCGCCAATTGTCCGTCTTCTTGTATTCGTCCATTTGGGCTTCAAACTCTTGCATGGCTCGAGCCGCATTGCTCTCCCATACACGCTTTCTTTCTGCAGGAAGCTCTTGCCATCTTCGACCGACTTCTCGCGCTATATCCACAAAGGACAGTTGGCTGACCTCAGGATCGGTACGAAGTTGGTCGGCGAAGTTTACATCTGCCAATGTGTTAGATCAAGTCCTGATACTATCTTGTACGAAGAGCGTACAGGCTGTCTTTGGCTTCTTCGGCGCGTTTGGGTCTGCCCGCGGATGCCGCCTGTACCTCCTCTTCTCTCGTGGTGGCAGAGATGTTGTCTGCCTGGTGAAGCTTTCCAGAGCAGAGGTCGATAATGACGTAGGCTCAGGCGAGTTATTATCTGGCTCCAGTGATAGCGATTGAGGGATACCGCGGTAGGTAGCAATCTCGCGCTGTAGTAATCTCCTGTGGCCAAGCTTAAACTCGAGCGCGGTTAAATCGTCTTCCGTGATGTCTACAACCGTCTCCCAGTTGTGGAACCCATTCTCAGCTAGAACTTGAGCGTACTGAGTCAGCCCGAGTCGCTCCAAGACTTCAGTGAGGTCTGGGACAGAAGAACTAGGAAAGGTAGTGATCGCCATGAGGGGTGACGTCTGTGGTGGAAGAAGATGGGAAATGGGACAAATGGCATATATGAGCGCTGCCACACGGCATGACAGATGCCGCGACTATGGCCTTACAGGCGGGCTGAAGCTGAGATGGACGTTATAGGGTAGCGCGCAGTCGTGGCCGGTGATCCAGACCGCGTAGATGAAAAGAAGGGTGTTCTGGGAGAGCCTCGAACCTCACAGCCCGGACCCACTTTTGACACACGCTAGTGGCAGCAGCCGGTTTGTGCCACAGGGCAAGAACTTCCATGGGAATTTAAGACGCCGCCACACGACGCGCCCATGGTGTTTGGGTTTTTCCATGAGCACGTATTGCTAAGATTGCGCAGTCTTGCTGCTGTTCGGTTCGTTTCGCTACTGCTCCTGCTACCGCGAGTTTCGGCCTTCTCCAATGCGGAACCGACATCGTCAGCTGCACCGCGCTGTGTCCAGACCTCAGAACACCACGCAAAGACAATTATGCGAATCATGTGGCCCAAAAACTCACTACCGCGTGCTGCCGCTCAATCCAGCTTTACGCGCTCCAGAAGTAACGTACGATCCTTGTACGCTATTTGCCGAGGGAGTGACTCCCGGGAAGCTTAAAGTTGACCGTCCCTCCACCACTCAAATACATGAAGCAGCTACGGCATTGCTTTCCACCTACCTGTTCCAGTCAGGAGTCATCATCTTCACTGTAGTGTCTCTTGGGTGTGTAACCAACGACCGGGGTTTACCGATCGAAAGCTGCTCGACAATCGTGTTCGTAAACCAAAGGCCCTGGGCCTAGACTGCTCGTGCATCTCCGATACAGCGGCGCGGCATCTCGCCAGCCTCTACCTTACCCACACGACTTCCCAGTTCGCGTGCATCTCTGCGCCACACCTCCGCGCGATGAGTCGGGAATGTCTCTTCGCTTGGATCGGTACCCTTTCCCCACACACTCTTGCTGATCATCTCCATTGTAGATTTGCGCAGCCTTGCCATTGGTGCTGGGAAAGCTGCTGATCTCCATATTGTGAAACGAGCAGCCTCGTGGCCATCGTGCCCAGCGCGTGCACTCGGAATCCGTTCATCGACTTGGAGCATTCAGCCATCAATCATGAGGCTCGTGCCTGGATCATGCATGACGATCCACGCTACACAAGCATCAGCTGTCAAATCGCATCAAAGGGTACAGCGACCGACACACGCACCACGTCATTGGCCAAGTAGCAGGCTCTCTTGAACTATCAAAATTAGTACAACTGCCCAATCCTTACACGAGCTACTGCAGACGGTGGGCTTGGAAACGCCCCTCGAATAACACTGTTTTGTACGATTCACTTTGAGGAAATGGGTGCCCGTTCTCGTAACTATGCACTACGCTACAGGTACTTCTGCATCAGCTCTTTCACGCGCCCCAAGTTCAGCCCTTCAATCTTGTTTCCGTTACCGTCCATTGTCTCTGCCATACAGAGCACATTGTATATTGCTTCTTCGACTGCGTCAGCGCTCGCCTCGAATAAGGCATTGATTGTCTGATCGTCGGTCATGGTCACGGATACCTCTCTCGCTTTGTACGGATCGACAGATGCTTGTCCCGCTGTGACAGTCTGCACGTTCAACTCGTTGGCGGTAGAGAACGCGAGGAAGACATCTCCGGAAGAGTTTGTGCCGTAGCCGCCTACGCGAGACAATCCGACAGTCGCACGTTTGGCAAGTCGTTGCAGTTGCTGCGGGTGGAGCGGCGCGTCCGTGGCCAGGACTATGATGATAGATCCATCTTTCTTGTCCTTCTCCTTCTTCACTTTGAACAGAAGGTTCGCTTGTGCCAGTAATTCCGGGTCGTCAGGATTCTCCTCAATCTTTCGCTTCTGCTCTTCATAGATGAGTCTCCCAATCGGCGCACCTCCGATCTTGAGATCCCACATCTTGCCGTAATTCGCTTGGACCAGAGCCGCGACTGTATAGCTCCTGCCATCTTCACCAGGCACCACACGAGAGCTAGATCCAGTGCCGCCCTTGAAGTAATGGCAGACCATACCCGTTCCGCCGCCCGTGTTGCCCTCTTTCACAGGTTCGCTGCTCGCTTTGTCTATGCCATCTACGACGTGCTTCGGCGTCACAGCAAACTTGGACACATCGTGCAGGAAGCCGTCGAACGTCTCCGCTACGACGGGCAATAAGAACCAATCGACTTTCCCATTCTTGTCGCAGTTCTCGCGGATCGCATACTCGTAGATGCCGTTGTACGCTGACCCAACGCCGAAGCTCCCCGTAATGATGATTGGGGAGAAAAGAAGGCCCATCTCCTCGATGAGATGCGCTCCAGTCATCTCTCCAGAGCCGTTGAAGCGGAACATGCCTGCGAAACAAGCTTTGTGAAACCAGTCCTTGCGCGGGATGATGGTTGTTACGCCAGTGTTGATGTCGTTCGGCGGGGCATCGGGATACGCAGGAGATGAATGGATAGACTCAGTGTGTACGAGCACACCGGGAACGTCTGTCAGACTGTTCTTTGGGCCAGGTTGATAGCGACCGAGATGCAGAGTTGGTAACAGCTCGCGGATGCGCTGACGCGGAACGGAAGAGGCTACCGAGGGGGAAGACATTGCAGGCGATTACGACAAAGATGCGATGATAGTTGTAGGGCTCCGGTCTAATTTGGAAGGGAAGTGTAGAGTTGCTATATTGCAGCCTGGATGCCTCAGATACTTATACCCATTCCTACAGGTTGATCTGTTTGCCTAGCGTATGCATTCAATACTAGGCAGCTTACTATCCTCGCGACCCTCCCACATACCAATGTAACGCCTTTCTGAAGGGCGTAATCTGCGCAAAACCTGGCGAGGGCGTTGTCGACCTGCCCAGTCCGCTCATAGACTTACCTTATCGCTCTCGCGCTCCCTCCAGGCATCAACATTACGTTTCTTTCGAGATCGCAAGCCCTCCAAACTCTCACGACGGCCGCTATGGTGATTGAAAAAAGCTACATGCGGAGGACATGAGCCTTCATGAGTCACTCTGAACGACAGCGATTGAATCCACCGTATGATGAACTCATTGGCACCGGAGAAGTTCTGGATGCATGCTGGCGACGGAATTCAGACAGTGCCACGAAAGAGTCATACCCGGCGACCCGCTCCTTCGCGCATGATTAGCGTAGTGGCTTGCGAATCAACCCCGCCTCCTCATTTTGCGACATATGCTTTCCAACGCCGCTGTATCACGACATTACAATGTCCAGCAGTCAAGGATGGGTGCAGCTGTGAAGGAACGACGGTTGTTGGACTCACGTGTGCGATAAATGGCCGCCGCGCCCGACAATATTTCCGAACAGTAGTTCACGACTCAGGTGCCAAGGCCCACCGAACCGGTTCCTGCATAGCGCATCTTCAACACTACAAGCTTGACCTTCTCCAGTCGATATGATCTCCGCATTGTGCCGTGTCGGAGTTATCTGACGTAGTCGGACCGCTTTCGAGCACCCCCACCCTTGCTGTAGAAAAGAATCCGCAAGAAAGAAAACTCGGAGATACTTTCTGGATGTTCTTGCATCTTCATCTTCACCACCGGACGGCAAGATGCTTACACAACTTCTTGCGGTAGGGCTTCTGAGCCTCGCGAAACCCGTTCGGGCAAGCTATGGGTTCTACGTCGGAAAGAACCTGACACAGGATGGCAGCGTGATGCTAGGTGGCACCGGAGAAGAAGTGTCTTCGCACTGGCTTCAGATTTTTCCAGCAAAGGACCACGCCCCGAATGCGACCATCACAGTTGGAGTTACTGAAGACGCATCGATACCTGGCAAGTTGATGAACATCTCACAAGTGCCGCACACATTTCGCTATCTTTCGATGGAATACTCCGACTTCGAAGGCTTCCCGCCTCCTCTGACGAACGGTGGTGTGAATGAGAAGGGTGTTGCTGTCAGAGACATCTGGGCGCAAAACCGAGATGATCTGATCGCCATGACGCCAAACCCTCAGACAGGGTTACAATACTCCGACCTGGCCCGTATTGTCATGGAACGAGCAAGCACCGCCCGCGAAGGTGTCGAGCTCATTGGCCAGATGATTGCAGAATACGGGTACGCCGACTACGGCGGCAACTCGCATCTCATTGCAGACGCGAATGAAGGCTGGGTCGTATGGCAGATGTCAGGAGGCAAGAAGCTCTGGGCTGCAGAACGTCTCGGCGAGAACGACGTACGCGTGCTTTATCCAGGTTACATTGAGGACTTCCCGGTCGATTTCGAAAACAGTACAGACTACATGGGTAGCCCGAACATCGTGAGCTTCGCCGTCGAACAAGGCTGGTGGAACCCGAACGGAACCGAGCCGTTCAACATCTTCAATGCGTATGCCTACCAAGCGGAGGGATACACCGCGCGAGACGGAGGTGCGAAGTACATGTCTCAAGCCGCTCTCGAAAACGCGACTCGTGCGATGGCTCCGGTAACCGAGAAAGACCTCATCGAACGCGTTCGCGACTACCGCATTTCAGACGACGAAGCCGGCTATGGCCAAGTTGTGTCTCTTCGCGCAGATATGGATCCGGATCTGATTCGCATCTGGGTCGCTCCGACGGGATCGGTAACCGCACCCTTCAATCCGTGGTGGCTGGGCGTAAAGAGCGTACCGCCTGAGTACGGTCTCCATCGCTATCTCTACAAAGACGCCGCATCCACTTTCTTAGACACGGACTACCAATACCAAGAAGCTACGCACTTCGCTGGACGCATTTTCAAGCAGGTGCTCTACTACACTTGCTCGGATCCGGAGACATACCTACCCATCGTCCAGAACATGCTTCACGGGTTCGAGAACGCTTCCTTCGCAGATATGGAGTGGGTGGAGCGCAGTGCTAAGACTTTGGTAGAGAATGGCATGCGAGAAGATGCGCTCGAACTCCTGACATTCTATTCGCATACTAGGGCTGAGAAGGCCTTGGCTCTAGGGAAGACTATGGTCGATGCGCTTGACTCGTATGTCAAGCTTATGGGACAGTTCCGCATGCCAACCGGCGACCGCATCAACGACCCTGGGCTTGGAGCGGAGACCGTGAATTGCTTGGTTGGCTGGGATCCTGACCAACCCGCCGATCAACAGAGACCATTGAGGAGGTTTAGGCGTCAAGTCTAATATGAGGCGGAGGGTACGACTCATCGTTATGTATATCTGTCATAATAATTGCTCTTGTACTTTATGCTACACTTCCACCTGCTCGTGGGCCGACACAAGCACGAGAAGCACCCGCGAAGCTCTGATCTGAAGCTGCTGCAAAGGACCACTTCTCCATATTCGCAATTTTCCTAAGCCCTTGTTGTGCACAGTCGCAAAAATGCATGTCCGAGGTTGCTTTATAATTTTTGCAAGGCTGCGCGAGAACAAGAAAGTGTCTCAAGAGGTGATTGTAATGAAAATTGAACTTCACCCATGGACGCGTCGAGATGAGATCATCAAATGATTCGGCTTACTAAGCCACTAGTGAGACGGCCCTTGCGGACAGCCGCTCCGGAGCTTCCATCACACGCTCTACAATGTGGCCATCTCGTCTTTCAACATGATACGGTCGAGTGAGTTCTGACAGACGCGTTCGGTGGTCAGATCAAGGTGATCAATGCTTTGTAACTCAGGGCGAACGCGCATCACTGCCCGCCGCCGCATCAGCAGTCAGACGCCCGCACACGGACCGCCAACCATCTACATCAGATGCCAAGACTTTCTTGTATCTTGTGCGGAGCCTGCTGTTCATCTTTCTCGATCCGAGCTCATAAACCGGCGCGTTGATCACATATGTAGCTCCATTGTTGGTGGACGGGGATCCGGCGTCGACCGCCTGTGCACCCACAGACCAGGTTATCAGGTCAAATACGATGTCTGCATGCACGCCCATTATGCGAGACCAATTTTACCCGGTCATCCTACCATCGCGTCTAGGCCCAACACCTATAATCTTACCCAGTCCAGTATCTGTCGGATGGTCGAGCAGAGGAATTAGGTATATGACAAGCTCTACATGCCCATGGCTACCGATCACTTCAGGGGTCTTCTCCCTACGGAGCGTGAGGATAGCATGGCCCACGTGGAAGTACAACTTCAAAGATTGGAAATGAGATTCTAGCTTCACCTACTGCAGGCGCGATGCAGTAAGCGGCAGCCGAAGCACACAATAGGCTCGGCCCGCCATTTGTGTGTGGCCCGAAAGCTAGTCCCTGGAAGGCTTGTTGACACATCTGGCATGCGAAATTGCCAGTAAGGCTTGCAGAACTTCTCGCCCTTACAGAAATTCTTACCAGATGACCCTGCCTTGCAGAGTTGGGATGAGGTCCAGGCGATTGAAGACGAACACTAGGGGTATGACTAGCACAGACTCAGCAGTGTTCGTCGTTATAACTAACCAGATTCATATGTCAGCCTGCACGCAATCGTACCTACAGGGAGCTTGCATACCATTATGCCTATCTTGAAGGCGTGGGAACCAACTGATATAGCTGCAGGGTTCGAAGATATTTCGATGATGCTCGACCGCCTATGATCAGCTCGATGACCGATCTTCTTCGTATACGTTGAAGACTGCAAGATGAGTTTAGTCCCGGGTTGCCGACTCGTCAGCCAATACGTTCGGTTTGTTCGACACCCGCGTCTTTGCGTAGCCCTTCATTGGGTAGTCTGTAGCGTACGTAAGTGTTAGAGATTTCGTTGAGTCGGAGTACCTACCACTAAGATGCATGGGAAATGCGCACTGTGGCCCTATCATCGCAGAACAAACACGCCACCGCTGAGAAGAGCATAACACTTTGTTATGTCGCGCTAAACTGGTCTTAACGCTGTGCTACCATGGCCTCGACTGTCCTGGAAAGACTGTTCAGAGTCCTGGCTTATTCGGGTATAGAGAAGCAGGGAAACGCCTCCCATTTCCCTGCATCTTCGGAATTAGCTCCATACCGGCAACGGTCTTCACCTATGTAAACTACCACGCAGATTGCTACCAAACTGCCCCGGAGCGATACCGAATACCTTCAGCGATCGCCTATGACCCCGGAGCTCCTTCCGCGGATATCACATATCGTTGCCAGCTATACTATCTTACCGCTCGTTGGTGCGTCACGGTCCACACTCCGCAAGAGCCACATCTGCTAGTACAAGCCACAGGCAACTCAGTCAGCTATTCGGCATCGCTATTGGCGTTTGATAATCGCATTGGCGCTACGCTGACGCTCTTGGCCATGCGTGGGGTAGACCGTACACTGCTGTACATCCGAGCTCTCGTCACCAACAACGACAACACAGCAAAGAATGAGGCTATGCCTCCCGATGATCCGAAGAGCTGCAGATGCCTCAAGACTGCAGCCTCGCTTGATGATCATCCTTCTGAGTTGTGTGCGATCACAAGTATAAGAATGCCCTTTCCTTCTGCTCATTACTACAACCATCTCCAGCCAACAATCACAAATCCTTTCTTCAACTCTTACACTCTTCAATCTTTCAACCTTCCAAGATGTACGCTCTCGCCATCATTGTTGCCGCCCTTGGCCTGGCCACCGCCTCCCCTGCCTCCGACTTCTCGCCTCGCCAGGTCGCTGCTGTTGCCTCCGTCGACCGTTATGCTGGTGGTGGCTGCACTGGAACTATTTGCAACAAGGCTGGCTCGGGCGATCTCCACGCCGGATGCAATGCCATCACCGACGCTTGCCAAGCGAGCTTGAAGCTCAACTACGCCAACGTTGGTTGCAAAGGTACCTATCTTCATTCAGACCCATAGATCGGGCTGTGAAAAGATGAATGGAGCTAACAAGAAGTAGTGGCTATCTGGACAGATGCCACATGCACCAGTGTGAATCAGTTCGCCAATGTCACCAGGCCTGGAGACTGCTACGCTCTTGGCCCGGCTATCAAGGGCATCTCCGTCACTTGCTAGAGTACTTCAACTAAGAGACAACGCTGTGCGAGATCGGGCCTTGTTGGTGGGTCTCGAGGAAAAAACGGCTGAGAGCTTTGTACTTGGAGCTAGAGTAGATTTTGCCGCAAGGCACGGAGAGGCTGCGCGGCTGCTATCCAACATTACGGTCCGACGCAGCGGTTTGTAGCAATTCACCACATCACCTCCAATTCTGTCTCATTGCCCCACTTCTTGCGACCGGCTTGAAATAGCTCTTTTGTTTATGTGAACGTGCAGGATAAAGGGCTTCAATATCTTCGCCTTGAGACAACACACTGCTGGGAAATTATATCATGAGTCGCCCAGCGAAAAACAAGGTAAAGCATCAGGTTAATATTATGATGTGAATGATGATACCTATGTGTATTGTTATGACCTATCGGTGTTCCAGATATCTATGCAGCTTGCAGATCTCCACTTAGGCGCCATTCCAGTCTGATGTATCCTTGTATGTTGTGTATTTCAGCTTTATGCATCATAGTGCCTTGAGATATCCCTTTCCTTTTTTTCTTTTTCGTGGTTATACCAAGCATGATTAGTTCCTGTTCTGAAAGATATTGTAGTTTTTGATCATCTCGTCGGTCGGTGTCTGCGTATTTGGCGTCGTTGACTATGATGTAGCTCTCTGTCAGCGAAAAAAAAAGCAAGTTTCTACTTGGCTCAAGACACCTACTCCTATGTCCAATGAACTTGCGTCGCTTAAGACGAAGATCGGATGTCGGGGCATGGAGTTTGGCGTTGGTGGCTTTGTCGATGGCGGTAATAATGAGGCTGTACATGACACAGGCCATCGCGAGAACGAAAGCTGCAATAGTGCAGACAGTGAGCAGATCCATCGGCTGCAAAGTTGAGGTAGCGCCCCCGAATCGCACTTTCGATGACGTATGGAGAGGGAGATATTGGAGGCCGGACGTGTATCTCATGCTCAAGTGGAAGCAATGTACCGGAGAGGATCGTTTAGTAGCAGAATTGTAGCTTTGACAAAGCGTTACGGCCTTGTCGTATGCCCTATTTCGTCATGGCAAAGTGGGTCATATGAGAAAGTCGACCAGAGTGAAGAGACGTGCTTGCAAACTCTTGGCTTACTACCCGTAAATGCTCTAAAGCCTTGTAACTTTCCCCTTTCGTATACAGACGTCAGTTGTTCCAAAATAAAGATCCTTTGATTTGTAGCTCTCTGCTATAGACCGGTAATCAGGTATCCTGAAAGTACATAAATCCCCGACCCTCGAAACACCATCTTAAGTCCGAGGCTTCACTCATCCCAGGTCCTGCTAATGCAGCTTTACAGCAACAACCCTCCCACCAGCCTTCGCTTTTCCATCCGTTCCAAAGCCACCCATAGTGGTCACATAAAGAGTACTGTTGTCTTTCTCCGTTCTTCCGAATGCCGACGACGTAGAGCCCGCCACCAATCCACCCTCAGCGATGGTCGTAACTTTGCCATTTAGTTCGATATGTTGAATCTTGTCGCCTGTGGGTGCTGCCAATGGCGCAGAGACGTACATACTGCCATCCTTCGCAACTGCAAAATCATCGGGACCGCTGAGAGTTGAGTCGCGCGCAGTTTCGAAAAAGCCGTTGGGTCTGCCAGTAGACGGGTGGACACGAACGCGGCCAGCCAGAGCCTGGGCGGAGTTTGTGTAGTATACGTAGTCGTTGTGGGATTTAATCCCATTGACGCCGAGTTGCAGTCCAGGTGCAGAGAGATTGGCTGCCAAGCTAAGGTCCTCCAGAACGACTTCTGTTTTTCTAGTCTCGACGTTGTACGCAGCAATATTCCCATACATCGAATCTGCCAACAGCAATGTGTCGTGATTCAGCGTGGCCATACCGTTAGGCATAGCCATGTCACGTAGTTCAGACATCTCGCTGATCTTGATTCCCTCCTCCTTGTCAGTCAGATCAAGTTTCCACAAGGAAAAGCTCTGTGGGTTCGTCGCGTTCCCGGGAACGAGCTTCGCGACGATTACAGCGAAAACATTCTTCTGGAACTCGGTGATGCCTAGGGCGCCAGTTGCATTCGGGAAGGTGGCGATAACGGATGATCTTGCGGGTGAGACTTGTGGGTGGACGATATGCACTTGAGCAGCGTCAAGGGTTGACACGAGAAGGGAGCCATTACCCATCGCAGCGATGTTTTCGGCCCATGTGCCGTTGGGAAACTGATAGATCGTCGAGACATTCGTGGCAAACGTCGAGGCCACGAGGGCTGAGAAGACGGACACGAACTTCATCCTGGCGTTGTAGTATCGCATGGTCGGTAGTTGATTGAGGGGCTTATAGGAGAGAAGGGGTGTTATTGTTGGGGATGGCAGGACCCCTTACTTGTGTACATCTTGTCCTACGAAAAAGAAGCTCGCTTTCCTTTTCGTACGGGTCGATCGTGCATTGTTTGTTGGGCCTTGGCTACGCTCGAGTGTTCTCTTTTTGCTTTTGTCGTCGACTCATCAATCCTGCTAAGCACTCAGGTCTTATAGTCTCGATACTTGCCATCATAGCAGACCCCATCCGCTAAGTAATCAAAGTTCCGCGATGAAAACAAGGGGACAACAAACTCCCAGTCTCAATCATGCGTTCGATGCTTCAGCGCTGCTGGACTCGGATAGAACCTTTGATGATCTATTCTCTCGAAAATGCAAGACCTGAGGTAGTAGCTGCATGCAACGTTGAAGCACATACTCGCTGGGTGCCATGTCCAAGGATATCCCGCTAGATTGACTCATATCTGAAGCTAGCGCAGATAGATCGCATGATGAAACATGACAGGATACCGCTGACTCCTAGGCATATGATGGAGAGGGTCGTGTAGTGATGATTTTGCTGTGCGAGAAGGAGCAAAAGGCGGGCGAGCTGGCAGCCACGCGTTGGGTTCGCGTGCCCCATTCGCCATCCGTAGCTAGCGTCCCCATCATGTTCCTTCCGCCCCTGGAATCCGCGGGACCCATGGGCCCAACACGGCCACAACGTTACCGGCAGCGGAGCATCTATTCTCCCCAGAGAAACTCGAACACTCGAACCTGGCTGCAATTTTGGCGTCGAAGGGTCCTGACCTGGAAACGTCAAGACAGTCTACCTAGGCACTCTATGAAGCAGGCTCTGAGCACGTGATGAAGTCCAACATGCGCAGCGCAGTCTCGTCTCTTCAGAACAATACTTCACGAACGCTTCGCGCGGATGCGCAAACTCTGTTTAAAACATTTCGCCAAAAAAGTTGTTTCCTCATGTAGCACCAGATCGCATATGGAGGGTGTACGGAATGTTCATGAAGTCACCGGGATTTCCACACATATACGGGGCAGAATAAGCTCTTGTCACCTTTGTATTGTGCTAAGGAACTGTAGTGTTCAGATTCTAAAACAAGCAGCGATTGGAAAGCAGGCGCGATGGACGATTTGTGATCTACTCCATGAAAGGCTTCACCAACTCCAGAGACTTCTCCCACAACAACCTCTCCTTCTCCTCATCATAAGCATGGGGCGCATAACCGGGCTCATTCGAAGCAAAGTCAGGATTGACTACGCTGGAGATCTGGCACTCTTCAAGATATCTGCCACCTTGGTCCTCCAAAGCCTTTGCGGTAGCCGCCCAGACTGTAGTCGCAGCACCTTGCTGCGGGCTCTTGAGCGCCTTGCCGATATTGGGATTTTTGTCCCACGACTCCATCGTATCCTTATCGACGTGCGCCATGAGACCGGTGAAGATCAGTCCAGGATGGACAGACCATGCGTGTACACCTTGGGTTCCGTATCGGCGGTTCAGCTCGGTCGCAGTGTAGATGTTGGCTGTTTTGCTCTGGCCATAAGCGGACCAGGGGTGGTATTCGCCCTCGAGGTTGAGATTTTCCAAATGGATACCACCCATGCGATGCCCTGTGGAAGCGAGCATGACAACCCGTGATTTGAACTCTGGGGTGCTTGATTTGACCAAAGTGGGAAGAAGAAGTTGGACCAAGAGGAAGTGAGCCAGGTGGTTGGTGCCGAACTGCGTTTCAAAGCCATCTGCGGTGCGCCCTTCTGGGCATGCCATGATGCCTGCGTTACCAATGAGGATATTGAGACGATCGTGCTGGGCTAGAAACGAGTCGGCGCATTTGCGCACGCTCGCTAAAGAGTTGAGGTCGAGCTCCAAGAGGTGAACACGATCGCTCTCTACCAGGCTTCCTAGTGCGGACTTGGCTTTGTTGAGATCTCGAGCGGTAAGGAAGAGCGTCGCACCGGTTTCGAACAAGGATCTAGCAGTCTCAATCCCAAGACCAGAAGAGCAGCCGGTAATGAGGACCGTCTTGTCCGACCATTTCCCTTGGAGGTTTTCATCTGTGATGATCTGAGAGGCCGTAGGGCGTTGATCACCAGGGCCGTTTGGCGATTGATGGGCGGATACGTAGCGGGTAGTCATGCTGGTGGTTGAGATTGGAAAGATGGGTAGTAATCTGAGTGTAGGAACTGTAGTGTTTGATGAGAGATACAAGAGATGAGAAGTGCTGTCCTTTTATATCCTCTAGCTGTTGTCGATTAATGTGCTTTCTTGTCCACACCTCGAAAGTCCTTGATCGAAAACCCGTTGTTCAACTAGCTAAACTCCGGTATCCGTAATCAGCTCGGGGATGGTGTCTACGGACCATCCTTCCTGCACGGCTGGGAGGAAGGATTGCCTTGCTAGTATCACCGCTCTTCCGCATGCACTGAAATTTTGTCTCCACCTTAGTCTTACTGAGGAAGCAATATTTGTAAAATCCCCCGGACATACCACATAACGCCAGCTGTAGCATGTAGATGTGCGGAGTAGGAAGCAAGCGGTCGGCCCTACTTCTCATTGGCGACGCATATTAGAGGCTTGGCGAATGAATACGCCAGGATGGATTACTCATCTATATCTTTCAAATGTCAACTACTTGTCACAGAATCCCCATGCGCGCATGTTTGGGTCTAGCGCACCTTGCGACGGGCTGTTCGACAGTCTGATATTGTACCACATCCTTACAATCATCAGCAACAGCATCTCTCTGAATCGTCAGGAGCCTCCACATACAACCACGGTACTGCGGTGACACACTACAGCACTCCAGCGAACAACCTCAAAGCTATCACAATTATACTGTATACCAAAGTACAATCTCAATGACCCAGTCCGACCTAGGACCAGACCGCAGTCTGAGTTAAAGGCGCACTCTATCCTTTCTTTACAATCATCAGCGCTTGAACTCAGTTTGCCAACGATTGCGATTCGCATTGAGAGTGGTAGCTGCATCAGGACGAGCGCTCAATAGTCTCGTTGGCATCGAGATGTGAACGTATCGATGCATTTGGTGTTTGCGGCAAAGGAAATAACATCATGACGTCACATCCAGCCTCCCTACGTAGGTACCTGCCTCACCACAACATTCTTCCTCCTAGACCAGGAACATCCATCCAATCTTAAAATCACCCCAACATGTCGACCCAACTCAAACTCCTCGCCAACTACGGCGTAACCGGCTTCCTCCTCAGTACCGGTCTCTTCGCCCTGCTAGCCCCCACCACCTTCGCCGCCGGCTTTGGCATGCCCATCGAAGCCGACACATTCGCATCTGGTTTCGTCCAATGTATGGGCGGTCGCAATTTAACTTTTGGTATCATCGCGGGCATCTTCTTGCAACGAGAAGATGTAAAGGCCGTGGCATTGATGGCGACGATGTTGGCGGTGGATGGATTCGTGGATGGGCTGGTGACGATGAAGTATGCCGGACTGGGGTTTGCCTTGCCGCATTTTGGGGCAGCGGCGATTATTCCATTCGTGAGTCGATGGATGGCGAGTTAGGTGAGCGAGTGGAGATCAGAATTGGGAACGTTAATGGGCTAATTACTAGATAGGGATCATCATTGTACAGTAGCAAGAATCTGAAATCTGTATTCGGTGTAGTTTGTTCCGTGGAAGAGAAACCTCGTGCTCCTGACGCTCTCATGTTCTCTTCCTCAGCGGTATAGTCTCATCCATTGTGCCAAATCCAAACTGTTTGCCTCCTTTCCCTAGCACGTCTGCATTTACCAATTTACCGTAACGAATCTTCAAGCTCTTCAACTCATCGGATATATCGTCTACCGCAGCTAGCTTCTCCTCTAGTATGACTCGGCTCATCTGCGTATCGCCCACGGTCGCCATCATGATTTGGAGAAAACCGCCATCAGCTGCAGGCGCGCGGTTGCGCCAGAGCGACCAAATTGCGATGGCCATGAAGACAGTCGCTGCTGCTAGACATATACTGTATGGAAGAATGAGGTTAAGCGGATTACTGAGTTTATACGTACTGCGGTATCTGGTACTCGTCACTGGCACCATGTCCCACCACGTGCCCAGTGAGATGGCAGAAATGGTTATGTTCACCAAAACCTCATTGAGCATGGCCTCGGTAATATTAAGCAATTTTCTTGGGTCGTACATTTCGTCGCGCGGGTGGCGGTCAAATCGAGTTGTGTGGAAGACGGTGCCCTTGAGTAAAGCTTCAAACCAATTAGTCTTCGCATTACTGTACAATTCGTGGAGAAGACTTACAGTTTGGTGTGTCGTAGTCATAGCCACCGAACCACGTTCCACAATCATATACTAGTGTAGGACTTGATGGATTCTCTCTCTGCTGGCAATCTGTACCGCTATTGGATTGCTGCCCCAAAACGGACTCAAGAGGCGGATGCCCGGGTAACGGTGACAAACGCGATGGCACTGGCTCCAGTTGAAACGATGTGCCCTCGATGAGCGCCCCCATTGCATCTAGGATGGCCCACTCATTGGAGACAGGTATGATCGTTGATAGCTCCCGGTACCAATCCTGAAATGCTTGCGTTTTCGGTGGAAGCTCAAGTTCCAAACGTGATTCTGCCCCCAAAGCGTCAGCTTTTCTCGACAGTGCTTTTGAACCGCTGAAGGAATAATCGACTGTCTGAATGCCGCGCGGAAACATAACACTGATGTTGTAGAGCACAGACTCAGCTATGCAAATTTGTTCCTTGACTACACAATTTGCGGCCCACACTAGCGCCCCGATGCTAGGATCGCGTTGTACAGTGTAGTTGGCAATGTCGCATTGCTTTGACATGTACATCAGTCGTTCTTGATCCCATGCTGTTGTGAAAATAGGTGCCTGAAGGCGAGACGGCGATATGTAGTCAAGCGGGAGGGTGCTGTTATATTGTGCAGTAGTACATCTGAAACGTGGCCCTCTAAACTGTAATCGATAAGTGGAGTTTTCTCCTGGATAACCCGGGAGAGTGAACATCTGATTATTGAAAACGATTGCCTGTGCGATAAACATCAGTGCGGGCAAAGGTTGACTAAAAAGTCAGCTTCGACTGACTGGTCGTATGTTGGTCTTACCCATACGAGAAATATCGGTACGGAGGATTCTCGGGCTCTCCCACAGCAGAGCCCATCGCTCCTAAGCTCAGTGCATCGCCACTTAACGTAGGGAAGTTATCATCGCCAGCTAGATCCAAGTGCAGCGGAAGAGGTGGGTTCATTACCGACAGATTGCGGGACTCAGTGAATTCTTGAGCCTGGAAGACCACAATAAGTGCTCCTGGCGGGTAGATCGTTGCAAGCCCAATACACCAGATCAAAAGTGCCATGAGGAATAGTAATGGCGCTCTCCGAATCCCGTGTGGATTGAGCAACGCAAGGATGTTCGTGCGGATGACGAAGAGCATCTCGACTGTCGAAAGAGACATTGCCGTGCCGCGTAAGAGGTACCAAAGATGTTGTGCGAAACACATGCCCATACTAGCAGTCAGTGCAGCTTTGAAGATTGTGCTCAACAAGATAGAGACTGCCGAAACCTGTGTCTGCGTGAGGAAGCTAGTGTCGACTGGTCTCCCGCTGAGATGCTTCACGAGCATGAAGTGTCCTAGCGCTGCGAAGAGAGCTCGAAGGACGTCAGTGGGGTCATGTGTATACGACAGACGAGACTGACCTGTAAGAAAGAACCCAAGAACTGTGCCCACAGTCTTCCAGAATGTCGTCTGTCGGTGTTTGCTCTTTCGTAAAGAGTGCTGCGCATCGTCCGGCTTCTTGCAGACGCGTGCTGAGTTGAGGGGTCTGGTAGGACCTGTAACTCTATTTTGGTGATATGATTGTACTTCAGACGTGCTTACACGACCTGAAGGGCTCCCATCATATCTGGTGAACATGCGCAGATTCTGGACGGAGGGCGACTCGGCGGCAAAGCTTGCTGCGTCGTCGATGGCGCTATGCTGTGATTCAGGACTATCACACACTGCTGTTACGGCGACACTTACTTCCATGGTATCTGGCCTGCACCCACAAAGAGCGAATGAAACTGAAAGAACACAGAGTAGGAAGAATGTCCCTCGGCATGGTTATGGGTCTGCACAATGGGAGTACAATCGTGGCTTAGACATATCGACGGTATTGAGTATATGCTGACTGCATTGATCCGCGAAGCAGGTACCCAATGCCATAGCGATTATCCATCTTGTTGCTTGTTCGTTATCGTCGGATATATATTACACTACGGTAGCAGGTAGAGTTGTATGGAGGAAGAAGGGGGCATTGGCCCCACGCGAGATGTTCCTCGAGGCTTGAGTGACGCTAATGTATGTAAGCTGACATCTATGGATCATGATTGGGTAGCTTACCTAGGTACGCAAGGCTGATTTCGCGTCCGAACACCAATGGTCATCGCCATACTGCAATGCTGAATGTTTGAAGTAATTATTGAGATTTTTCAATACTTACAATGGTGTTAGCAGGCTTGCACGGCTTGCAGCGCCAATGGAAATCGGGATGCCCGGGTATCACCGCTGTCCTACGTGTGGAGAGTTTTTGGGAAAGAGGATACGGTGAAGGCGATTGAAAAACATTTGAAGGACGAGGATGAGTCTGTAGACCGTGAGAGCATCTCCAGATCGAAGCGCATGGACGATGTATTCGCACTAAGAAGGATTAGTAGCTGTTGACGCAGTGTCGGCGGACCCACCTGGGCAGTCACGACACTGGTAAACATGTTCTCCAAGCGCTTCACCATATCGATGATATATCTGTAAAGGTGATTCAGGCCACCACATCGGATGCAGTGGAAAAAGGATTTCCTTTATGTCATTTAGACAGATCCGTGCAGGGCACACCCTTTCCATTACAACACTTGTTTTTTCACAGTCATGGGGCTGGAGGAGCCAACGGGCATGTTCCCTATGGTATTTCTTGACATAGATAGATATGTGCAGAGTACGCCATCAAGGAGCGCGATATCTTGATTCGTTAAACCCACCTCCCTCGCTAAAGATGCGGAAACGGAACTCATACCCAAAAAAAAAACAGTCTAAAACCATGCGATGCGTGCGCTTGAACTAAAAGCCAACAGCAAGCATCAATCCATACCCAACAGTAATAATAACGCAAAACGTCATGATACTGGCCGGCACACCTCTCGTCAAGAAATGTTTGACAGCGAGATACCTCTGTCCAGTACGTTGATCTTCCATCATAATCGCAGCTGTGTTTCGTTAGCACCCGACTCCCAAGTATGCGATCAACAAGGAAGGACTTACTCATATTAGGGAACCCGCTAGTCGGCAGTCCCATGGCGCCACTAGCCATCAACACCGCGCCCATAACAAGCAGATTAGGGTGCGGTTCGGGCATCTGCTGGCCCACCTGCTGAACAAGCGGGAGAACAATAAGCGCAGCGACGGTATGACTGATGAACGTAGCAACCACACCGATCAAAGCGCAGAAGACGACGAGAACACCGTACAAACTCATGCCCTCCACGCCCGCGGTGATGGACTCAGCGATCGTATGCAACAGTCCCGACGAATTGACCGCTTTACCGAGCGATAGGCCACCAGCGGCTAGGATGATGATAGTCCAGAGGAAGTTGTTGAAGTCCTCTTTAGTGAGGATACCAGTACCGAAGAAGAGGACGATCGGGATGATAGCTACAACGCCCATATCACCGAAAATGGATTCGAGCTGGTGGCTCACGCACCACAAAACGATGGTAACGAGCGTAACGACGCTGATGAACCATTGCACACCGGTGAACTTGTCTTTGAGCGGACGGATGGGGACGATGCTTGTGCCGCGGCCGGGTTGGAAGGTGATTAGGAGGAAGACCCAGATTAGCAAGATGGAGATAATACACACGGGGAGAGCGACGAAGAACCATACGCCCCAGGAAGGTTCCGGGTGCATGTTTTGCAGCGCGATTAGGTTCTGGGGCGAAGCGATGGGTGATGCGGCGCCGCCGATGTTGGAGGAGAGGGCGATGCCCATGAGAAGCGCTTTGGTCATGTCGGAATCGGCGGGCAGGTTGCGGAGGATGGGCTGTGACGTTAGCTTGGTTGTGATGTTTTGGAAGGTGTTGGCATACCTGGATGATAGAGAAGCACAGCACGGGCGCGGCAACGTTGCTGATCCACATACTGGCAAACATGGCGACGAACATGTTGACCACGAGGACGGTCCTTGGCTTCGTTCCGGCCTTGCTAAGGACAAAGGTAGCCATCATCTTGGCGATGTTGTACTTTGATAGCGCAGCCGCGATTGTGAAACCACCCAGTAGCAGCATGATGACTGGCGTCCACATGGCGGAGAAGACGTAGGATGCCGCTGCCTTGGATTCCAATCTTCGGTGGGGCTCCACATCGCTTCGTACAACATTCAGTGTTACTGCGAGGAAGGGTACCAAGAGTGATGTGACGAAGAGAGGTATGGCCTGTAATGATTAGTATAGAACTGAAAGTGACGCACATTCTGCATACCTCGGTGGCCCATAGTAAACTGACAAAGATCACCATGGCCAGACAGTTTTGCTGCTCGGGCGCTTCCATGATGGGCACCACGAGCAGCACAATAAAGACCGCTATGCAAGCAAGCAGAATCCAAAAGGTTCTGCTGACAAGCCATTGCGGGCACCTGTATCTACCAATCGGCGTATCCACCTCCTTCATGTCTGATTCGACCTCGTCTCCCTGCCGCCTGATCTTACCGCCCGTTGTGTCGCGACCGAGCAGTGTATGGCTGATACCGATATTGGCCGCTTGCGCCTTCCGTTCGATTCCAATCATCTCTCGCCATACTGTGTTTCTCTCCCATACGACGTGTTCTCGCAGATGGAGTCTCAGCTCTCGCTTCGCCTCCACAATATCACCCTTTGTGCCGATCTGCGCGTACGCTTGTTCCATGCGCTCGAGATTTCGCGTGAGCTCGTCCATGGTGCTTTGCTGGAAAGGATATGCCGGGTAAACGTATTTGTTCAGGTACGTCTTTTTCAGTTTGCGGTCCATGATCTTGTCGTACTTCTTCAGCACCTTTTCGAAGCCCGTCTTGTTCAGCTGGATGAAGGATCGCAGCTCGCACAGCAGCACGTAGACACTGACGGCTCGCTTCTTAAGCGATACGCCCTCGTCGTATAGCGCAGAAAACGCCATGTCGTTGTAGTCTTCGAATGCGACGCTCGTCTTCCGTCTTGAGGAGACATGCGAGGCTGCCATGTCTTCGTCGGTTGTCCGTCTCCGTCGCCGCTGACCGTCTGGGCTCTTCTTACGCAGCTGTGCGGTCTCGTCAACATCTTCATCCGAATCGTCCTCGTCCCCATCTGCCTCTGCGCCGTGATCTGTTGATCGCCCACTGGCACCACTCATGGCCCGCGGTCGGTTGAAGCCGATGGCCTTGAACACACTTCCGCTGCGCATCTTCTTCCCTGGCGGCGCATTCTCATTCTCCTCGTTGTATTCTTCCTGGTGGTACTCAAACAGCTCCTCGTCCTTGAGCAGGGCCTCCATCTCCTCGAAGATCTCATTCTCCTTGAGCTTGTAAAAAGACGTGACGCGTTCCAGTTCGGTGTCGAGGGTATTCGTGAAGACCTTGTCAGGATCGTCGGCGTCCCCGTTGAGGAGTGGTGAGGATTCGGCATCGGCGTGCGCTTGCTTCTGGTTGAGCTGCGTCTCAAGGCTGTATATTCTGTAGGTAGCGTCTGTCAGCCTTCGATCTTACTAAGAAATCTCTCCTCCTGCTGTAGGCGCGCCACGTACTGCTTCTTGAGGTTGCTGTAGGCAATATAGTGGTTGCTCCAGTCCGGCACTGCATTGAACTGCAGGCTGTGGGAGAACTTCATCTCGTCGGCCTCGCGAAGCTGCTCGAGCTTCTCCCGTCGCTTTTGTTCTCTCTTGGTCTCCCGCGGTGTCTCTTTTGGGGATGTGTGGAGTTGTTGGAGCTCAAAGGCTTGGGTGGGCGCAGCGTCACGGTAAGGGCTCAAGGCGTCCAGGGTGGAGGATTGCGGGTTGTGGAGGCAGAGAGTTAGGCAGTCTCCAGCGAGAAGACGCTACGACAGGCAGGCTAGAGGGCGTAGTCGCAGGCGGTCAGGTGGCTTGCAGCACGTGGAAATACGGCATAGACAGAATCGCCAACCTTGGATGTGTGGGATTGGCGCGGAACCTTTCTCGGCGCTGGCCTGAAGATGTGGATGCGCTTTCGTCACCGCACACAAGGGCCGCGACGGAACACATGGGCCGGCCATTGGCCGTCATCCGCTCTCCCGCACCCACACCTCCCACGCGTCAACACTCTCTCGGGACACGCGATGAGTAGCGTCTGCGTTGATCGTCACACGACTACATGAACCCCACGCTCTTTGGGAAGTAGGAGTAGCTTCCATCTCCTCTTCAGTGGGACCTTTGCATGTCTTCGCGATGGCCCGCTCCTGGCCGCGGCTAGTCATAGCCTGCATTGCATCCTTGCCGAAACCACTCGACCTGCATCATCGTTGCGCATAGCTCGCCCGCAATTCTCTGCACCAATCATGCTTCACAACGTGTGATGTAGTCGTAGATCATCTGTTGAGCCTCACTTTCACGAAGATCATGTAAAAACCGCGTACAGCGAACATTACTTGAACGGTTGTCCACTTTTGAGCTATATACAAACATCTGAATGCTTTCATGTGAATGATATCATCGTTTAGACTGTAGAATGTTAGCAATGTTCAGCCATCTTCAAGTACTGTCAAACTTACACCTCAGATCCCAGCCAATCTTGGGTCCCAGCTTGGGTAGCTCCTCCGCAACGCTCTGCACGTCCTTGTCACCACGTCCAGAGACACAGATGACGATGTCCTGGTCCTTGTTCATCGTCTTGGCCAGCTCAATGGCACCAAAAACGGCGTGCGAGGTCTCCAGCGCGGGGATGATACCCTCGAGCTGAGACATGAGACGGAAGCCGATGAACGCCTCAGCATCAGTGCAGGCGATGAACTTGGCACGGTCGCTGTCCTTCCAGCTGGAGAGTTCTGGGCCAACACCGGGGTAGTCGAGACCAGCAGAGACCGAGTGAGTCTCGCTGATCTGTCCGTGCTTGTTCTGGATAACGTAGGTACGTACACCGTGAAGCACACCCTTGGTACCAGCGGAGAGTGTCGCGCTGTGGCGGTCGGTGTCGACACCGTCACCACCGGCCTCGATACCGAGAAGCTTGACGGAGAGGTCCTTCGAGAAGGGGTAGAACATGCCTGCGGCATTGCTGCCACCACCAACGCAAGCAACTACAGCATCCGGAAGCTTGCCACGCTTGGCCTGCATCTGCTCCTTGGTCTCGTTTCCGATGATCGACTGGAAGGTGCGGACAATCGTAGGGAAGGGGTGAGGACCGATGGCAGATCCGATGATGTAGTGAGTTGTGTCGAGGTGAACGACCCAAGCGCGCATGGCCTCGTTGACTGCATCACGAAGAGTCTGCGCACCAGCCTCGACAGCAACGACCTGCGCGCCGAGCAACTTGATGCGGAAGACGTTCAGGGCTTGACGCCTGACATCCTCGGCACCCATGTAGATGGTGCACTTCATGTTGAACTTGGCGCAGACAGTGGCTGTCGCAACACCATGCTGACCAGCTCCGGTCTCAGCAATGATCTCAGTCTTTCCCAATCTCCTGGCAATGAGTACTTGCCCGAGAGCGTTGTTAATCTTGTGACTTCCGGTATGGTTCAAGTCCTCTCTCTTCAACCAAATGTTAGCCCCTCCAGCATGCTCGGTCAGGCGCTCGGCAAGATGCAGATGTCCTGGTCTGCCCATCCAGTCGTAATAGGAACGGTATTCTTCCCAGAACTTGGGGTCTTCGATGGCTGTGTTGAAACCTTCCTCAAGCTCAGAGAGACAATCCATGAGAGATTCAGGCACGTATTGACCGCCAAACTCGCCGAATCGTGGGGGGAACTTGTGCGTCTCGTCAAATCCGTTCTGCTCGTGTGTGCCGTTGGTTCCGTTTGTGCCGTCCGTCTCGTCGGTGTTGAGCATCTCCAGTTGATCCGCAAGGCCAGGGCCATCTGGTGTGTCGGCATCCGTGATGACCTTGTCGACGTGCACGCCGGTGGGCTCCTTGGCCTCGTTCAATGTCTCGACAATGCCGACCTCACGGGTTGTCTCACGGGTGCTCTTGCCGCAAATCTCGTCGCAGTACTTCTCAACTGCCTTTGCGCCCTCTCCTGCTGGAGCCTTGATCAATGTGTTGATGATCTGGGAACCAATCACAACGCCCTCAGCGATCTTGCCTACGCTCAGGTAGTGATCGCGTGTGCTGACACCGAAACCAACGGCCGCCGGGACGTTGCCAGAGTATTTGTGGACGCGCTCGAGAAGTTGAGGAAGGGCAGCGTTCATTGTTCCGCTGGCGCCGGTGACGCCCATTCGCGATACGACGTAAATGAAGGAGTCGGCGATTTTGCAGAGGACGCGCATGCGGTGCTCGGAGGTAGCGGGTGCGATGAGGGGAACGTAGGAGAGACTGCCAGGTTAGTATTCGTCCTAAGCTCATTTGGATGGAGTGCTTACCCGTAGCTGCGGCAGAAGTTCCTGAAGCGCAGAGCCTCCTCTGGTGGCAGGTCGACCATGATGAAACCATTGGCTCCGGCCTCCTTCGCATCCTGCAGCATCTTCTCCTCGCCGTAGCTGAGCAGAGGGTTGTAGTATCCCATAAGGAGAACTGGTGCCTTCAAACCCCGCTTCCTCGCGTCGCGGATCATCTGGAGAACATGGCCGATCGTGACGCCGTTCTTGAGGGCTTGCTATAGACACACGGTGTCAGGAAGGGTTTCCAAAGGATTGTGGCGAATGAGTCAACGTACAGTGTTGGCGGTCTGAATTGCTGGGCCGTCGGCAATGGGGTCGGTGAAGGGCATGCCGAGTTCAATAATGTCTGAGCGTGTCAATTGACTGTCGTCGTTTCGTCTGAGGCCGCAATGGCTCGTCTTACGTACCAGCACCTCCGGCCTCCATGGCCATCATGATGTCTGGCGTCTCCTCTGCCGTAGGGAAACCTGCGGTCACATAGGTGACGAGGGCGGACTGCAAACATGTCAGCCTGGTATGTCTCTTCCAGATCATGCCAGATCATACCCTGCCCTCCTTCTTGCATTGCGCAAACGTCTTCTTAATGCCGTCCATTTTGCTGAATACCGAGTCGAGAAGTTGATGTGTGTGACAAAAGCACAAAGCCAGGAACTGACTTCCTTATAGATGAAACAACTGTGAGTCACAGTATGGGCAGTCGTAAGGGTTCGCGGAGATATCGGGGTCTGGTATGAGTCTTGTGTTCGCAATTTATTGAGGGCCGAAGGCGGCGTAATGCCCCTCCTCTCCGGCATTAGCGGCTCAATTGGGCAAGGCGCGCGAACATCATTCCTTCTAGAAGCAAGTCTTACCAAACTCCACACTTTTTTCAACTCATACACGTCATTGCGAGACTCTTTCGTACATTAGACTACCGAACCTCGTTTGGAGTAGATGGAAACCTTGTACATTCGCTACGTGTGTAGATACAACATACGTCTCGATCTTTGACACCTGTCGCTTGAGTCATTACCGTTTCCAGAACCGCCTTCACAGATGACCAATAACAATTCCTTGGATCGCCTGGTCTTCTAGGCCTTCGGCTTTTCTTTCACCGTGTTGTCTTCATTGAAGTGTTCCTCACAAACCCCCTCGCTCATCCATTCCAGGCACTTTGCACAGACAGTGTGAGATACTTGTTCGTGTCTTCGCACCAGAATATGCCAGTGTCAACCGAATCACCACTTCTTTTCCAGGCTTCGAGCACACCCGCCGCCATCGCGCTGCCCGCGTATCATTGCCGGCGGACCACGCACGTGCGGGACTTCTCGTTGTGTTCGTCAATCCACTTGAAAAAATCGTCGAACTCTCGGTGTGTGTCCCTCCACGGACGTATAGCAGCAGGATGGATCCAGAGACAAAAGTCGCACAGCTCTTGACTGGACGTCTTTGCACAACATCCGTTTCTTATTCTATACAACGGCCGCTGCTCGTTCGCTCTGGTGGTCGTACATATTAAGATATATTTGATCACATTGGTCTTGCGACATCCTGATCGGCTTTGCATCAAGGGTCATCCTCAGGAAGTTCCGATACATGATGATCAGGTGTGTGTCTTTGCAGTAAGAACACAGCTCATCGCCGCCTTCCTCTGAATACTTTTGCACGCAGATCCCGAGCCGCGCGCCACCGACCACACATTGTGGCTTTGTGGTCGTCGATATCGTACGGTGAGTGCTCTCGTAATCGGCGTGAGAAGTCTTCTGTGTTCGAGAAACGGGGCTGCTGTCTCAGGCAGGGTCGTGCGGGGGTTAGATGGGTGATGTGTAGTGTGGCTTTCGTGAGCTGTGTACTCCGTCGGCTCTTGTACTTGCGACCCAGTCATCGATAACTTGATAGAAACGCTGATTGTGACTATAGTACAACGAACAGAGCTTCGAGGGGTTGAGAGGAGGCCAGCGCTGAACGCGTGCGTCGTCGGTATAAATCAACACCTAGAGCTGACTGTTGATATGGATCTCGATCCACCGAACGCATGCCACGTTTGCGTCGACCATGTGCGAGAAACGTGGTGAGGTACTCGACGAAGTGACTTCCTAAGATTGCGTCGTCGATAGTACTTCCACGATCAAACGCCATAGTTTCGGCGCAGTATACCCCACTCCGTATCAAAGTACCTCCCAAACCCCCGAATCTCGCACATGCGATTGAAACACCTTTGGCAAAGCTGATTCCTGAACCTCGTCCTGTCGCATCGTCCATCTCTCCTAGGATCCTTTTCCCAGCTTGGGTCTGCCTCGCCTTGCTGATTCCGAGGCCCAATCTTCCAGTTACTGTCGACGGGCCGTCTCAGTCTTGGGTCCTCGAAGACGCACGGAAACCCCACTCGGTCGCCGTCGAATTCTGAAAGCCATGGGCAGGCTTGTTCTCGTGCTTTGCGATAGCATCGTGCGCACAGCTGTCCGCGGTGGCGAACTGTGCCGCAGAGGCGAGAATCTTGCGGGTTGAAGTCGTTGCGCCATGCTGAGAAGCGGTACTCCGGGTCTTTGCAGGCGCACAGATATGTCCAACCTTTCCTGATGCGTTCGGAGCTGTCGCGCTCAAGCTGGTGCCGGTAGACATCGATGCGGTACCTCAGCAACGGCTTGTCTGGATGTGCTTCGGCCTGCTTGTACAGTGCGTCGAAGCTCATGTTCTTGCACCATGAACATATATCTGTTCCCTGTTCTTGTCCTCCTAGACGTGAGCCACAAGCGGTACCGAATGCACAGTGTGGCTTCGGCGGCGGTGCTAGCATGACAAGCAGGTCGTACAGTGGTACACCTTGTCTGTTAGCGAGGCCGATACTGCAGAGGAGCGACTTACCAGGTCAGTTTCTGGTATGGCTTCAACTTGTTATTGTGTTGTAGCCTTCCAAGTCATCGTCCGACTCCTCACTGCCCTCCTCCGAACCTGCCGACCTTGTCACCAGTGTGTCTGCTTCTTCATGGCATAGGCCCGTCGGCGTGAAGAACTGTGCGATTCTGATCTTCCGTAAACGCCTCCTCCAACACTTGGTACACGCAATACCTTTCTTGCGGACAGAAGGGCAGTCCAGGCGAGTGCCGCGGAGGTTCAGGTCATGTAGTCGCCACCTGCAGTGCTGAAAATCCGGATCCTCAAAGACGCAAAGATAACGACCACGAGCTTCGATGTTGCGTTTTAGAATATGCTTGCGCGCAGTTTCTTCGTTGATGAGTTGTAAGGCAACAGTGTTGGCGTCAGCCCAAACTCGCAGTTGTTGTGGATCGTGTCGTTGAAGACAGTCGGCACAAACCCGATTTGGGACGTAGATTTTCTTGCCGATGCCGAGACAATGAGATCTAGAGACGCACTCGACAATCGGTGGGGGTTTGAAAGTGGATTCAGAAGCTGAAGCCATAGACTGGTACCGAACGTCTAGTAGTCAGGGCTCCCACGCTCACTGGTTTGCGGTTAGCTCAACGTCCTTGCATGTCGGCTTCTGTGATAGGGCGCTCCCGGTATGTGCTCCTATGACGTTTAGATTGACATTCTTGCTGGTCGTTGAACATGACAGAAAGACATCGACTAGTTGATGCTTGCAGGTTCTGCGAGTTGCATTGACAAGTGATAGGATCGGTACTGGACGAAAGCGGATTGTCGCCATCTCCGGTGACATGAGTTGCGACCAATGCAATCGAGTGCATGCTTTACGACACGGACGCTACGGGCTCAGTCATGGAAGCTTCTTATGGCGTAGAATGTGTCCGATGTGTCGGTTCAACTGTTACTGGGCGGTGTGATGCGCTGATCATGCTCGCTAGGCTACCGGCATGGTAACATACCATGTGCCTGTGCCGATTGGGTACCACTCGTGTCCATCGTATCAACAGTGGTGGTGCTGCGCTAAAGTGCAGCCATGATCACCCTGAGGTATGAGACCCGACAAGCCGCACAGGCCAAAGCGGAAGCTAAGCCACCGGTTAGCCCGTAGATTTATGTAGCTGAGCCGGATCTTGTCTACCACTCGTCGGGAGACGATGGTACTCATCTCATTCGTCAACTGCGAAGAAATCGCAGCAGCGTTGAATAGACGTTACGTGTATTTAAGATCTCGAACGCTTGAAACCCGTCGTGATTCGATGATGCTTTGATAAAGTTTCGCTTCGAGCATTCCAAACATGAGGAGATCATCGTGCACGGCCATGAGGTCCTTGCTAATGACCCCAATGAAGCCCAAGACGCTGACTCGTTCCGGTTCATCCGCCTCTCGATGCAACATGCTTTGCATCGTGTTCGAGACGCAGTCACTTCAACACCTGCTTTAGTCTTTGCAAACACAGTGTCACCGCATACTTGCATTGAATCGACCCAGAGTGGAATTCTATCGGATATGCAATTGTGACGCAATCTGGATCGGTAATCTAGAAAACGACCTGTATCTTCCGCGATCCATTCATCTATGGAGAGTGATATTGGGCCGGAATGAGGTTTTCTGATATGATGCAATGGGTGAATGTGGTGTTTGGACGCCTTGGGCCTGAGGCGTGGGTGTCAGATGACATGTGGTCCTGCTCGTCTGGATATTGCTAAGGCGATGACGAATCTCTCTCAGACTGCACCCATAACCATAAGTAGCTGTTTGGTGCCAAACGAACACTAGACGTATAAGGCCTGCCTGCCCTTGCAATGGTGGTATGTGCGAAAAAATGTGTGCAACGCCGAGTTGAGCTTTCATATGCATAGACGGTCGTTCGACATGTCATCGGAATTGACCACAGCGTACGTCGGCGAATGCGCATTACGCGTGCAGTGGTCCCAGATCGAGTCATCTAGTGTAAATCTTTCGAGCGAAAGGGTGATGCATATCGATTCTTACAGCCGAGACAGGCCATATCTGCCGCACGACCAGCTTCATATGGAGTCAGTGGCTTGGTCACAGGTCGTTCGCTCTGGGCGACCCGGGGCACGGGTAGGACATGATAGGGATCGAGACCCTGGCGTGCTCATACGTTGATTCGTTGCTTAAGGCCGTGGTGACTTGATCAATAACGACCACTTTGCACCTCGCCAGAACCTGTCGTGTTACGTGTACCTGCGCGGTGTGGGAAGCAAGCACGCAGACAAACATGCTGCAACCTGCTGCACCCGCTCGGCATTCCGTTGTATCAAAGCTTAATGGCCACGGAGATCGCCGCCCATGAGCTCTGCTCAAACCGCATTGCTGCCAGATAACTGAAGGGTCGAACGTTCATCGAAGTATAATTATTGTGGACATACTACTCCGGAAATTGGGTCGTGCCGCGATTGATCATGCCAAAGCTCGAGTTCGGCATGATCTCGCAGGTTCCTCATGGTTGGGAGCTATGAGGCGCCGTGCTAGAGCTTTGTCGTCATATATCGACGAGGCTGGATCGCGCGCATACACAGGGTGTACAATCCGTCCATCTGGGATCTGTGTACGGGGCGAGCCCTGTTGGGGGAGCATTAGGCGTCGGCTACGACTCGGCGAGGCTGACCTCTCCAAGGTTGGCATTGACCCATCGCCTCAATCGAAGTGTGGCGGCTGGTGGCACCGTGCGAAAGTAAAATTGGCAGCTTGCTGGGGTAGCTGTCGAAGGGCTGTTCTGTCTTTCTTTGCGCTGAAAAAACGAACATCTGAAACCTCTTCTCACTAGCGTCCTTTAGCCTCGCGATCACCGACGCGTCTACGGCGGTGCACCGACCCTAGGACGCGTGCACATCATTGCACGCGTAGCCAGCTTGCCACACACACTCACACTCCAGCCGGAATTACACAATTGGCGACGTCACCTTGGCCACCGCAGGACATTGTCATTCGTCTCAGCAAGCGCGAGGCTGGATCATGTGGTCTAGCTTCCTTTCCCGAGCGCGTCCCACCCCTGAGAGAACAACAGCTGCAGTGCAGTGCACGGTCGACACACCGGAAGATGTAGCTGCATCGGTGGAAGACAGACATGTCGATATGTCGGAGTTGCAGCCGACTATTATTCTCGATGATAGCGGCGACGCGACTCTATTGGTCGGCACGGATTCAGCTGGTCTTCAGCCGGTCCAGGTATCTTCGACAGCCATGACCTTGGCGAGCCCGGTATGGAAAGCAATGTTCGAGCGACACCGGAAAGAAAACGGTGCCATTGAGGTGCCGCTCCGGGATGACGAAGTAGATGCATTATACATTGCACTTCGAATTGCTCATCTACGCTTCCATGAAATACCACGGAAAGACGGTCTTACAATCGATGCCCTACTCGAACTCGCTGTCGTGTGCGCCAGATACGACATTGTGAAGCTTGTTCGGCCGTTCCTGGATCTCTACGGATGGGCGCAATGCCACTATCCCGATACGGACTCCGGAGAACGATGCGATCCCGCCTGGTTCTATGTCGCTTGGACTTTCGGCTACAAGGACAGCTTTCAACGTCTTACCCGATTCACTGTGAAGAAGATTGGGCTAGATGACGACGGCAATGCTATCATGGATGATGGCCAAAAGCTTCCAAAGTATATGCCTCCAGGGCTTCTGGGTATGAAAATCTCAATCTCAATCGAAACAATCATGTTGATATGCTGACCAACCTACAAGAGCGCATGCTGCAAATACGGGAAGCTACACTATCGGCTATGCTGGATGTCTTCTATGACATCCTGGACGATATCATACACGTTTATGTCTGTCAAGTCGATGAATCATGGGAGCCCAAGTGTCGAGCCATGGTTCTGGGTTCCTTCATCTCTTTCCTCTTGGAAAATGATCTCTACCCAGCACGACGGAGAGCTTCCGAAACTCCCTTCAGCATCCAGAAGCTTTATGATCTCGCGCACTCTGCTCAGATTTTGACTTTTGAATCACATGACTATACAGGTATGGCAGCACATATCCGACGGTCTAGTTGGGATCCTGCAAACGTTACGGCGGAGACGTTCAAAAATAATGGCGGCCTGACGCTGCACAAGAAGTGTTTTGGGGCCTTTCATCTCCGATCGAAGCTGAAGACTATTTACTCCGACATAGGCTCAGCCGTGCTTCAATCTCACATTGAACATATGGATAAGCAGGCCCTGAAGTAACTTTACTAGCTCCGACGGCCCGATGGACGAGTGAACACGGGAAGCCATACTTCGGGTGATGAAACGCGACGGTTCCCGGGCGGAAAATACCGGAAAACTATGCTGCAGTATTATGAACCGGAGTCAATGTTTACCGGAGTATAGTTGAACAATGGCTGGTTGCTGCGAGGTCTTGTCGCTGCAGCACGATGACGAGGCTCGGCTCGCACTACCGCGCGCAACAACAACACCCCGCTCACCACGAGACTTGGTACTTGGCAACTACCTCTGCCACCTTCCTGATATAGTCAACCAAAGTTCAACGCTCCCACTTTGAATGTACTCCAAGCCGTCGCCAAGGCTGTATAGCACAATAATGCCTGATTGCAAAGCCGATAACACGGCTTGCGAGGATGAACAAAATCTTGGAAGCTATTGGCATCGACGGTGCCGTTGAGCGCATACATAAACCTTGATGGGCTACGGAGTTTTGAAGCTTCAAGATTGACAGCCTCGCCATGCTTCCTACCATTCGTTCCGCAGCCGTCGCGTTGCTGGTATCTGCCGCGCCTAGCTTGGCACAATTCCCAGCGGAGCCTGTTGGACTCAAGGTTTTAGAATCGCGCTTTGGAGATGGTGTGAAAATCACCTTCAAAGAGGTTTGTGCGATCTAACTATCGGCAACATTTCTTGTCTAATTTATACGTGTTAGAACTCGCTTTGCGAAACTACACCTGGTGTAAAGTCCTACTCCGGCCATGTTTATCTGCCACCCGGAACCGCAGACTTGGGCCAAGGACAAGATTACCCTATCAATACCGTGAGTGATAAGTCTAAAGCGTACATAGCACTAGCTCACCAATGCAAACTAGTTCTTTTGGTTCTTTGAAGCTCGTGAGGATCCGACAAATGCGCCGCTCACCATCTGGCTGAATGGAGGACCGGGTTCTTCTTCCATGTATGGTATTCTCGAAGAGAACGGACCATGTTATGCGAACCCCGATTCGAACTCTACACGGCCGGCGGAGTGGAGTTGGAACAGGGCTTCAAACATGCTCTACCTCGACCAGCCGGTACAAGTAGGCTTGTAAGCGCTACATATGCTCTCTTGTTCAAGGATTTGTTTGTTGACTTCTGCTCGCAGCTCCTATGATACTCTGCAAAATGTCACTCGGAACCTTGTCACTGGCGAGGTCACGCTTCTCAACGAGACCTCAACCGTGCCTGAGCAGAACACCACTTTGCTCACCGGAACCTTTCCAAGTCGCGAGCCAAACAACACCGCTTTTGGCAGTGTTAACGGAGCCGTAGCAGCCTGGGAGTTTGCACAAGCTTGGTTCCAAGAATTCCCCCACTACTTGCCGAACGACACTCGCATCAGCCTTGCAGCTCAGTCATATGGCGGACGCTACGGCCCCGCCATGATGTCTTTCTGGGAGGAGCAGAACCAGCGCATCGAGAATGGTACTCTTGGCGAGGAAGGCTACATCATGCATCTCGACACCTTGCTTCTCATCTCGGGATGCGTTGATCGTTACGTGCAGTATCCTTACTACCCTCAGCAAGCATTTCGCCAGAACGGATACGGTATCGAAGCCGTCAATGAGACGACATACAATGCCATGGTTGAAGCAGTGCCAGAATGTCTCGAGCGCATCCAAAACTGTCGCGATGCCGCTAGACAAGACGACCCCGAGAATCTGGGCATTGACGCCGGTGTAAACGAAATTTGCGAAGACGCAGAATCGTTCTGTCGCGCGGAAATTGTCAGCCCGTACAATCAGTATGCAGGCCGAGACTACTACGACATCTCGACCCCGTCACCACCTCCATTCCCACCGCCATTCCACGAAGGTTACCTGAACCGCGAATGGGTACAAGCCGAACTCGGCGTACCGCTCAACTGGACAGGCAACTCACCCCAAGCCTCCTCCGCATACCGCGACATTGGCGACTACCCGCGTGACAACTGGCTAGACGACCTTGGCTTCCTGCTCGACAACGGCATCAAAGTCTCGCTCGTGTACGGTGATCTAGACTTTGCCTGTCCCTGGGCTGGCGGTGACGCCGTGGCGAAAGCAATCAATTGGACTGGCTCAGCTGGCTACGCTTCTGCACAATACGCTGAGATCCAAACCAACGACTCCTACGTCGGTGGTCTCGTTCGTCAATACGGTAATTTGAGTTACATCCGCACGTACCAAGCCGGTCACGCGATCCCAGCGTACCAGCCCGAAACCGCCTTCAAGATCTTCACTCGCGCGCTGTTCAATCTCGATATCGCTACTGGTACCGAATCGACTGCTGGCATGGAAGAGAGCAGCACGTATATGAGCACTGGCCGCTCAGACCCTGATGTGCAGTTTGACGCTTTCACTAGCGAGAGGCTTACGTACTGCTACACTTGGGATCTCAGTTCTTGTACCGAAGAGTACGTCGATGCGGTTCTGGATGGATCGGCGGAGATTTGCCAGTACCTTGTTGTTGACGCGAATACTACTGCACTGTTCCCAGAGGTCATTGCAAAGTGCCGCGCGGAGAGTGGTGGTAACGGTACCATGCCTGGTGGGCATAGTAACAACACGCTGCCCGAATTTGAAGGTGCTGCTGCGAGCGTAAGAGGAAGTGCGTGGACTGTCTGGTCGGCACTCATTATGATGGTTGTCGTGAACTTCCTACTCTAGATAGATAAGGTGGACTGTAAATATGGGTGGGTGCTGGAACTGGTTAATCTTGTATTGATAATTTGACAATACAAGGAACCATCACAACCCCGCACAAAGAATACATACAACCTGATTTGGTATTTATTACCTACATCCCGACATCCCAACTATCCAGTCTAATCATCAAGGTTAACACCAAACTTCTTAGCCTGCTCTCTCTGCACCTTATCCCCCAAATGCGCTTCAACACCCTCAGCATCACCCTTACCCCCCTTCCCACTTCCACTTCCGCTCTTCTCATCCTGGCCACCCTTCTTCGCCCCACCACTCTTCCCATCCTTACTCCTATCCCCACTCTCCAAACTTGTCGCACCATGCAACTCCTCAACATCAGCATGTCCACCATTCTTCTTCACAACCTCATCGCCCGCCCCCTTACTCTTACCCACAGCATCCGCGACGCGCTGCGCCCGCGCATCCATCTCCTGTCCTTTGCTCGACGAGGTCGAGATGTTGACTTCGTCTTTGTCTAGCTTTGTAAACTTCTGGTCTAGCTGCGAGCGCTCGGGCGAGGTGGCGCCGTGGTGCGGTTCTGTGCGCTTCTTCGAGGATGTGTCTTTCTTGGGTGGGAGTGGGTCTTGGGCCGCGTCGTCTTCTTCGTCGTCGAGAGGGTCCTTTTTGGGCTCGTTGACGCCGAATTCTTCGGCGTTGTCTGCGATGGGGGCTGCGGCGCCGCCGGCACCCATTCCGGGGAGGGCTGGGGTGGGATTAGTATTCGACGTGGATGAGTTTGGGTTTGTAGGTCTTTCTTACCGTCTCCTGCTTCGACTTCGGGCATGGGTGCTACGTGCTTGGTGTGTTGGAGTGTTTTCTGTTGGTCACGTGTTAGTCACTGTTCAGTCCTCTGTCCATTGGAAGACGTACATCACCAGAAGCTCCATGAAGCAGCTCGTGACCCTCAATGGGGCCATTGTCGCTAGATCCGTCTCCGTTGCGAGGCATGATGTTCAATTCGTAAATTCGAAAGAAAGGTTAAGTGATTCAGTGGTTTAGAGTAGTGCAAAGCTGTGTAGCAAGTATGATCAATACTCCAGCTTCACACGACACCCTCATATACTAGCTACTAGGTACTTGGAAGTTGGCAACCCTAAGTTCTAGGTCTCCGGTTCAAAGACGTCATAGCTTTTGTTTATTGTTCGTTGCGTTGCACTAAGCGGCCACTAGGCGATGACGGAGAGCGTCCGGCATCGAAGTAGTGGACTTGGTTCCTTTTTTGTCCAGCAAGCCTCTCAGGCACCGCACCAGATCGAGTGTAGTCCGTATTCCCCCACATTTGGTGTCACCGTACCTGAGGCCTTTTCTGGCTTTGGCGCTCGAGCCCGGTAAGTCTTTCCACGAGTAACATTGGCGGTGTGCGTTGAGAGCGGCTGGAACATCGACTGCGGCATGGTGCGAGGACGTGGAACGTGTGAATTGAACATATTATCGTATCAGCTAAGGGTATAATAAAAATTATTGGTGTCGCGAAAATAACATCGTCGTCTTCCTTCGTTAGAACAGATGGAAACCCCTAATAAACAACCTTGTGGTCCCATAGAGGCGCCTGCCTCACACTGTTGTCGTCCCATTCGACCTTGCCCTTCTCATTCATGATTGCGCCCTCATCTGTGACCTCGACGCCATAGCTTCCCAGACTCTCAGTCAGCTCCGCAACCTCGTTCCTGCTAACGCCAGCGTGATCCCTCGCGAGCCAGATGACCTCTTCGCGTTGCGCCAAAGCGGGGTGTAGGTAGGCTTCGAGAACGTCTTGCTGGGTATAGGCTGGAACAGGATGGCGGAAGCGTGTGATCAGAGAAGAGGAGATCTCGCTGACGGAGAGTGTATGCGGAGAAAACATTTTCTTGAGCAGGGATCGCTGTGGCGGGGCGTTTGACGGAGGAGCCATGCCAGCGCCTTTCTCACCAGCGTACTGGCGGCTTTCCTCTCTGTAACCAGAGACCAGAGCTTGCTCAGATCGCCTGCTGTCCTCGCGAGAGCGTTTGACATTATTGTACCCAGGGTGCATGCCATTGCCTTCCGAATGTCTTTCAGCGTCGGTGTGCTGTTGGGGATGGTTCGAGTCATCGAGCAAGTCCATCTGCTTGATCTTGCGCTTCATCATGACGTGGAAGATGATCGTTGCTACGATCAGCACTATCTGGAGCACCGTAGGACCAGCAGATGTGACACTGTTGCCGATACCGATACCGAAAAGACCCAAAAGACAGAGCTCTCCAAGGTAGACCCCCACCATGAGCTGCTCGAGCGCGCGAGCATAGAAGCCACCCTTGGTGTCAACGTGAGTGTCGTGGACGTAGATCATGTTGTAACGGTAAGCCAGGTAGATGAAACCGATACCGAGTGTCGCGAAGCCCAAAACAAGTGGCGCGATACAAGCGTATGAGATCGCGATGACGCCCAAGTTAGTCCACTTAGGGTACTCCGCTCCCCAAGATGGCTCCGTGAATGACACGTAGCGCATGTACTTCTTTCTCGGGGTCTTTGCGAATTTGCTCAAGATGAGCACGCCCACCAACCCCATCAGGTTGAAGAGGTACCTTGCAGCGTTGGCAAGTCCGTACAGAATGAAGTACGAGATGTAGAAGTTGGAAGCCTTGGGGAGATTCTTGGACAGCAGGGAGATAGCCGAGGCCGGATCGCTGACGATTTGACTAGCCACAGCGGTGGCACTGGAAGTGAAGGTCGTGATCAGGAAGACTTGAATTACTTGGAATGCAAAGTACCAGGTTTGAGTCTGCTGCTCGACTTCGGACATCGTTACTGCTCCTGCAAGTTTTGCGACGACTGGGATTTGTTAGTACTAATTGGGAGTAGAAAGGCATGAGGGGATACCTACAGCGGCAGATAATAGGCACCAATGCCATCAGCACGGCAAGAAGGACGGTAGGCAAAAGTCCAGTAACTACACCAAGAATAGGCCCGGGAATCGAGTCAATCCATGCCAAGAACGGCACGTTCTCTGTGAGATAATTGACGTTGCTGATGATACCAACAATTGCCACGGGAATGGCCCAGAACAGGATCAGAAGCGCGATGAAGATATTTGCAAGGATATGACGAAGTTTTCTGTTTTTGGAGCCCATGCCGAGATTCTTCCAGATAACCTCGTCAGGTAAGACACCCATCTGGCGGGATTCGAAACTTGCTGGTCTGCGATGTTGGTGTTCGTTGAAAGCGGCTTCGGCGGCGGCCATGGTATCGAATTCGATGAAGACGGCACTTGCAAGCTTCTCCCTGCCAGCGAGATGGGACTGTTGAGCCGATTGGATCTTGGGTAGGAGCTCCTTGATCTGGTTGCGGTAGTAGCCAATGGAGTCGACCTTGTGTCCAATGAGAGGCTTCAGTTTATGCGTCGGTCGCAATGCCTTATCGTAGGTTGCGTTCTTCTCGCTACCCTTCTTCTGCTGCTGCTTGGTGACAGCTGCTATGAACTTGATCTCGCTAGCCTCCAGCTTGGGTACATTCTCCTCGAGTTCTTCAACGTCATCTTCTAGATCCTTGACGTCAGGTACCAACCAGATCTGGGCCACTTGTGGAAACGCGGTGTGTAAACTCTCGAGCGATAGATCTTTCTCCGGCACGTCGGTGAATAGGACTGTTCGTTGCGAGATGCGACTAGCATTCCAGGTGGACAACATGTAGGCTTTTCGGACCTTGACAAGGTATAACATCTCCCTTCCGATTAGGAACAAGACCCAACCGAAGAAGACCCAGGCCATGAGTGCATGGGCAAAGTAGCGAACGTCGTTTTCGACATTGGAAAAACTGATGATATCCAGGCCAGATTCACCACCTCCGCCAGTGGCATTGACAGGGAATAGCACTGGCCAAGTGATGATAGCACCGACAAAGGCCATGAGTGTAAGCACCTTGAGAAAGCGCATGTAGAGGTAGGCATCGAGGGAGTGGTGGTTGAGGACGTATTCATCACTAATATGCATGAACTTCTTGATCCAGCCGAATTTGCTCGAACCCGCTGATGGAGTCTTCTCACTGTGGTTTATGTCAGTCTCAATGGAAGATATAGAGGGAAATGTGTAATAGAACGTACTCTTCGAGAAGTGCATCGTGGAAGGTTCGTGGTGCGTACAAACGCCTCTGTTTTGCTCGCAATAGCAAGAAAGCACCCACGAGGACTCCAGAGACCACTATACATGGTACCAGCGTTGAATACAAAGCAGACACTGACGAAGAGCTGCTGCGATGGCTACCCGACCGCGAAGACGCGCTGGGTGAAGACATAATGTGCGACGTCGAGGATGTGAATGATGCCACGAAACGAGGGCGTCGTTTTCAGTGTGGATTTACCAGGTCGAGCTGCCTTTGATGTATCGGTTCCAGTGACACCCTTTCCACAACGGCGCTTGCATCATAGCACCCAGACTCTGGCGTTTCCCCATAAACATTCGGTGTCATAGTACATGGACGGCACATGCGTTCCGACTAGGCGCATGGTCTACCAAACAAGATGAACCAGGGGCAAGTCGAGCGAACCCGGAGGCCGGAACGCAGGATGGTTAGAGGCTGAAGGGCGGTCTAGCCTACCGGTTACGTCGATCCAAGACGATAGCGCGCATGCTGTAAAGCTTGGGAGGCGTGAACGTCGAAGGCGCACGCGGGGACGAGCGCCGGTGTCGTCATTTTCCCACCGCGAAACTCGAACAATCTCTGCAAAACAAGGTAATGCATTCAACAAGAGCTGCTGGGCATTGCTCCGTTACACCTAGTCTGCCGTTTTTGCCGTTTAACGGCAATTTCCGAGCAGTGATGGCAAGAACATCGTTTTTGACACCTGGTGAAATGGATCTTTGTCGAGTGAATGTGTACGGAGGCCTTACATCCAAAATCTGCCGAAACGGTTATGGCGCAGTGACTTAGCCACGGCTAAGCTTCAATGGGACGGAGATCAGGTTTGCTCCATGCGCCACGACGGGGTTGGTGGGTCACTAGCCACGCTTGAGGCTTGACTGGACGTGGGCTTGCATTGGCATCTAACTTGCTAACAGTGGGTTGTTCTGGTCTTATATCCTGCCGTGGTCAGAGATCCATGAATATTAATATTGCATAGGCTAAAGTACAGGATTCTGGTCATTCGGTGGAAACTCAGCTCATGAGCAGCCTCGTGATGGCACTAACATTAAGTGTCCTTAGATCACTGTAATGCTGTCCGGTGCCTAGAAACACCACTGGGATGCCTGTCGCGTGCACCATTGACACCAGCGTCCCCACCATATCGCCGACGGTATCGCATTTTGAAATAATGAATCCATCGAGGTTTCTCCCTGCACCAAAAGAAGCGTTGAAGTTGCGTGCCTGCGCCACAGAGTCTGTGCCGACAAGCGCTTCTCCTACCATGAGAATCTTGTCTGGGTTGGCTAGCTTGCCAAACTTCTCAAGAGAAGACATGAGACGTTGATCGTTGTGTCGGCGACCAGCGGTGTCGATGAGAACTACGTTGAAGCTGTTCTTTGAAGCGAAGGTAACGGCATCTGCTGCAATGTTTGCAGCGTCCTTGCCATAGCCCTTTTCGAACAAATCAACCTGACCTCCTTCTCTTTGCGATAGTTCCTTCAGTCTATCTACGTGTACGCGTAGTTGCTCGACAGCACCGGAACGGAAGGTATCCGCTGCTGCAATGAGCACGCGATGGTGGTTTTGCAATAGAAAGAAGGCGATCTTGGATAGGTTTGTCGACTTTCCTACGCCGTTTACACCGACAATGGAGATGACGTAGGGACGGGATGTAGTGGCGTTGGTGTGTTGAATTTCACGAAGGAGGTCTAGGGAGGACGTAGGGGTAAGCATCTTGGTCAGAGCCTTTTCCATGGAGGACTTTAGCGTCGTTTCGATTGCTATTGCGATAGTTAGTAGCTGAATATAGTGAGCGACAGGGGTGTCAACTGACTGGTAAAGCTGGGAGTCTTCATGCCCACGAGATCACGCTCGACGCTCTCACACAATCGCACTGCAGCTTCGAGAGCCACATTCTTGCGAAGAAGGTGTTGTTCCATTCCCTTGAGAGGCTTTGCCAAGTCCTCCTTGGTGAGTGTCTTGCCACCAACCACGTTCCTGAACAGGCCACCAATCGCACCCAAACTGGACCCAACCAGTCCGCCGGAGGCTGCGGGTGCTTCCTTGTCCTTTTTCGCGTTCTGTGCTGCGATTATCTCATCCATCTCTTCGTCGAGATCTTTTAGCACGAACTCGCCCTTCTTTGTCTTGTGGCCCCATGTCTCTGGTCGGATCTCCTCAAGCGCCTCGTTTCCAGAGGCGTCGCCCTGGATGTCTGATGTCGAATAGTCCAGAATAGAGTCGTCCTGCTCTTCTGCGCCAAATTCGCCCCACACTCTGCCCTTCTTTGCTGAGCCCTTGCCCTTCTTCTTCGCTGATGCTTCGTCGCCCGATGATACTGGCGCTGAGCTGAATGCTGAAGCCTTCTTCTTGTCTCTCCGTGACATCTTCCCTCCAAACGGTCTTGCCTTTCCAGTCAAAAGCTGACTTTGCGCCGGCGTAGTAGGTCTCGACGTATCTGGCGTGGGTACTGGTGTTGAATCGGCACTCGTATCGTACAAGGACTGCTGTGGTTTCTGTAGTGCCGCTGGTTTAGGCACGCTTTCGTCGGCGCTGTCGTTGTCGGTACTCGATTCGGGAGTGGTGAGCTTGATGCTTGGTGCGCCAGAGTCGCTTGCACCTTCCAAGTCATGCATCTGTCGGTCGAAGTAGGCGCCGAATTTGTCGCAGTTGACCACACTGCTGTGCTCCGTCTTCAGCTGCTCGCCATAGAGACCGACAAAGAGCGCGCGCACGTTGTCGAGGAGCTTGTCGACCCATGTCAGGTGTACTAGACTTTGATAGACGGCCTATGACAGAGTCAGCTATTGCGCGTGTCTGCGTCGCATTGCGCCGTGGTGCTATCTCGATCCATTGATGGAACGAGGACTGGGTTCATACCACAAAGATGAGGCCAAGATCCTTCGCCGCGGTCCACTTCAAAGTATATCCCTCCTTCTTGTATGTAGGTTTGGCGCCGGCATCTTCGGCGTGCGGTTGCACGCGCTCCTCGATGAAGACATCCCGTATTAAACTGTTGATGACGTTTGCGCCGACCGGGACATATGTGCGCGACCACAGGACTACGCCGGAAGTGGTCAATATCTCGAAGGTATCCAACATGGCGAGGGTGAAAGGCGGCGGGAATGTTGCGGAAGGGAGACGTGGTGGTGCGGCGGGCACATGTGGGATATGACGACGGGCCGTGCACGCTCTTGCCAGATGGTCGGAATTCGGAGGTGCCAACGACACCGCAGCTCAAGGCAGAAATTCAACCAACATTGACGGCGACGTGTCCAATTGCGCATCACAAAACTCCGGCTCCTTCGTCTTTTGCATTCTCTTAGACACGGCACTCGCTGCACCGACCAGCACCCCGACGCGCAAAGATGCAGCGCCCCAACTACGGCAACCCACCACCGGCGCATTCACCACCTTGTACGTAAAGACGCGCTCCATCATGCCTCCTGTAGATGCCGTGTATTAACTTCATCAAGTACACCACCCCGTTCCACAACACGTTTCCACAGTCCCTCAGCTACGGTCACCACCTCCCCCGCAACCCCCTTCACAACCTCAGAGCGGCTATGGCTATGGGTCACAAGCAGGGGGAATGCCGCCTCAACAGGGCGGGTATGGCGTGCACCCGTCGTTCGGCGGCTTCATCAACGATCCCACTGCTCAATTAGGGTTCCAGATGGGAAAGAGCGCCGTGGATGCAGGGCAGCACTACATGGAACAGAACGTATGTCCGCAAGGCACAGCGCAGGCATCCCGTCCATGAACAGAGTACTGATACCATTCCAGCTAGGACGCCTTGTCTCAGTATCTGCGCTGAAGCACTACTTCAACGTCACAAATTCCTACGTCCTCAACAAACTACGCATCATCCTCTTCCCATGGTGGCACCGTCCTTGGTCGCGCCAACGTCAACACACGGCCGATCCATCAGCCTCCGCCGCACTACTATACCAACCTCCCCGAGAAGATGTCAACTCACCAGACATGTACATACCCACCATGGCCTTGGTGACTTACATTCTGCTGTCAACCCTGTTCGCAGGTCTACGCGGCGCCTTTAACCCCGAACTCCTGGGCAAAACCGCTACCGTAGCCATCGCCGTCACTCTGCTCGAGATTCTCATCATCCGAACCGGTACCTTCCTCCTCGCCATCAGCAGCTCCTCGCAACTCCTCGACCTTGTCGCATACAGCGGCTACAAGTTTGTCCACGTTATCGTATCTCTGCTCATCACCAACTTGGCCAACTGGATCGGTTTTAGTAGCTCATGGGTCGGCTGGGTTATATTTCTTTATTGCTTCAGCGCGAACTCGTTCTTTTTGTTGAGGAGCCTGAAATACGTGCTGTTGCCCGACAACAAACCCCAAGACGCCTTTGGGGCTCCTGCACCCGTCGGATACCAGGATATCAAGACAGGTCAGAAGTCGAGGAGGACTCAGTTTTTGTTCGTTTATAGCTATGTGGTACAATTTGGATTCATGATCTGGTTAAGCAAGGTATGAACTGGGTACGACTAGTGGAGTAGTGCATCTATGCTGGGGGCGTAGACACCGGTTGGACTTGGGAAAACATGCGTAGCTACTCTGTTATTAATCACCATGTTAACGACTCGGACAAGCGAGACGTCTCCGCGAGGGAAACGGACGCGTTTGAAAAGTACGATGTATTATGTATCTATTAGCGTCCAGCATCTGCATACGCCTACTCGATGCCAAAGACCCTTGCGCATCCCACACTTCCGATCTTCATCTCGAATCTTGCACGATCAATGTATCCATCATCTGGTGGACACATTGCAAAGTGCAAGAGTGTATGTAAAGCTCTGAGAAATCGGAGAACTGCGCATACTGATTGACATCCATGAGCATCTATATCATATCGCATACAACAAACAGAGAACGCCCATCGCCACTGCGCTGTCCCCTAGACGTGGGCGCGTGAATATGAACACACCAATCCTCCAGTACGCCATACCATGCATACGCCCATACACCGCTTTTGAAGAACCCATTTCACACATTTACGCGAGAATCCCTGACACCACCTAACCCACAACAGGAACAATACGTCCCATAGCACGCATGTGTCCCATACTTTCTTCGTTCTCCCTCTGATAATCCAACACCACGTCACCAAACTGCTCAATCTGGTCCTGTGCCCGCGGCGCTCCGATCAACACGATACCCCTCGGTACCACTACGTCAGCGACCTGGAAGCAACCGAAAGTAACTACCTTTTTGATAGCGGGACACGACCGGAAAACGCCAGCTACAATCTCCGTGTCGACGACAGGACAAAAGGAGAGGTTGATCTCGCGAAGATGAGGATATTCCTTCTTGCCGTCAAAGATTTCTGTGAAGGTAGCATGGGAGATGTGGCGACAGGAGGAGATGTCTAGGAACTCGAGGCGCGAGCCGGAATGGGCCATGAGGGCGCGGAAACCATCGGATGCTAGACCGATGGGCTCGTCTTCGGGTCCGTCAGGGTTTGTGTTATCCAAATCGCGTGTTGAGTTGACGTCGATGTAGTGGAGCGGTGGGTTGGTCCAGTTGGTGAAGAGCTGAACGTAGCCGGCGTCGGTGCACTCATTGTTCTCTATGAAGCGGAACTTGCTGAGATAGTGACACTTGTTGTGAATGGCTTCGAGGACATCATCGGTGGGCTCTGTTGTGTTGTCCAGGAAATGCTCTAGGCACAGGGTGCGAAGATTGTCGCCGACAGAGTCGATTAGATGGACGAGCTTCTCACGCGTAATGGGGTCGTAGAAGCGGAGTGTAAGATGCTTCAGGTGCTTCAAGTGAGCAATAGCGTCGATGCTGTCCGGGCCGATCTTCTTGCAGCGTTCAATCTTGAGGCGTTCAAGGTTGGGGCAGAAGGTGGAGAGTGCCTCAACTACTTGGTCGTCGAACGCGGCGTCTAACCACTCGACTTTCAGCGACTTGAGATCTTGGCCCCGAGCAATGAAGAGTTCGATCCATTTGTCGTTAGAGACAAGATTGGCCCCTAGCAGCTGTATCTCTTCGAGTGCCTTGGCCTTCTCATTCATGTAATCGATGTTGCTGTCCTTGAACTGGCAGCAGTTGCGCAAGGACAGACGTTTGACGTTTGGGCAAACGGCAAAGATCTGGTCGTAGTCCTCGGTCTCAAGATATGCCGCCTCGTGAATTGCGATCGACTGCATGTCTGACTGGAGGAACAGCTTCATCGTGTTGGAGTTCATCGCTCGCTTCTTGGAGAAGATCTCGCTAATCCGGTTCATGATACCCTCTGGCATCTCGCCCAGTTCGTCAATGTCTTCCGAATGTTTGGCGAGCTTCTCGATGCACAATTGCTGAAGTGTCTTGGGTCCGCGCTGTGTCATACCATCAAGGCGGTTGCTCTCGATTTTCCTGCGACCCTTTCGCACCACGGGCTTAGCAAGCTTCTTCTCTGCTTTCGCATCCTTGACCATCTCTTTTCCACATGGTGTACACAGGAGACCACCGTCTGGACCAGCTTTGCTGTATGGTGTGACGGTAAACCGCTTGTCGCAAATTTCGCAGTTCTCCAATTGCCCAGGGAGTGGCTTCGCTTTCTTGTACATGTCCATCGCATCTCCAAAGTCAGATTCATCGTCTGACCCCTTCTTCTTGCTCTTCTTCTTCGATGCCTTCTTTGCCGCCTTGCCCTTCTTGATCTTCGCTATGGCCTCGTCTTGGTTGCGTTTACGTTTGCGAGTGCGCTCAGCTGCCATTGCAGAGGATTCGGCTTGTAGGTCCTCCTCGACATCTTCGTCATCTTCACCAGCATTTGAAGGTCCCTCGCCATTATCTCCTGCTTCTGCTGCGTCTCGCTCGGCTTGTTGACGGCGCTGTTCGTACGAATCGCGAATCTCTGCTGCAGAGATGTTGTTCGCCTAGAGGTGAATTATTAGCCCGTAGTTCTCTCAGACATCATGCACCGTGAGGTTTGCGCCGCCGCTATCGAGCAAGAGCCCAGCCGCTTTCGATCTTCATGTCGCAAGTCTCTAGTGTTGAGCAGTCTTGTCCCCAGAACAGATGTCACTCACGGCCAGAAAGTCAGTCAGGGCAGAGTGCGGTCCCCGAATGCCTGCGCCTCTAGGTCGTCGTCCGCTCCTGTCGCCACTCATTAGTTTTGCGCGCTCATTGAGTCGAATAACGAAACTTGACTTACATATTGCCTGTATCTATTTCCTACTGTGAGAGCGATTAAAACGAAAGTAGTTTGAAAGAAAGTGTTGCGGAACAGTCGTGGTTCTGCGACTGCGCTGGGTGTGAGTGGGGTGTGACATGCTCAGGAAGGCGCGTTGGGGTCCGGGCGACGGCGCGCGATCACGTGGTGGCAATTAGTCGCTTTTTCCGGATTAGTCTACCCCTGACAGCATTACTTTCACTGTCACCAGAGTCGCGCGATAGGTCTAACCATAACGCTATCGATTCAAGATTTCAACTTTTGTAGTCCTATGTACGTCCCTCCGCTGGGGACAGCACGTGGTAGACCATTCGCCGTCATGACCACAGCTAAATCTTATGATGCAAGTCAACTCCAAACTCCCGCATACCCTCGCAGAGTCAGGATCTTGTCCGTTGTGCATGCCTTTCCATCTCTGTCATTTTCATATACCGGGGTCAAGTGACTAGATGACCGTGTCGTCGTCACTGTCATCATCGTCCTCGTCTTCTTCGTCTTCCTCATCCGAGTCCCAAGCATCGACAGTGGATCCAGTCTGTCGGACAGTATCACCCATAGGCATCTGCGAAATTGTCAGCATGGTTTCTTGCCACGATTCAAGGTGCAAGTATTAATCGTGGAGATACTTTAGCACTCTGCTATCGTGATGAAACATACCATGGGAGGACCCCGGGGAACAGCACGGATCTTAGCCCATCCATTAGGACGAATCTCTGAAGTATCAGATCGCTCAGCCATGCTGGAGGCAAAGGTGTGGGAAGATCCGGTAACTGAGCTAGTCGAGCGACGATAAGCGTTGGGGTTAAAGCCAGAGCTTGCACTGGGAGCCGCGTTGGACTGGGTATGCCAGGACTTGGTGCGGACCTCGCTCCAGCCGTCGGTGTTGGCGTTTCCATGGCCAGCTGGGAAGGAGTATTCGGTGCCGATGAGGCTCTCATCAGCTGAACCGTTGATGGACATAGCCTTCTGGAAGCCAGCCGATAGCGCTATTCCTCCATTGCCAGTGTCTTTGCGCTCGGTTCGTTGGTTGATGCCGTTGACAGTCTTCCACTCATCATCTCCCTGTAGAGGTCAGTAAATTTTCCACAGACAGTCGTTATGGAAACCCACATAAGTAGAAGATGTGTCACTCGTAGCTGCGGACCAGTACTCGGGAAATTGACCCTGGGAGTGGTCGGGCGGAACAAAGGCCTTTTGCGGATCCTCGTAGCGGTCTCCGTCGACGGCCTCATCAGCAAGCTGAGCCTCAACACACTTGAAGCATTTGGCAGTGTCTGGCTTGGCACGCTGCGACTTGGCGAAGTCCTCCAGGCCCTTTGTCTTGCCACACATGGTGCACTCGATCTCGACCTTCTGCTGCCCAGTGCAACTGTGACAGTTGATAGGCTTGATGATCTTGCTTGAGGCCTTGATTTGGATTCGTGCATCGGTCAGCTGCTTCGTGGAGTACTTGACTTGAGGGAGGTTCTTGTGGCACCGGCCACATTTGATCTTCATGGGAAGCGGGATGCCCTGGAGCCTTGTAATAATAGTTAGCAGCGGGTCGAATGGAACAGCGAATGACTTGTTTGATTGGTAGTTATGCTATCATCAATCGCCTTGGTGAACCTTATTTATACGCACCTATCAATCTCGTCCTGGTTGTAAGCGTGCACATTGCGGCGGCCTCCCATCGTTGGCGACTGGGGTTGCAGGGTAGTATGTGAAGTATTGTGAGTGGAATGGGGTTAATGAGACTCTGTACGGCGGTGGGATTGAGAGAGAGACGTCTAAGTGAGCCATGCGGATATACGTTGTTTGTTTGGGCCGAACTCAAGGTGAAGGCAAGAGCCAGTGAGAGAAGCTGCAGCTGCGCAAGACATGAGCAGCATGTGACACTGCGATCTCGGCACTGAGTATCAACCATCGTCTAGAGCCCTGTACGCACACGTGAGCATATACACTAAGCACACAGCCTCGAAGCTGTCTCGACCTCTACTAAAACTTCAGCTTCTCCAGCCTCCTCTATCTCTCTCCAAGCTCTCTCTACCTACTGCAATGGGTCGTAAAGGGCAATGTAGGAAGCCATCAGAAGCCGCAAAGGCTAAGAGTCGCGCCCGAGCTGCTGCGTTCCAGCTTTGTCGAAGCAACGCCGAAGCTCAAGCTCAAGCTCAAGCAGCTGCAGACAATCAAGCGGCCGCTCAACCTTTACCTCAACTTCAAATGTCGAGCAATGCCGAGGCGACGAACCCTACATCAAGCCCCAAAAAAACAGAGTAAGAGCACCTCCAGTTCCAGCGCAAACATTGAAATCCGAGAAAGGAAAAATGTGGGCACACAAACATAACTCTCGTGGTGGGACACAGGGTAGATGCCACGCTGAGATACTACCGCTTATTAAGTCTGACCCAGATTACCGCGGCTCGGAGTCATTAATGGACATCAGTGGACCTGGCATTCAATTTCTGGTGGAATCAACGGAACGTAAATGCAGCGATAGAGGCGTGGAGTTTGAGTTGTCCACAGGTGCATCACTAGTGTCGCCAAGATTTCGAAGCGGTGAAGGCCGGCAGAAATAATTCTAGGACTGGGGCATTCGCGAC